CCAGACACAGAAAGACAAATACTACACATTATTTCTTGTATGTGGGAGTTAAAAGAACAAAAAATAAATTTAAAAAGGAAGTTCATTATCAGCATTGGTGCAAATACAGATTTATCAAATTTAATTTTCTATCTTTGTCAAACCAGTGATTAAAAATTATCTATTTTTAAATTATTTGTGATTATTTTAAAATTTACTGTATACAAGTAAAATTAGTATTTATTACCTTTGTTTAGATTTCTGCTGAGTTATGCTCTTTACACGTTTACTTGTTGAACTCTTCACCTGTGGAGTATTAAGCCTTTGACTATATTGACTATAATGTAAATTGAAAATGTTATCTCAAAATTCAAAAAAGAGAGAAGGGGTGATGAAAGGGGAAGGGAACTATCATTATATCCTTGGAACTGTATCAATGAACTACGTTGAATCTGTCCTCTGTACTAATATCATAACATTCGAATTATTACAGTAACTTTCATGCATTTGCTGTAACCTTGAACATCTAACGTATTAATAGGTTACTTTTATTTATTTATTTATTTATTTATTTTTAAGGATTTATTTATTTATTGGAAAGATATACAGAGAGGAGGAAAGACAGAGAGGAAGATCTTCTGTCCAATGATTCACTCCCCAAGTGACTGCAACGGCCGGTGCTATGCCGATCCAAAGCCAGGAGCCAGGAACTTCCTCCGGGTCTCCCACACGGGTGCAGGGTCCCAAAGCTTTGGGGCCGTCCTCGACTGCTTTCCCAGGCCACAAGCAGGGAGCTGGATGGGAAGTGGAGCTGCTGGGATTAGAACTGGCGCCCATTTGGGATCCCTGGTGTGTTCAAGGTGAAGACTTTAGGCCATGCCATGCCGCCGGGCCCAATAGATTATTTTTTAAAAGGCTAAGAGAGAGCTAATAAGGGAGTAAACAACTATCAGGTCAACATTCAAAAGAAAGAGAACACAAGAGGTTAAGAACAGGGTTGGGCATCAGTTGGGACACTGCTTGGGACACCTGTATCCCACATCAGAGTGTGTGGGTTCAAATCCCAATTCCGTCCTTGATGCAGCTTCCTGGCACCCATGGAAGCAGCAGGTGGTGGCTGCAGCATGTAGGCTCCTGGCTTCGGACTGGACAGCCTCGATGTTGCAGGCATCTGAGAAGTGAACCAGCAGACAGAAAATTTCCTGTTCTCTCCACCTTTCAAACAAAATGAAAATAAACAAGTAAGAGGTTTAGAACTTCAAGAGTTGTTGGTTGATGTCTCGAAATTCTCAGCAGCACCTCTGACAGCCTTTCAGGAGTACGGAGGAAAGTGTGGAAGACTCGATATACACTAATGGTGAGTCTCAGTAAATGCCTGGTTTTTAAAATTAGATTTATTTATTTTTATTGGAAAGTCAGATATACAAAGAGGAGGAGAGACAGAGAAGAAGATCTTCCATCTGAAGGTTCACTTCCCAAATGGCCGCAATGGCTGGAGATGAGCCAATCCTAAGCCAGGAGCCAGGAGCTTCTTCCAGATCTCCCACGTGGGTGAAGGGACCGTCCTCGACTGCTTTCCCAGGCCACAAGCAGGGAGCTGGATGGGAAGTGGAGCTGCCGGGATTAGAACCAGTGTCCATATGGGATCCCGGGCGTGTGCAAGGCGAGGACTTCAACCACTACGCTATCACGGCATGTTCAACGCCTGTTGTTTTAATGTTCTCCAGAGAAACAAATTCAATAAGAAAGGCATAGATACACAAAGTGATAAGAAATTGACTCATGTGATTATGGCAACTGACAAACACAAACCCTCCAGAGTTAATATTTCAGGCTAAGTACACAAGCTGAAGCTCCCGTAGAACAAGAAAGGGTTGATGTTCTTGTTCAAAGGCAGTCATGCAGAATTCTCTTACTGGAGAGAGGGTCACCCTTTTGTTTAACTCAAGTCTTCAAGTGAGCGCACGAGGCTCATCTATAATCTGCTTTCCTGGGACGGTAAGATGCAGTCGTACGCTCTGTGGCAACGCTGAGCAGCAGCAGCAGTCCACAGCCCGCACTCAGCCTCACACTGAGGGCACACACTGATACTTAGTGTGCTGTCTGGCTAAGCTGTGATGGTTGGTGCTTGGGGTAATAAATGCACTTTTAAAGATATTTGTATTTATTTGAAAACGAGAGATGCACAGAGGAAGAGACAGAAAAAGAAATCCTCGCAGTGGGGGTGAGGAACACAGGCAGAGGGGAAGTGTCACTACGCTCCTGCATCTGCATTGTGAAACACATGAAATCTGTTTCACCTTATGTAATCATTTGATAAAAAAGAGATCTTCATCTGTCGGTTTACTTCTCAAACGCCCAGAGCAGCCAGGGTGGGGCCAGGCCCAAGTCAGAAATCAAATTCAATTCAGGTCTCCCTCTTGGGAAGCACGAACTCAACTGCTGAATCCCAGGTCAGCACCAGCAGGAAGCTCGAACTGGACGTGGGAGTCAGGATTCGAACCCAGGTCCTCTGGTAGGAGATGTAGACATTCCAAGCAGAATCCTAACCATGGCACCAAACACTGTCTCCAAATACATTTTCTATTTATGATATTCTCAATTTACAGATAGGCTTAATTTGGACAAAACTCTATCATAAGAAGTGTCAGTCCTTGGCACTTGGCCAGTACTCATTTAAATAAATATCTAATAACTTGAATCTTGACAAAATTCCAATTCGGTGCAATCCCAACCCAATCAATGAAGCGAGCAAAATCATCCTGTATGTTTCCAATCCCTAACTTCTCTCCAGTTACCATTTACTCTTTTATGCATTTAATTTTTTGAGAGAGAACAAGCTCCCAACCACGAGCTCACTCCCTAGAAGACCAGAACAGTCAGGTTTAAGCCAGCCAAGCTGAGAAACTCAGTCCAGATCTCCAGGTAGGTAGCAGGGACCCAATCCTTTAGCCACCTGCTGCTACCTCCCACAGTCTACATTAACAGCTGGAACGGGAACCCCCACAGAGAACCTGAACAGTCTAACCGGTGCCTCAACCTCTAGCCCGCATGCCACTGTCCATAGCTCCACTTGCAAACATCACAGTCCCTGCTATCCGTTTTTTCAAAGGCACAGTCTTTATTTTGGATACTGTATCAGTGTCACACCCAAGCCCGAGAAGAAGCAAACACTAAAAGCAACTCATCCTTCCTGGAACTCCAACAGCGGTGCTAACACCAGGACAGGACAGTACAGTGGGGAAGAGCACAGGAGCTAGCTAGCCCTGCCCCTGCTGGATAATTCCGCGATTCTTCAAGTCCCAAAGGAACTTCGGTCCTGTTTCCTCCATTATGGAATAATGTGGCTTTAATTTGAAAGAGCCCCTTTTTAGAGCTAGGATTCTATTATCTGGAATAATTCATAAAACATGTAATGCACCAATCAGGAAGCTCTGTTTAGGTTGAAGTGTATGATAGTGATTGAAAAGATAGAGATGACTATTAAATACTATCACTTTTCTAGGGTTAATGTCTTTTATTTTTCTGTCATAATTGAATATAGTGTTAGCCTGGGTGAATGTCATTTATCCAGACCTCATATGCCTTCAAAGAAGGAATTGTCTGGTTTTTTTTCTCTTGTTTTCTTTTGTGTTTGTTTGTTTGCTTTTTCTTGGTTTTCAAAGAAGGAATTGTCCTGCTGGCTTAGGCAGCACATAGACTACAACTGGAAAAAGAAACTGCTTTGTAAAGAGATGACACCTAAACAGAGGATTACTGGTCTTTTCACTCCACGGACCTAGTCTGCACGCTGGGAGCTTGGCTCCTGCAACTGGCAGTCCCTCTCACATGAGGAATCCTGGCCTCCCATGACTGCTGTCAAATTGTCTCTAGGAGGTGGTTGACAACCACCTTCCAGCTCCCTTACTCCCTCCAGGACCAAAGACTGTAGGGCCTGATGGGATAGACTAGCAGCTAAAGTCCTTGCCTTGCACATGCCAGGATCCCATATGGGTGCAGGTTCTAACCCCGGCAGCTCCACCTTGCCATCCAGGTCCCTGCTTGCGGCCTGGGAAAGCAGTCAAGGACGGCCCACAGCCTTGGAACATTTCACCCACTGGGAGAGCTGGAAGAAGCTTCTGGCTCCTGGTTTCAGATCTGCACAGCTCTGGCTGTTGTGGCTACCTGGGGGGTGAGTCAATGGATGGAAGATCTTCCCCTCTGCCTGTCCTCCTCTCTGTATATCTGACTTTCCAATAGAAATCAATCTTTTTTTTAAAAAAAAGTGTAATAAAATCAATGATTTACAGCGCACGATTGCTTCACCAACAGCTGTATTAGTTCGCTCTACAGAACATAAAGCATAAAACTGGGAGTTCACGCTTGTAAACACCCAATCAGATGCTGGGATCGAACACGAGAAATGCGCTCTCCGAGACCTGGAGCGAATCTGCGTCTAGAAGCAAACGCACTTTCTGACATGTTTCAAGGAAGTTGACAAGTCCACCCAATTCTTTGCCAAGGTGCCACCCTGGAAAGCAGAGAACAGGCGATTCTAGCGAGGACAGGTCCAGAAAGAGCCTCTGGGGTGAGGGTGGTGGTGGGGGGTCTCAAGAGACTTCTAAAAAGGGTACGATGCAGACGAACAAGGAGGCTCCCTATAGGCAGCTGTGCCCAGTCGAACGTTATTCCCTTTGGAGAAAAACTCGGCTGTTCCCCAAGTCCACGAAGGCAAAGACCCCAGCCCTCAGCAACTCCTCTCCTGGGGAGCGCTAGTGAGGCACCAAGCCGCCACAGCTCTATCCGAGATTCTGAAGACACTTTCCGAGGAGGGCAGTCAGTCACCAGGCTGCTGCGCAGGCACCTTCCACACATTTCTGCGCCACGGTCCACGAGGGACCACACAGTGACCGCACACACTCAGCCCCTCGCTCGCCTCCGCAAGGCTCAGCCCCCGACCGCGCGCCTAAGCGCGGCGCAGGCGCAGACCGCCCGCGCGGCCGCTCGGCGCAGGCGCGGTGGCCGTTTCCGGGATCTGTCAGCCGCTCCCCTCTGGGCCTCCGTCCTCCGCCCGCGCCCGCCGGAGCCTGTTCGCGTCGACTGACCAGAGTCCGCGAATTCCCCGCTCCGAGCCCTTCCGCAGCCCCCAACCCCAGGTAAGGGGCGGCAGGGGTGATCGCGTGGTCCCGTGGGCCTCCAGAGCCCGAGACTAGATCCGCGGGGGCGGTGAGGGGCCCCGAGGCTGCGGGGCGGGCGCGGGGGGCTCTCCCTGCCGGGCCTCGTGAGGGGGCGGACGATCCGCGTCCCGCGCTCCCTGCCCCCACCAGGACTGCGGGGGTCGCTGCACGGCCCCATCCTCCCCAGAGTCTCGAGCTTCCTTGCCGCCTCCGCTGGCGGAATGAGCGGCCCCTGCCGCGGCTCCCGCCCGCTTCGCGCCCCTCTGGGCTGCTGTGTTCTGCGGGGTTCCCTCCCCCACAGGCTCGAGCGTCCCCGCATCTCCCCTCGGCGTTCGGAACAGGTTTCTGCGCGCGGGAGGCGCCCGTGCAGAGTCTAGGGCAGCTCTCTCCATCCTCGTCCATTGGGGTCCCCACCTGCCTGCCAGTTCCTCAGATCTCGCCACACCTGGGCCACCTTCCCCAGCGAGTCAAGCCTGCGCCCTTCTGTGCCCTCCTATTGGCTTCGGGAAACTTCGAGTCCGGATCCTGGACCGGTCATTTTGTTGAATGGTCCTGGGAAGGTCTTTTATCAGTGCCTCTCTTTCCCCATCTGCAGTGAGATTTTTTTTTTTTTTTTAATTTTGTTTGCATAACTTGGGTAGAATTCTTCCCAGCCTCTATACAGGTGGTGCCCGGTAAATATTAGCTATTGTTCCTGTGGCTGGGCCTGACGCTGCTTATCTCGTACCTCCCTTTGCTGCTTGCCTACCCCCCATTTCCAGACTTGAGGACCAGAAAGATGAAGGATGCATTTATGTTTCTGGCAACAGCCTGATCCTTACAGCCCTGAGAACGCAGTAAGCACTTAAACTAGAACTTGGACTCTGATTATAAAGCCATCTATTCTTATATTGGCAGCCTTAAAATCTTTTATCTACTTCCGCTCATGGCTGAAATTATCTTGGTTCTACCCTGATTTATCAGTTTTACCAGGACTTTCGGTTTCGGAAATCCCAGGTATCCAGGCAGCTAAAACGAAGGAGAGGTTACAGTCGGAATGGCGTTTGTGCCTCATTGGGAGTAGGTGTAACCAACGGCTGCTTCCTATCACGCAGTGTTCGGGAAACTTCTGGCGTTCATCTGCTGCAAGGAAAGGATCGCTTTTGGGAAATTAAATCACTGGCTTTGGAGAGAGGGTTTTGAGCTGTGTGATGCTGTGCTAAGACCAATCCCTCGTAAAGGCATGAAAAATGGTCTGCTAGAGAAACTTGTGCTTGGAGTTGGAGCCTGCCTGAATGTTGGGGAGGGTGTGGTGACCTGGTTAGGGTATGGGGTGTTGCTGAGTTGAGTAATTAGGGCAATTAGAAGCTGGATGAATCACAGTCTTGAACACTGACCCTAAACAGGAAACTGGAATTCACACTTGCAGGAACACTTTCCAGCTGCGGAGGAATAGCGCCAAGAATTTACGACATATGTTGGATACATAGAGAGGATGCTAATCAATATTTTTAAGATTTTTAAAATTTGAAAATGAGATTTATAAAGAGAAGGAGAGACAGAGAGAAAGATCTTCCATGCACTAGTTCACTCCCCAAGTGGCTACTACGGCCAGAGCTGAGCCAGTCAGGAGCCAGGAGCCAGGAGCTTCTTCTGGGGCTCCCACATGGCTGCAGGGTCCTAAGGCTTTGGGCTGTCCTTGACTGCTTTCCTAGGCCACAAACAGGAAGCTGGAGGGGAAGTGGAGCAGCTGTGACACAAATTAGTGCCCAGTGAGATTCTGGCACACCAGGGCGAGGACCTAATAGCCGCTCGACAACCGCACCTGGCCCATCAATTTCTGAGGATTTAAAAGCTTTGGAAGAATGAGCCCAACGCGGTGGCCTAGCAGCTTAAGTCCTCACCTTGAACATGCCAGGATCCCATGTGGGTGCAGGTTCTAATCCTGGCAGCACTGCTTCCTATCCAGCTCCCTGCTTATGGCCTGGGAAAGCAGTCAAGGATGGCCCAAAGCCTTGGACCCTATTCCCACATGGAAGAGCCCCTGGCTCCTGGCTTCAGATCGGCATAGCTCTGGCCGTTGCAGTCACTTGGGGAATGAACCATCATCAGATGGAAGATCTTTCTCTCTCTCCTTCTCACTACATATTTCACTGTAATAAAAATAAATGAATCTTTAAAAAAAGTTTTGGAAGAAAAGGAGCTAATTTGCTGAGATCTATTTTGGACAAGATCCTTGAATTAACCACAGTTTAGGAATTACAGTTGCTACAGAAAGCACAAAATTAATGCAATAACAGTTTCTTCTGTGTTCACTGAGTTTGGTGACTATAAGCCATGTTGACTAGGTACATTATAAATTTGATAGACATAAATATTGTTTTGACCTGCAGGCTTGGAATAGCCACATGTTTATAAGCCAAATACAGGTCTGGTGGTATATCCAACTGTGGCACATAAATGATATAAGAAAGTAGAAAGAAGTTAGGCCATTCTGTGAATGTTAACCTCTTTCCATTTTAGCTGTAGATGAAATATGCTTTTATTGCACATAGCTTATATATGTTGATTCATCAGTTTGCAGATTTATTTCAATTAACAGTGGGGCTTATTAAATGTGGGTTTTGAACTAAATTGCTTTTCGTTAAAGAGATACAGGGATGCTGGCTTATGTCCTGGCTGTTACACTTCCCATCCAGCTCCGTATTTGTAGCCTGAGAAAGCAGTCGAGGACAGCCCAAGGCCTTGGGACCCTGCACCTGCATAGGAGACCTGGAAGAGGCTCTGGTTCCTGGATTTGGATTGGCTCAGCTCTGGCCATTGTAGCCACTTGAGGAGTGAAATATTGGATGGATGATCTTTCTGTCTCTCATTCCCTCCGTAAAATATGACTTTCCAAATAAAAAAATAATAATAAATAAATAAATCTTTTTTTAAAAAAAAAGAAAGCAGGGCCCAGTGGCGTGGCCTGGCGGCTAAAGTCCTCACCTTGAACGCGCCGGGATCCCATATGGGTACTGGTTCTAATCCCGGCAGCTCCACTTCCCATCCAGCTCCCTGCCTGTGGCCTGGGAAAGCAGTCGAGGATGGCCCAAATTCCTGGGACGCTGTATCCATGTGGAAGACCTGGAAGAAGTTCCTGGCTCCTGGCTCCAGATTGACGCAGCACTGGCCGTTGTGGTCACTTGGGGAGTGGACCATCGGATGAAAGATCTTCTCTCTGTCTCTCCTCCTCTCTGTACATCTGACTTTGCAATAAAAATAAAATAGAAAATGTTTAAAAAGAAAATTAAACAGTCTCATTTAAAATCACCAGTTTTTAAAAGATTTTCAATTAAAGTCTTTTTCTTTATTTAGGAATTTATTTACTTGAAAGACAGTTGGTTCACTCCCTAAATGGCTGCAACAGCCAGGGCTGGGCCAGGCCGCTGCCAGGGGTCTGGTACTGCATCTGGGTTTGTTACGCGGGAAGTAGGGCCCCAAGGACGTATGCCATCTTCTGCTGCTTCCTCAGCCGTATTGGCAGTCAGCTGCATGGGAAGTGAGTTGGTGAGCCTTGTCCTGGTGCCCGTGGGGGTTGCCAGCATCCCTGGTGGCAGCTTCACCCACTATGCTCACCAGAGGCCCCAAGTCAAATCTTTCTTTGTGAATTGCAGTTCAAATTCTAGAACATGTAAAAAAAAGAAAGAAAGAAAGACCAGTGTCTTAGATGTAATACAGACGTACTCGGGGTGACAGATGCGTCTTTAGGGGTGCACTGTTGTTTGACGCTTGGTTTTCTTTACCGTTGACAGACGTATTCTTTCTGGTGACATTCCTTTGTCAGATAAACAGCGGTTGTTTGGTTCCCATCCTCCTGATTCTTCATTCATTTCCTGCTTGCATCAGAATTCCTATCTTTCCTTCTCCACCCCAACTTAACATACCTGTGGGCACCCATATTTACTCAAGTGCTGCGGATACTTCCGGTGCAACTGAAGTTTGTAGTGAGAGTGCGTCTTAGAGATGATAGCGGTGAGAGGGGGCTAGATGCTTTCCTAAAAATCTCCCCTTCTTTCAAATCATGGTTTCCTTCATGAGTCTAGGGTTGAGTCCCTGTACAGAGAATTGCATTGCTTTTTTTTTTTTTTTTTTAAGATTTATTTATTTTTATTTGAAAGGCAGATTTACAGAGAGGAAAAAGACGGGAAAGATCTTCCATTTTCTGGTTCTCTCCCCAAATGGCTGCTAACAGCTAGGGCTGGGCCAGGCAAAAGCCAGGAGCCAGGAGCTTCTGTAAGGTCTCCCGCATGGGTGTAGGGGCCCAAGCTCTTGGACCACCTTCTGCTTTCCCAGGCCATAAGCAGGGAGCTGGATCATCAATGGAACAGCCAGGAACTGGTGCCCATGCGGGATGCTCGCACTTGCGGGTGAAGGATGAGCCAGTTGAGCCATCGCGCTGGCCCTGGGATGTGTAGTTTTTAACCCTGCACTAAGTGCTCTTCTGTTTGTTGCCTTTTTTGAGTAGTCCAGACCGATCACCTAAGGAATGGCACATGTCCTGGTTACAACTGTTGATTTCCTTCCGTGTCGCTTAACTAGTTCCTCTCTGCTTTGTTTTCTGTAAGCTGGAAATTGGTTCTGGATCTCGATTAGATTTACAGTCCATTTGTTTAGCCTGAATACCTTGTAGACGAGCTGACCATGTTCCCAGGTATCTCCGCGCCTTTCTGCTCTCACAGATTCTAGTCTGTGTGGTAAGCTGACTCACTGTGGGGATGTACACGGTTGCCGCCTGTCAGGATTGATTGTTCCACCTTGTTTAAAGTGTTACCTGACAGTTTTGTTTATTGCAAAGTCAGGTTTTTCCCGTTGTGATTAATGACTAACTTGTGGGATGAGCATTTGAGGCTGGCTGGCCTGTGTTCCAGCGATCAGTGGTTCTCTAACCAGGGATCAGTGGTTTTCTAACCCAGCGTTTGAGAATCCATTGATGCTCTTTAGTGGAATAAATGCTGTGCTAGTTTTGTTTTAAATAGTGAAGTTTTGACATTGCGATCGGTTCTTTTCTCTTGGGGGAACAATGCTTTGTTCTCAAACATTTTAAGAGCCTCCAAGAACTTAAATTCTGTGTTTAAGCAGTCCTCTTGTTGTCTTGCTCGTTGCAGCTTTCTGTCCTTTGGGAACACTAAGAATAATGTCTCTGCATCAGTTTTTACTCGAGCCAATCACCTGCCATGCCTGGAACAGGGATCGCACCCGTAAGTATGCTGTCGGCCGCGCTGCTTCCTCCTGGCGTCTTTGCTCCACTTCACACTTACATAATCCTGGGATTTCTCTGTTTCTGGGTCACACGTGAAAAGGACATAACGCTATTGACACTGATCCACCAGGCCCTCGTTCGGTCCTTTGATTATAGGAAGTCAGCTAACCACTGGTAGGTAGCCAACAGCCAGACACCGTGGCGGAAGAACTTTCCAGTGGTTGAATACCAAGTTGGTATGAGAGATGTTGCTGATACTGATTGCTTGTCCACGTCTTTTCCTGCAGTACTTCTTGAAGGTTTAGATTCCGCGAGGAACTTGAGACCCGGAGTGGTTATGCAGTAAGGCCACACTCATCCGGTGTTGAACCAGAACACTGCAACCTAGAAAGAAGCTATTACAAAGCTGGGTGGTACTGTGTCTTTCATTAGCTTGGGTTTGTAATTTTCTAGCCCAAGTAAACTAGAAAGGAATAAAGAAATCTCTTAGAAATAGGCACAGTTTAGCAAACAAAGTGATAGCAAGGGTCCAGCGCAGTAGCCTAGTGGCTGAAGTCCTCGCCTTGCTTGCACCGGTATCCCATATGGATGCTGGTTCATATCCCGGCTACTCCACTTTCCATCCAGCTCCCTGTTTATGTCCTGGGAAAGCCAAAGAGGACAGCTTGAAGACCCAGAGTAAGTTCCTGGCTCCTGGCTCCTGGCTTTGGATCAGCTCAATTTTGGCCATTGCAGCCACTTGGAGAGTGAATCAGTGGATGGAAAATCTTCCTTTCATTGTCTCCTCTCTGTCTCTCCTGTCTGTAAATCCAACTCTGCAATAAAAATAGATAAATCTTTTTTTGTTATTGTTAAAGATTCACTTATTTTTTTATTGGAAAGTCAGATACAGAGAGGAGGAGAAACAGAAAGTAAGATCTCTGGTTCACTCCCCAAGAGGCTGCAACGGCTGGAGCTGAGCTGAACTGACACCAGGAGCCAGGAGCTTCTTCCGGGTCTCCCACACGGGTGCAGCGTCCCAAGGCTCTGGGCCGTCCTCGACTGCTTTCCCAGGCCACAGGCAGGGAGCTGGATGTGAAGCGAGGCCGCCGGGATTAGATCTGGCACCCACATGAAATCCCAGTACGTTCAAGGCGAGGACTTAACCACTACTGTATCGCACCAGGCCCTCAACAGATTTTTTTAAAAAAACTGTTTTTATAAAAGTTTTTTTTATAAACTAGTGTTCCATCCTAGGTTTGTGAAAGCAGTAATACAAATCCATGAGCTGCTTTCAGTGTTTCAGAAAGTGAAAGAGAAATATCTATCTAATAAAATTGCACATGTGAACTAATATGTCACCATTTTTGCTGTTAGCTGTAATTGTTTTAGCTAAGGATAGCAATATTTCTTGCTGGTTAGAATATTCAACTGAGAGTTATGTGTGTCTCTAGAAAATGTATTTTAAATTTAGTGTCCCTACAAAAACATTTAAAATGCAAGGGCAAAGTAGAAGTAAAAACAAGCATTTCCAGGGGTGAATTTGGGAAGCAGTGTTTTTTTGGGAAACACCGTTCCCATCCCTTTGGCCTGCTTTTGAAGGTCGGCTCTACAAATGCCTTGTGTCGCAGGCAGCTTGAGGTTCCGGTGGTAAGCATTCCGTTGGTTTCTTTCCGCAGAGATCGCCCTCAGCCCCAATAACCACGAGGTGCACATCTACCAGAAGAATGGGGGCCAGTGGGTCAAGGCTCACGAACTCAAGGAGCACAACGGGCACATCACAGGTGAGCGGCTGAGCCTGCGCCAGGCGTGGCACTGCCCAGGAGGCACTCGTCCGGGAGCCAGCCTGGCTGTGGCAGCTCCGGCCGTGCGCTGCCTCGCTCTTCTTTAGACAGACAAGTACGGGAACGGATCGGTTAAGCATTTCTTGTGGCCCAGCTGATCCGGAGCATAGAGAGCGCTAAGCCAGCTGTTGCTGAGGGCCTGCAATGTGAGAACAAAAACCAGACTCCATGCAAATGTAAGCCAGACTGCGTTCCCAGGCACCGAGGGAACACAGAGTCTCCAAGCAGTTTCCCTTGTCTTGTGTTCTGGGCAAGGAAGACTTTCCAAAATATTGAGGAGGAAAAAAAAATGAGCGCAACAAATACTCTCTGTCAGATTGTCCGCCGTCCGAATTGCCAGTTGCAAAGCTGAGAGCAGAGGATGTAATACTGTTGTAGGAATGCAAGAGTCTGCCCTCCCTAGCGGTCCCCGTCCGCCTCCCGAGAAGGGTCTGTAATGGGCTGGCATCCTCCTGCGGTCGCTGGTGCTGCCAGCCAGTGTTCCTACTGCTAACTGGCACGCACTGTGCGTCTCCCGTGGCTGCCTTTTGCATCATGGTTTCTTCCTATCTGTTGTATCTAAGTTAAGTTTATCGCTCTCGGTTGCTGTGTGGCATTTCACGCCTCATTTATCGACCCTTCCCTCCGCTGAGGAATGCTCAGGTAGCTTCTGGTTTTGCCTTGCTACCTTTGTGTGTGGGTGTGTGAGTTTGCGAGGCGGACCTGTGAGGCTGTGAAGGTTACACACATCCTCAGCCTTGCCAGGCTGCACCACGTTTCCTCCGTCACTTCCGCCCTGGAATTCGTGGGGTGCCCTTTGCCCACACACGACACTGTTTTTTTTTTTCCTGAAAAAGGGTTATTATTTATTTATTTTAAAAGCAGAGTGTCAGAAAGTGGGGGGAGGGAGACATGGAGAAACACAGAGAGAGATCTTCAGTTAATTGGATTATTCCTCAAATACCTGCAGCTGCTGGGACTGTAAGACCAAAAAACTAGGAGCCAGGAGCCCCAGCCAGATCTCCCATGGGGGCCACAGAGGACTCAGGTATTTGAACCCTCCCCTACTAAATCTGAAACACAAGTGACCCCAGGCCTCCGACAGGAAATGGGGCATCACAACGTAGCTAAGCCCCGTGCCCTGTCAGCAGTACTTCATAGTACCTGAGTATGAGGAAAGCAGCAGGAAGGTTCTGCTCTGTAAGTTGTATTTCCCTTAAAAACAGTAAACATACGTTCAAATGTGTATTTGGCAACTGAGTTCTCTGATTTTTCTTCTTACTTTTTTCCTCCATTGAGTGTTTGTGTTGTTGACATGTGGAAGCTGAAATTTCAGAGAATGTGGCTCAAGGCAGATTCCCGAGTATGCATTTGACAAAAGATCAGTCAATAGGGGCCCAGCGCAGTAGCCTGTTGGCTAAAGTCCTCGCCTTGCACATACCAGGATCCCATACGGACACCAGTTCATGTGTCTGCAGCCTCACTTCCCTTCTAACTCCCTGTTTGTGGCCTGGGAAAGCAGTAGAGGATGGCCCAAAGCCTTAGGATCCTGTACCCGCTTGGGAGACCCGGAGGAAGCTCCTGGCTCCTGGCTTCGGATCAGCTCAGCTCTGCCTGTTGTGGTCACTTGGGGAGTGAATCATCGGACGGAAGATCTTCCTCTCTGTCTCTGCTCCTCTCTGTATATCTGACTTTGCAATAAATATAAAATAAATCTTTTATAAAAAAGTAATAGGTGGGTAGAGGTGCTAAGTAGTGTAGTCTATTTCTTTGTTTCACTTGAAAGAGTTGTAGGGAGAGGAGCACAGGCGTTCCCGCTGCTCCGCTCCCCACGTGGCGGCAGTGGCGAGAGCTGGGCCTGTCTGAAGCTGGGAGCCCAGAGCTGCTTCTGGATTTCCCGCATGGTGTCAGGGCCCGAGGGTTTGGACCATCCACCACTGATTTTCCTTTCCGTTAGCAGAAAGCTGGATTGGAAGTGGAGCAGCCGGGGCTTGAACTGGTGCACACGCGGGATGCTGGCACAGCCGGCAGAAGATGCAGCGCTGTGTGAGCCCCAGCCGTGCAGTTATGAAGTATCAAAGGAGAAAAGATAAAAAACGGAAAGCCTTCTGTAATGGTTTTCACAATTCATTCAGCCAGATTCACATACCAAATTTCAAGAGAATGAATTCTCATCTGCTCAGAGAGAACTCTTCAATATCGTGTTAGTTTTTTTTTTTTTTTTTAAAGATTTATTTATTTTGGGCCCAGCGCGGTGGTGCAGTGGTTAAGGTCCTCGCCTTGCACGCCCGGGATCCCATATGGGTGCCGGTTCTAATCCCGGCAGCCCCGCTTCCCTTCCGGCTCCCTGCCAGTGGCCCGGGAAAGCAGTCGAGGACGGCCCAAAGCTTTGGGACCCTGCACCCGCGTGGGAGACCCGGAAGAGGCTCCTGGCTTCGGATCGGCATAGTATCGGCCCGTTGCGCTCACTTGGGGAGTGAATCATCGGATGGAAGATCTTCCTCTCTGTCTCTCCTCTCTGTATATCCGCCTTTCCAATAATAATAAAAAATAAATATTAAAAAAAAAGATTTGTTTATTTTGATTGAAAGGAGGATATACAGAGAGGAGAGACAGAGAGGAAGATCTTCCATCCGATGGTTCATTCCCCAAGCGGCCACCAACAGCTGGAGCTGCTCCAATCCTAAGCCAGGAGCCAGGAACTTCCTCCAGGTCTCCCACACGGGTGCAGGATCGTCCTCGACTGCTTTCCCAGGCCTCAGGCAGGGAGCTGGATGGGAAGTGGGGCCACCGTGATTAGAACCGGTGTCCATATGGGATCCCAGGCATGCAAGCCAAGGACTTTAACCACCACACTATAGCGCCGGGCCCCCTTTTTTTTTTTTTTTCCTTTTTCTTTTTTTATCCTACTTTCTGGCAGAAAAGTTTGACTTACTTATTTAGAACAAGTCAAAACTTCCTACAGTCCTCACATGCAGATTTGTCCCTGCCGTTGTGTTATGGTTTCGCTTCTCCTCACAATGACGTTTGCCTGTAAGTGGGGGCAGTAGGATTTATAGTGATTTTTTTTTCCTTTTTGTTAGTTAGACCTTGGAATTTTGCCTCTACACCCCTAAAAAATACTGATTAACATTAAGATATCCTTGTCTGCTCAGGGAAAATAGCTAGCATGGCGTGAGATTCTGTGTGCTTGGCCCAGGTTGTGTGGCATTCCTAAGCAGACACTGCCTGGCCACCTGGCCGTGCTCACTGACGCCTAGGTTGCCTGTGGCCTGGGAGCCACGCAGACCACCACATCCGCACCGCACTGCGGTTCTGGCTTTGTTCCTGTTGCTTTCCCATGACCCTGCTTCTATTAGGGTTGGTCTATTTTCTTTAAATACCTTCGCCAATGGCCTATGAATAAGAACAGTCCTATTTAAATTGGAATAATAACAAAACTTTCAAATGAGGAAAGGCTAAGGTGAAAGACCCAAGAAAGAGGCAGAAACATGAAGGAATCTGTCCCTCCCTCTCCATACTTCTCTTCTGGGCTCTTTCGAACTTGAGCCTGTTTCCTGTCTAAGTGCATAAGTGACATTTTTTTAGATCTTAAAAAAAAATTGTTGGGGAAATCTAAGTATAACTTTATGGCAGGCACCCAGGAGCAGACATTCTTTTCGAGAAAGCTGGGAGAGCAGCAGGGGCAGGATCTTGTGCAGCAAGGGAGAGGAGGCCGAGTGGCGCTGCAGAGAAGCGTCTCTGGAAACTTCTGTGGATGTTTTTTTGTTTGTTTTTTTGGTTTTGCTTGTGTGTGACAACTATTTGATCGCTGTTTATTTTTTTCTTTTTTATAAAGATTTATTTATTTTTATTGTAAAGGCAGATTTTTATACAGAGAAGGAGAGACAGAAAAATCCATCTATTGGTTCACTTCCCAGTGGCTGCGATGGCTGGAACTGAGCCGATCCGAAGCCAGGAGCTTCTTCCGGGTCTCCCACGCAGGTGCAGGGTCCCAAGACGTTGGGCCACCATCCTCCACTGCTTTCCAAGGCCACAAGCAGGGAGCTGGATCAGAAGTGGAGCAGCTGGGGCTCAAACTAGCACCCAGTTGGACTGTGGCTGAGATGGTGTAACTGACAGAGACCTGAAGGTTGTGTAGTGGATCGCCATTTATAGATTTTTCCCTTAAAAGTGCAGATGATTCCTGTGTGCTGTTTTAGTTTTGTATCATGTAACAAACTCTCAGTTGACATGAGCAAGTGAGATCTATTAGTAAATAAGTAAGATTATTTGCAGACAAAAAAATGTAGTAAGACAAAGGAAAAAAGTAACACATCTTCAGACCTTTAGGCCCCTCTGCAGCCCGTGAGTGGTTGGGTGGGAAGAGAGCCTGTGCTTGGTTCTCTAAGCTTTACAGTTCTAAAGCACCTGTGCTCCCGGGCAGCCCAGGGCGCCCTGAGTCCAGACTGGCAGAGAGACGTCCTTGCTGTGTGTGGACAGCTGATGGGGCCAGCGCCCTCTCCCTGTCTTTGCCCGTCGCCGGTACTCACTGGGCGCAGTGGATGACCGCTGTCTAAATTTGCAGGGATTGACTGGGCTCCCAAGAGCGACCGCATCGTCACCTGTGGGGCCGACCGCAACGCCTACGTGTGGAGTCAGAAGGATGGCGTCTGGAAGCCGACCCTGGTGATCCTGAGGATTAACCGGGCGGCCACTTTTGTGAAGTGGTCTCCCCTAGAGAACAAATTTGCCGTGGGAAGTGGAGCGCGACTCATTTCTGTGTGTTACTTCGAGTCTGAAAATGACTGGTAAGCAGCAGTGAAATTTTGTTTTTAAGATTTTTTTCTTTTTAGATTTATTTATTTTTATTTGAAAAGCAGATTTACAGAGAAGAGAGACAGAGGGAAAAATCTTTCATCTGCTGAATGGATCTAAAGCCAGGAGCTAGGAGCTTCTTCTGAATCTCCCGTGAGGGTGCAGGGTCCCAAGGCTTCGGACCATCCCCGCCTGCTTTCCCAGGCCCTAAGCAGGAAGCTGGATGGGAAGTGAAGCAGCTGGGATATGAACCAGTGCCCATACGGGATATTGGCGCATGCAAGGAGAGGATAAACCGCTTGAATCCTTGTACCATGTCCTTGTATTAAGATTGTTTTCTTTTTTGAAAGACAGTTAGGGCAGGGATGAGATATTCCATCTGTTAGTTCACTCCTTGGATGCAGTGACCGAGGATGGGCTAAGGCAAAGCCAGGATTCCAAAACTCCATTCGGGTCTCAGTGGTGTGTGGCAGGGACCCTAGTACCTGAGCCATCTTCCTCTGCTTTCCCAGGCATGTTAGCAAGGAGCTGGATCAGAACTGGAGCAACTAGGACTCAAAGTAAAACTCATGGGATGTTGGCATCGTGGGTAGCCTGACCACTGTGCCTCAGTGCTGGCCCCACATTAGAACTTTTTTCTCTGTCTCCATAGTTTACATTAGGGCTGCTCTATTCTGCCTTCTCAAAGCCCTGGGCGAAGGATGAACTAATCCCAGCTTTTCCTCATCTGGAGACATTTTCCCCCTAAAATACTTCCTTCTCACATTGTTGTTTCTTCAGTGTGTGTGTCAGAAATCCTCTCAGAGCCTCACTGGGATGCACAGATAGAAACAAACGCCATTAGTAGCCTTACATGACTAAAGTTTATGTCCACTAAATCCCAGCAATTTTAACGAATTTATGTTGGATATTCTGGGATCCCATATGGACACTGGTCCGTGTCCCAGCTGCTCCGCTTCCCATCCAACTCCCTGCTTATGTCCTGGGATAGGAGGGAAGGATGATCCGTGGCCTTGGGACCCTGCACCCGCGTGGGGGAGGCTCCTGGCTTCAGATCAACTCGGCTCCACTGTTGTGGCCCTTGAAGAGAGAACCAGTGGATGGAAGATCTTTCTGTCTGTGCGTCTCTCTGCATATCTGCCTTTGCAGTAAAAACAAAATTAATCTTAAAAAGAAAAGAAAAAGAAACCAATCTGAGGTAATATTTTGAATTTATACTGTAGCTTTTTAAGAAGCTTATTTAAGGAAGAGTAGCAAACAAAGCAATCAGTTTGTATTGTTGAATTTCGGGCTTCTGAGGGTTAATTTTATTGGAGTGTTCACATCACACGAGTAAAACACTGTCAAGCTGTTGAAAACTGCCCTGAATGCTTACTTTGTTCAAAGACAACACCTATGCCACTGTGAGGTTCTGCGTTTGACACTTCTTTGAGGTCTCCCACGGATGAATACAAGTTTATTACTTCATTGGAAGCTTAGTTAGAAGGAAGACTTTCTAACATGAATTTTGAAGGATTTGGCTGCCGTGCCATCACACTCAGATTGTAGAAAAGGATTCTATATGCACATAATTTGGAGTTCAAAGGAAGAAGCTTGGCTCAATATTAAGTCTCTCAACTGCTGGACAGCTCAGCATGATTTGTTTTTAAATAGTATTTTTAGGACAGAAATTATTTGAGCCTAAATAATAACTGGTTTTAGACATAAATAATTTTTTCTGAATGGCACTACATCATTAGTTAGTGGCTAATCCCTGACAAAAGATTCTATTTTCGTGGTTGTGGTTTCTCTGAGTGAATAAACAAACAAACAAATAAATTAAATAATTTATAGCTCATGGAGACTGGTGAAGAATTTTTTTTTTAAGATTTATTTTTATTTATTTATTTATTTTTAAAGATTTATTTTTATTATTTTTTCATTGGAAAGGCGGATATACAGAGAGGAGAGACAGAGAGGAAGATCTTCCATCCGATGATTCACTCCCTAAGTGAGCGCAACGGCCGATACTATGCCGATCCGAAGCCAGTAGCCTCTTCTGGGTCTCCCACGTGGGTGCAGGGTCCCAAAGCCGTGGGCCGTCCCTGACTGCTTTCCCGGGCCACAGGCAGGGAGCTGGAAGGGAAGTGGGGCTGTCGGGATTAGAACTGGCGCCCATATGGGATCCCGGGCATGCAAGGCGAGGACCTTAACCATTGCGCCACCACGCCGGGCCCTGGTGAAGAAATTTAAGCTCTCAGTTGTGACATCCCATGTGGGTGCCAGTTCAAGCCCTGGCTGAGCTACATCTGGTCCAGCTCTGTGCTAGCGCACCTGAGGTAGCAGCAGAAGATGGCCAAATGTTTGGACCCCTAGCGACCTGGGAGACCCAGGAGAAGCTCCAGGCTGCTTCGACGTGGCTCAGCCCTGGCTGTTGCAGCCATTTGGGAAATGAATCGATGGATGGAACATTTCTCTCTCTGTAACTCTGCCCTTCAAATAAATAATAAAATATTTTTTTAAAAAACAAACTTTTTTTACAATCCAAAACAGAATAGCAAATCACTGAATATTTATAATAAAAACACAGATTTCTGCTTTTAAGGATTTATTTACTTATTTGAAAAAGTTAGAGAGAGGCAGGGAGAGAAATCTTCCTTCTGCTGGTTCACTTTCCAGATGGCCGCAGAGTCAGGGCTGGGCAGTGCAAAGCCAGGTACCTGGAACTCCATCCCAGGTGCGTTAACAGGAAGTTGAATTGGAAACTGCGCAATCAGAACTGGCTCCTATGGGATGCTGAGTGTCACAGGAGGTTGCTTAATGTGCTGCACCATGGCCTCCCAATTCAAGTAATTTCCCAAAGTTAACATATGTTTTCTGAATCAGTGTTTACCAAGTTCTCCATCTTTTAGCAGGAGATCTGGCGGCTAGCCAAAGCTGAGGTGCATTTTACTATGGGCAGTGGGCCAGGCTGGACTTGATCCAGGCTCTTTGCGCCACACACATGAAAGAATTCAATATGGAGGTATAAACATACAGGATGGGGATGGGAGTGTCCCCTATGACAAGTTAAAGATTTCTTTCTTTAAAGTCAAGAATTACAGAGCGTGATCTTTCACCCACTGGCTCAGCCCCAGGTGAATGCGAAGGTCATAGGTTTGCTGGGTCAAAGCCAAGAGTTTTATCTGAGTCTTCATGGTGGGTAGCTGTGAATTCCACTAGAAGAGGGATGAATCAGAAGTGGGCCATCTGGGACTCCCACTGGCACCAGGTGGGATGCTGGTGTTATGGTGGTGGCTTTCTTAGTGATTTTATTATAGTGACATTATAAGTGAACACATCCAGTAGCCGTATCAGATGGTTGCAGCTGGTGCGAAGTTTGCAGCATTGTGCTACTTTTGGTTTCCACTTTGTGGAGGACAGAGTTCAGATGCACATGGAGAGTGTTTGGATGGTGCCGACTGGGCCATCACTACGGGGCCGGCACGGCTGCTGTGTAGGTGGGCTGGAGCTGTCACTCCACAGACCACACCACACGCAGTCGGCTGGGGCCAGCCAACCTCAGCTCCGCTCCAGCAGCTTGCCTTCCCACGTCATTTTCATTTCATAATTGCATGCGTCACATGGGGACTGTCTCTTGATGTGTAGATAAACTGTAACAGATTTTCTCCTCTCATAGGTGGGTAAGCAAACACATTAAAAAGCCCATACGCTCCACAGTCCTCAGCCTGGATTGGCATCCAAACAACGTTCTGCTGGCAGCGGGATCATGTGACTTCAAATGCAGGTGGGCACAGATGAGAGTTGGTGCACTTGCTGCCCGTCGTTCAGTGCCTGCTTGCGAGGGCACTGGGAGGCACGCCTGTGATCTGGCAGGGAGCTGTGCATGCAGATTAAAGGAGCAGGAGCAGCCGTCACTGACAGGGAAGGAAGTGGGGGCTGGCTGGGACCCTGGGCGCGATCCTCGCACAGAATATTCATGATTTCTAGTGAGAAGCTAAGACATGCCCCTGTCTCTCTTCTCTCCCTTTCCCTGTATTTCTGCACTGTTGGGGTATTTCTCATTCCAGGTTTCAGACAACAGAGTGCACATTCCAGAGTGAAGCTAAGATGAGAAAACCTGAGCTAAGCAGCGTGCTGCTGCGCGAGTCCTGTGGGGGCTTTGGCTTTGCTGTAGGCGGTGCTGGAAGAAAGGGCCACTTTGCTCTGAGCTTAAGGCTCATACTGTGTAATTGCTTCTTAACAACACTCTTCCTTATCAGGAAGGCCTATTTCCCCCTTAGCTAAAGAAAAATAGTCAGTGCTGCCTCAGGGGGCTCCATGGTGGGTTGGGAGGGAGGGCACGGCTTTCTCCTGGAAGCACCGGGGAATTTCCAAAGAAACCTTGCGGTGAAGTCCCAAGATTTTAAAGCAGTTCTCTGTGTGAGTGTGGGTCCATTGATGATTATGGTGGCAGAAATAAATCAGTGTTATTTTCTAGAGTTTTGTTGTTTGTGGACTCTTCCAGAGCCACTCTATTCCCTTAGGAAATGGGAGTGGGTGGCACTGAACCTGCCCGGTGGATTGTAGCCACAGTCCCCATTAAAACCAGTTCCCACAAATAGGCTTTCTTGGACTCATGGTCCTGTGGGTCGGGGTCTGTTCTGTACACGTTCTCCACTTGGCAGTAAGGAACGCGAGTTCTTTCTGGGTGCACATGACTAAAGCAGCTGCTGTCACGATGCTGATTAGAAATGCAAGTCGTAGGCCCAGCATAGTGGCCTAGCAGTTAAAGTCCTCGCCTTGAACGCACAGGGATCCCATATGGGTACTGGTTCTAGTCCCAGCGGCTCCACTTCCCATCCAGCTCCCTGCCTGTGGCCTGGGAAAGCAGTCAAGGACGGCCCAAAGCCTTGGGACCCTGCACCTGTGTGGGAGACCTGGAGGAGTTTCTGGCTCCTGGCTCCAGATCAGCATAGCACTGGCCATTGCGCTTACTTGGGGAGTGAACCATCAGACGGAAGATCTTCCTCTCTGTCTCTCCTCCTCTCTGTATATCTGACTTTGTGATAAAAAATAAATAATAAATCTTAAAAAAAAAAGAAAAAGAAATGCAAGACGTGAGTGGGACAGCGTCTCCTCATCTGACTTAGCAGAGAAGTCCCCAGCCTCTGCCTGTGTGTCTTGCAGAGTTTCCATTGCTGTTGGGCATACCCTAGTTCTTGTAGGAAGCTTTTAGGTCCGGGAGTTCTGTGAAGCAAATCAGACGTAGCATGGGAGGGCCAAGGGCTACATTTGCAGCTGTCTTTTGCACCTTTTCCTCTCCAACTCTGGGCCCAAACATCTCACACACAGCTACTAGAACAGGTGAGGAGGTGGGCCTGAGGGCTGGGTGAGGACTAACCATCCCTCACAGCTCCGAGAGTTGCCTGCTTGTCCTCTCGCCTCTCAGCTTCCTCTCTGGGTGATCGCCCTGTCCCTGTAGGGACAGTGGCCTAGTGCCACGGGGTTCCTCTCCTGCGGTGGACTGGGGGGGCTGCCAGCGTCCGTGATGAGCCTGATGGTGAACAGCAGAGTGCTGCGGTGTTTAGCAAGGGGTGGTCGGACAGTGGGGTGTCCCCTGCCATGCCTGGGTCCTGACCCCTAGTAGGCACCCTATGTGTTTCTGCTGACTGGGTGTGGATTTGCCCCATCAGCCTAGTCTGGAGCCATTGGAGGAGTTTGTGTATCAGATCTGGGCCATCCTGGTTGTTTGGTTTGTTGAATGTGTCAGCCTTTGGGGGTTCGGAGGTACTTAGAGCTGCTGCCTGTGGACCATATATACACCTATTTCCCTTCTTTCCTTGGCCTTTGTTAAACCACAGGGTATTTTCTGCATACATCAAAGAAGTGGATGAAAAGCCTGCCAGTACACCCTGGGGCAGCAAGATGCCCTTTGGTCAGCTGATGTCAGAGTTTGGTGGCAGTGGCACTGGTGGCTGGGTCCATGGGGTCAGCTTCTCTGCCAGCGGAAGCCGCCTGGCCTGGGTCAGCCACGACAGCACCGTATCCGTCGCGGACGCCTCCAAAAGCGTGCAGTGAGTATTTGCCTTTTGTCTGGAAGGTGTCGGGCGGGGAACAGGAATTCCCACGTGCCAGGCTGAGGCTGCCATTGCCTGAATGTGCACACAGCATGGGGTGTAGAAACCCCAGCCCAGAAGGGACAGGCACACCCAGCAGCCTTCAGTTACATAGGGCGTGTATTCTCCATCCAGACCATCTGGCAGCAGTGGCCGCAGCATGGGGCTTCCACGCAGTAACACTCAGCAGCCTGAGCAGCCTGCAGGCCGCCGTGCGATGCCCTGCAAGGCCTGCGGTTGTGGCAGCTCACTCGTGAGAGGGCTGCCTGCACTGCCCTTGGGCACCTTGTCAGGCGTCACAGTTCGCACACAGTACGCTGGAAGGGAAAACTTTGGGGTCCTTCTCATCCTTTCCTGGGGAATTGGTTTCTATTAAAACCTTGGGGACCACGTGTCATGAAGCAGTCCCACTTGGTGACCCTTCTTTTGCTGTTTGGACATCGTGTTACAGAAATGATGCCTTTTTTTCTAATTGAGTTTTTTAAAAAATTGTGTTAAGATAAATCCCTTATGGGCCCGGCGGCATGGCTTAGCGGCTAAAGTCCTCGCCTTGAACGCACTGGGATCCCATATGGGCGTCGGTTCTAATCCCGGCAGCTCCACTTTCCATCCAGCTCCCTGCCTGTGGCCTAGGAAAGCAGTCAAGGATGGCCCAAAGCTTTGGGGCTCTGCACCCGCGTAGGAGACCTGGAAGAAGTTCTTGGCTTTGGATCGGCATAGTACCGGCCGTTGCGCTCACTTGGGGAGTGAATCATCGGACGGAAGATCTTCCTCTCTGTCTCCTCCTCTCTGTAGATATGACTTTCCAATAAATAAATAAATCTTTAAAAAGAAAGATAAATCCCTTATTATAAGCATTGCATTCCAGATTTATGTATATTTGTATACACTTTTTTTCATTATTTAAAACAAGAGCTTTTTCCAGATTTTTTTATATGCATATGTATTTTTTTTTTAAGATTTTATTTATTTTTATTACAAAGTCAGATATACAGAGAGGAGGAGAGACAGAGAGGAAGATCTTCTATCTGATGATTCACTCCCCAAGTGAGCGCAATGGCCGGTGCTGCGCCAATCTGAAGCCGGGAACCAGGAACCTCCTCCGGGTATCGCACACGGGTGCAGGGTCCCAAGGCTTTGGGCCGTCCTCGACTGCTTTCCCAGGCCACAAGCAGGGAGCTGGATGGCAAGTGGAGCTGCCGGGATTAGAACGGGCGCCTATATAGGATCCCAGTGCGTTCAAGGTGAGGACTTTAGCCACTAGGCCATGCTGCCGGGCCCATGCATATGTATTTTTAAGATTTATTTATTTTTATTTGAAAGATGGATTTACAGAGAAAAAAAACAGAAAGGCTTTCTATCCTCTGGTTCCCTTGCCAAATGTCCACAATGGCCAGAGCTGAGCTGATCCAGGAACCAGGAGCTTCTTCCTGGTCTCCCACACAAGTGCAGGGTCCCAAGACATTGAGCCATCCTCTACTTTCCCAGGCCACAAGCAGGGAGCTGGATGGGAAGTTTAGCAGCCAGGATATGGACCAGCGCCCATATGGGATCCCTGCAGAATCAAGGCGAGGATTTAGCCCCTAAGTTATTGCGCCAGGCCCTTTTGTGTATTTTTGAGAGAAGGAGGAAACTCCATCCACTGGCTTACTCCCCACGACTCCACAAAGTTCAGGGGGCCAGAGCTGAAAAGCAGGGGCGCCATCCAGGTTTCCCACCAGAGTAGCAGAAGCCCAGTGACTTGAGGCATCACTCGTGCCTCCCAAGGCCGAGTAGCAGGACCTGGGATCCAAGGTGGAGCCAGTTGCCATCCAACACAAATTGGGTTGTGTCCTACATCTTGCGTAGTTACCACCTTTTGGCATTCAATACTATTTTGATGAAGCCAGTATCATTTATTGTTTTATGTGGCTTATTCTAACGCACAGTGTGGTCTCAGGATAAGCTGACTGTAAGGCCCTGACCACCTCTAATCTCTTCGCTTTCTCCAGTCCTACAAGTACGATTACCTCCCCCGCCTTCCATTTCCCCAACATGAATATTTCATCCAGTGGGAGGCACACACAGCGTGTTTGCTACAGCAATTAGATGCCACTTGGGATGCCCGTGTCCAGCATTGGAGAGTGTTTTGAATCCCGGATGCACTCAGAATTTCAGCTTCCTGCTAATGTGTCTTCCGGGAAACAGTAATGATGGCTTAAGTACTGGGGTCTTTGTTGCCCATGTCAGAGACCTGAACTGAAGGGCCAGCATCGTGGCTTGCGTTGGCAGCATCCCATGTGGCTGCTGCTTCCATTCCCAGTTGCTCTACCTCCAATCCTGTTAACGGCCTGGCGAAAGCAGATGATTCAGTGTTTGGGCCCCTGCCATCCACGTGGGAGAATCCAGTCAGCTGGGGCATACGCCAACAGATAGATCTCTCTCTTCTTTCCCTTTCAAGATGAATAAATAAACCTTAAAAATATTTATAAATGTGGATTGAGTTCCTGACTCCCGGCTTCAGCCTAGGTCAGGCCTGGCTGTCAGGCGTTTGGGGAGCGAGCCAAAGGGTGGACGTGTCTCTGCTGTTCGAAGAAAATAAGGAACGTCTTTACTTAAAGTAAGGCGTAGCACACGGAGGGCTCTTCTGAAGACATCTCCTGGGATGTCAAATGCACGTTGAAGCTGCATCCATTTTGTGTGAGGTTAGGCACTCCCAGTGCGTCAGCCAGTGTTCCTTGCAAGCTGCAGAAGCGCAGCGTGTGTGCTTGTGTGTGTGCGCACCCACGGAACCTATTCAGCTGAGGCCCTGGCTCACTGAGACTCGGTTCCAGTCACCTAGGAAGCTCTGGCTCCTACCTGATGTGGTGTCATCTCGGTGTCCGCAGGTCACAGTCCCCTGGGGGGTCTAGTGAGCACCCGGCAGGGAGGCTGTGTGCTAGTCAGTCAAGAGTGACCGGAAGGGGTGAGGGGAAGGAGCAGCCCCTCAGGCTGCAGTGTACAGGGAAGCCTTTTGCAGGAGTCCCGTCCTGGCAGGGGAGGGGAGGCAGCGCAGGAGGCGGGAGAGCATGGGCTCCTGGGCATCAGTTTGTCCTGAGGGGCAGGGGCCTCAGAAGGCGGCCAGGCACAGGCTGGAGATTGCTGAAGGCCTCAGGTTCTGGGGACAGCCCAGGCCTGCCTCACGGCGGAGATTCCTGCGACGAGAGGTCATGGGGCTGCTGTGTTCGGAGGCGAGGCCGGGAGAATGGGTCCTTTGTCGTCCCCTGTGTCTGGAGAAGCTGTGCGGCTGCTTCGTCTCCGTGTAACAGGCATCCTTGTGTTCAGGGTCTCCACTCTGAAAACCGAGTTCCTGCCACTCCTGAGTGTGTCGTTTGTCTCCGAGAACAGCGTTGTGGCAGCCGTAAGTATTTCTGCATCTTGCTGGTAAGGATCGCAGCCCGTCCTCCAGATGAGAACAGTGTGCGCCTGTGACGTGAGCACAGCAGAGCACGAGCTGAGACGAGCACATGATGCCCGTGGGGGCAACCACTGTACTGAGGGGCTGGTGCCAGGCACCATGCCCTCCCAGGGCCGACCCCTGCCTGCCTCCTTGTCACAGGGCCATGACTGCTGCCCAATGCTCTTTAACTACGATGACCGCGGCTGCCTGACCTTTGTCTCCAAGCTGGACATCCCGAAGCAGAGCATCCAGCGCAACATGTCTGCCATGGAACGCTTCCGCAACATGGACAAGAGGGCCACGACCGAGGACCGCAACACGGCCCTGGAGACCCTGCACCAGAACAGCATCACGTAGGTGCTGCGGCCTTTGTAGAGCAGTGCCCGGGGACCCACGTGCCTTCTCCTCACAGAGTCCCTACAGACACTGCATGCACTGCAGGCCCCAGCACTGCAGCAGTACAGACAGCCAGAAGCCTGTCTTCCTCAGTAGTGAAACATCATGGCTTCATCATGCTGCCTTTGCAGAGGCAGGGGACAGGGCATCCCACAGGGCAGTGCCATGCTGCCCTTCCGGGTGCGGGGAACAGGGCATCCCACAGGGCAGTGCCACGCTGCCCTTCCAGGTGCAGGGGACAGGGCATCCCACAGGGCAGTGCCACGCTGCCCTTCCAGGTGCGGGGGACAGGGCATCCCACAGGGTAGTGCCACGCTGCCCTTCCAGGTGCAGGGGACAGGGCATCCCACAGGGCAGTGCCACGCTGCCCTTCCGGGTGCAGGGGACAGGGCATCCCACAGGGCAGTGCCACGCTGCCCTTCCGGGTGCGGGGGACAGGGCATCCCACAGGGCAGTGCCACGCTGCCCTTCCAGGTGCAGGGGACAGGGCATCCCACAGGGCAGTGCCACGCTGCCCTTCCAGGTGTGGGGGACAGGGCATCCCACAGGGCAGTGCCACGCTGCCCTTCCAGGTGTGGGGGACAGGGCATCCCACAGGGCAGTGCCACGCTGCCCTTCCAGGTGCAGAGGATGGGGCATCCCAGAGGGTGGCACAGCCTGTGCTGCAGCCTGTGCAAGGGGGCTCCTGTTGGTAGTTCCCCGCAGGCTCACGTTCTCAGTGACCTGACTGAGGACAAGGGGAGACTTTCCTGCAGGCTGTGTGGGTAGGTAGTGAGTACATGACAGGGCTCACAGTGACACCATCTCTGACAAGTAACTGCAGCCAGCGGCTCAGCCACGGGCTTCTCAGGACAGCAGGTAGACGGCGACATCAGAAAATGCTTTCTTTAATGACGCAGCAGAGCCCATGGCCTCATTGTGACAAAGCTAAGGAGTCTCTGGCCTGGCTCTCCACCAGGCTGTGGAAAATACAGACACGAGAACTGTGGATTGCTTTCAAATCTAGAGAACCCGTGGAATCCATTCTTGGTATTTTAAGTAATTCTATGCCGAGTTGGGTACTGTCCAATTTTTTCTTTTTGAGTAGTTCTTTTGAGAAATTTTTATTGCGTTGATAGCAGGAGACCTTCTCTTTGAAACAGTTATTAAATATGGATTGTACCTCTTCATGTCCAGTGACACATCTGTACTCATGAAAAATAGAAACTTGGAGGTTGAGCAAACCGTACCTTCTTTCCATACTCAGATTTCTCCATCTTGGGCTTCTCTGCCAGCTGCACATCAGCAGACACTTGCAGCGGCCTCAGACTTGTCAGTGACAGATGAGAAGCCAAACCCTGCAAATCGGGAAGGGCCTCTGTCCCTAGAGCCGTGTCAGCAGGCTTTTCCTGTAAGCGGTGGGCCGTGACGAACTGCAGTCTCCATTGCACTGCTCAGCCTGGCCCTTTGGTGCAAAAGCAGCCACAGAAAGCATAAATGAATGAGCTGGCTGTGTTCCGATAGCACATCAAATGATGGAGAGTGCGGCTTGAATGTCACGTCCTTGTCACACACCAGGAGATTTTCCAACCCTTTAAAATGTGGAGGACACTTTGAAGCTCACGGGCTACACGAAAGCAGGCAGTGTGCGCCACAGTCGGCCTTCCCTTTCCCTTGAGAGAACGTTCTAGGCATTTCAGAGGAGAAAAGGAAAGACTGTCTGAGCTGGGAATTGATTTTCTTGAAAGCTTTCCGGATAATTAGGCAAAGGGCGGGTGTGTCGTTGACCTATCCTTTGCTGTGCTCCGTGGGAATTCCGAGCGATTGGGTAGTTCACGAACTGACGGCTGACCTCTGTTGTGATTAATTTCAAATGCTGGAGGGCCCTGGGCTTCTGTGCCCACTGTCCTAATGGGTGACTGGAGACGGCTGATGAGGGCCCAGTGGGTTTTAGTTACACTTCATCACACCTCTGGTGTTGAAAAACAAACAGAAAATCTTTGTTTTTCCACCCGTGCTATGGTCCTGCCCACGACCTGCTCATGAGTGTTTGCCTGTTGTATGGGCCAGATCGTGCCTGTGACACGAATCCTCTCTCACCTGGAACTCTTGGCAAACAGTTTGGGCTCTTTTTGGAGTTAGATTCCCAAAACCTCCTGTTTAGGAGTTGCAGGCCCAGTGTGGTGGTGCAGCGGGTGCAGTGGCATCTTGGAGCGCAGCATGTCATGGCGGGGCACCGGCTGAAGCCTGGCTGCTCTGCGTCTGACCCACTTCCTGCTAAACACTGGAGAAGGCCCGAGTTCCAGGGCTGCTGCCACCATCAGGGAGATCTGGACGGGGTCTCTGGCTCCTGGCTTTGAGCTGGCCCCAGTGCTGGCGTGTGTGTGTGTGTGTGCCTGTGTGTATACATGAGCACGCGTGTGTGTATTTCCTTTTTGAATAAATGAGTCAGTACATCTTTTAAAAACATATTCAGGAGTTAAAAGACAACATATCCCCTTGCATTGCCTTTAAACAGGAAGGCCAGGTTCACACCATGCCTGCCAGCAGTCTCATTGTTTCTTACTTTATTTCAGTCAAGTATCTATTTATGAAGTGGACAAGCAGGACTGTCGCAAATTTTGCACAACTGGCATCGATGGAGCCATGACAATTTGGGATTTCAAGGTATTTTCTGCCTTCCAGAATGAATGTGTGTTGAGACTTCCTGTAAGAGAATGTTGTGTAGTTGAAGCGTTGTCAAATCCAGTGCCCGGGAGCGTAGGAACCTCATCAAGGTATAGTGCTGTTAGCTGAGAGGGACCCTGTGTTCTCAGCTTAATGAAAAATGGGCTTCTGGGTGAACATTTCCTCCCCCAAACCCGTGTGCTGTTGTCAGCCGGCCCTGTGCCGGGCACCAGCCTGCCCGTAGCTGCAGGGATGTGTTTATGGCTTGCCCTTAGTCCCTGAGTGCCTGCTGGGCATGGTGCTGGGCACGGCAGAGATGGAGAGAAAGGAGCCCCGGGGAGTGCTCTAATAGAGGGAGAGGTGGGCGGATTAGCCAAAGCTTGGAAGAGAGGCCGGGCCCTGTGCTGGCGTAGAGGAATGCGCTAGAGCACGGAGGTACCTGGGGACCGGTGTGCAGGAGTTTCCGGAAGGGGAAGACCATGGGTTGAGAAAGCAGAGGTGAGCACTGGAGCAGCAGAGGGTCAGCACACGGGGCACTCGCAGCACCGCCCGTGGCCGGGGCCTGCAGAGGCATGAGACATGACCCAGGAGAGGAGCCAAGGCTGTGTCTGCAGACACCTGGGACTTGTCAGAACCTCAGAAAGGCAGCAGGCGGTGGGTGAGGGAGGCCTCGACTGGGCCACTGTAGGCACTGCTGGTCACCGTAGTAGCCATGAGCTTCTAGACTGGATGGAGTGTGAGGAGACCGAATAGGGGGGCATGGTGACAGGGGCAAATCTGGGACTGTACCGTTTCTCATTGGGGTTGGAGATGGCACGTGGAGCAGAACCAGGGAGGAAGAGCTAGAATAAGGAAAAGGATGGCTTTCTGTGCGGCTCAGAATTTAGCTTACCCAGTCGCTAACCTCCAAGGCAGGGCCACCTGACAGTTCTCCCACTGCCTGTGTGGAGACCTCCTCCTCTGACCCCCTCAGCGTGGACCGGCCTGCTGAACCCGAAGCCTGCTTGCCTCCTTACCCTCCTGTGCCCGGGGTCCCAGCGCACAGCCCTGGGTGGTTGTCGGCAGCTGGGCAGTACCGGGGGGGTGCCCCACACGAGTCCCTCTGCTTTCCATGACCTGTGTGAGCCAGGAGTCCCAGCACCTGCCGGTTGTTGGGTGGCCCCTCCGGGCATTTAGTGCAAAAAGAGCCCGTATCCACGAAGCCCAGTGAGAATCGAGAGGCTAGCCTGGCAGTGGGGTGGGCCAGTGGGGACACGGGGCCTGGAAGGAGCCGGGGAGAGCCCCACTCTTCTGGGATGACCTGGGGGAGGGGCTGTACCTCCCCGACAAAGGAGGGGAAGGAATGGGTGGGCAGACGTCAGTAGTGACCGGCTTCCCTCCTTCCTTTCTCCAGACCTTAGAGTCTTCCATCCAGGGCCTCCGGATAATGTGAAGCTGCGTGAGCCGTCGCCGTCCAGCTGACAAGCCGTGGCTGCCCGCGACTGCCATTTGCATGCTGGTGAGGGCAGCCAGCCCGAGGAGCTGCCGCGTGTCTGCCTACAGTTAGTGTTGGGGAGATAGCGCCTGTCTGACTACAGTCGGTCAAAGTGTTGGTTTGTGAAAAGCAGCAGTGAGGTTTTTTTCTTCTCTTTCTCTCTCTCTCTTTTTTTTTTTTTTTGCTATTTCATTCCATTCTTGACCAAAGCTTCTTTAAGTAGTTTATTATGGAAAATTGTCCACTAACTTAAAGGAAAGGGTGAGGGAAGTATGTAAATTGCCCACTAGAAAAGTAAATTAAAAAATCCTGAATGTGTTTTTGGTTTTGTTTCCTTATTCGGATTCCATCCTTAGCATAAAGATATGGTTAAGCTACTCATCAGATTAAATGTGCGTTCGTAGGCCGTCTCTCCCGGCCTGCACCCCAGACACCTTTGATCAAGAAGAGCATTTCCTGTGAGGGCGCCCCTCCGCGCCAGGTGTGTTCCCGCGCGGGCAGGGCAGGGTGGGACAGAGCGAGCCGCGAAACAAGGATTAGCCACAGCGTTCTTCCTCATTTTATGAAGTCACGTGGCCTGGCCAGCGGGCCCAAAGAGTCTGAGAAACGTAACCAGGAAAGAAACATCAGAAAAGAAAAGAATGTGCTACTCACTGGCTTTGCGGCTAAGAAGTCGGTAGCCACACAGCTGCTTTGGTTGTATTTTAATTCGGATTACCCCAGCCATGATGGCCAGCAGGCTGGAGTGCAGGAGTGCAGACCGCAGTCCGGGCCTGCACTCTGCCTGCACCTCCTCCCACGGCCGCAGATGCAGCACACCGGTCAGACACCAGGACAGGCTGTGCTGCAAGCCAGGCACGCGGGAGGGGCGCCTTGGGCTGCCCGCGCCCCGCACTGGAGAGTCTGCGTTGGAGCCCCGCTCTGCTCACACAGACCCTGCGTGGCAGCAGGCGACAGCTCACGTCCCCTAGTCCTTCCAGGTACTTGGGAACTGAACCAACCGGTGGGAGTGAGTGTACGCTGTCTTACCTCTCAAAAATAAAATTTTAAAAGCTGTGCCTCGGGAGGGCCGTGAGCAGCTTCTCCGGAGTCCTGGTGGCGGCCACTGACCCTGTTCCCCGCTGGCTGGGTCGGGGTGGCGGTGTCAGAGTGCTGCGCAGTTCAGCTCACCCGCGTGCAGGAGCAGGCCGGATGTTCCCGGAACCCACGTGAGCACTCTGCCGGCATGACCACCTGTGGGGCTTCACTGGGCACCGGGATGCCAGCCCAGGGAGACGGGCCAGATCAGAAATACTTGGTACCTTACACCCTACACTCACAGGTGGTCCCAGGGTGGGGGCGGCACAGCAGTCTTCCTCCCCCTCTTGCATATTGATGGCTGGTGGCTCCTTTGATCTCAGAGAAGGGTCCCCATTGCAGGGTGGACACAAGTCCCTTTTACAGCCACTGAGACAAAAGGGAGAGGATGTTGGGAGCTTCTGGAAGAGGTTTCCTGCAGCTCAGGCCAGCCCACTGCTTGCTTGCCTGCAGGCCGCCTGGCCACTGTCTTCTGACCAGGCCTGCAGCTGCTTTGCCCAGAGTGAGGCCCGGAGCACATGTTCACACAGCAGCGACCCCTGCAAGGCCAACCCCAGGCACAAAGGGCTTTCCTGGTTCTCCACGTGAAATGCCATCCCAAGCTCCCCTGACCCAAGCAGTGGCTTCCCTCAAGTCTTAGAAAACCTCCTCCCTGGGAGAGCCATTTCAAGGGAGGCCGCCTGCCTTCCCACCTGCTGAACTTTGCCCTCATGCTCCTTAGCCACACCGTATGGACACGGAAGAGCAAGAGGCTTGGCCTGAAGTCACAGCCTGAGTGACAGAACCTGCATCCGAGTCACTTTGCTAATGACACCTGCTCAGCCTAGAGATTCCCACGGACCAAGCACTTTGGACTGGCCCGTCACCGGGCATCTTAGCTCACGGGTCCAGGACAGAAGGTGGGAGAGGAGCGCTGTGAGCTGACTAGGCTACCTGGGTCACTGTGTGTGTACCTGCAACACCTCTCATCCTTGTTCCCTCGAGGCGTTGGTCCCGAGGTACAGACCCTTTGAAACTGCTTTCCAGTTCATGCTGAACAATGCCTGAGCAGCAAGGTGGGGGGCCTTAGCTAAGAGTACCTCCCCCCCTCAGTGCCAGAATCCATCACTTGCCCTGGAAAGCCTTAGCTACGGGTCCTAGACACAAGGCGCACTCACCACCGAAGCGCTCTGGGGTGCAGGGTGCTCCTGGGAACCTCACAGCACCGAGAGGGGTTAGGGGGCAGCGGCTGGCTTTTGCAGGGGAGGGGGCCACGAGAGCTGAGGGACGCGGCCACAGCCTGTAGCACCACGGCCCAGTGAAGGGGTCCTAGCAGGCTGGGTGTCTGGGGCCTTTCCCTCCTTCCCCTGGCCACGCCTCTCCAGTGAGGGCAATATCAGGGGCAGCCGGACCCAGGGGACGCACCCGCGCCCCAAGACTCAAACTCGGGCAACGGTAAAGCAGCCCAGATCTCTGCAGGGGGAGAAAGCTGGAGTTAGCCAGGAGAAAACGCGCCCGGGCCGGCCGCGGACAGCACGGGGCCGACGAGGGCGGTGCCGGCGCCGTCTACACCCGGCGCTGGAATCCGCGCCGGAGCGGAGGGGCGGGGACGCAGGCGGCGGGGGTCCTGCGCTGTCCCGGGCGCGGGCGGCCATCCCCACCTCGACGTGCCCGTCCAGGAGGCCGCGCGGGCCGACGGCGCGGCGCCCTGCGAAGGCCCCTCCACGGCGGGCGGCTGGGCGGGCCTGGGCTCGGACGCCCGCCGCCCCCGGTTCCCGCCCCCGGTCCCGGGGCTCGGCCCGCCAGGCCCCGCCCCCCGCCCACGAGGAAGTGGCCGCGGCGGCGCGCGGGGCGCAGAGCCGGCTCGGCGCGTCGACTGCCCAGAGTCCGCGGCCGCGGCGCCCCGAGGTGAGGGGGCTCGGGCCGCCCCGGGGCGGGGGAACGCGCGCAGCTGGGGCGCGCGGGGCGGGAGGCGCGGTCGGGGCCGTCTGGAAGCGCTGCGGGCCCGGAGGAGGGAGGAGGCGCGGGCGGTGGCGGCGGCCGAGGGGCGCGCGGGACCCTGCGCCCCCCAGGTCCGTCTGTGCTGCCCGGCCGCGCGCCCCCGTCCCGACCCCCACGCCGTCGCTGGGGTGGCCCCGTTACTTCGGGCCGGCGGGCCCCACGCCCAGTCACTTCCCCTCCATCCCTCGAGCCTTCCGGGTTGCAGCGGCCGGGAAATGAGCTGGCGCCCCCGCCCCAGCGCAGCCGAGCCCGTGGCCCGCAGGGGCCAGGTCCGAGGGGCTCCCCAGGCTGACCCTTCCCTTCCCCGCGGCGCAGGGGGCTGCAGGACACGGCCGGGTGGGGCGGGCGCGCGGGGTCGGTGGCTGCAGGAGCCAGCGGTCGGGAGAGGTTAGGCGTGCCCTCCACCCCGCCCGATGCTATTGAAAGTCTCGCGGACCACGGGTAAGGAGTGCCCGCTGCTTGCTTCACTGGTTGTCCACCTTGGCCAAGCCAGCCCCGCTCGGTGGGCCTCACCTTCCCCATCTGGAAAATGGGGGCCTTGGCCATTTGGGAGGCTCCAACGCGGTCACGTCAGGGGTCGTAGTGTTGTTAATTGTTGCTGCCATTCTGAAGGCCGCTGTGGCTGCCCGGCTGGACTTGACCTCCTGACCCCCTGGGGTTGGGGGCCGAGCCCTGAATTGCCGTTTGGAAGCTGTGTGAAGCGGAGCCCCCCTTGCTTTCGCCTGAGTCTGGGTTAGGAAGTAACTTGAGAACCGGGTCTTTTCTCATCCTGCGTGTTCATCGCAGGGAGTAGCCGCCTGGAACCTTCCACCCTGGCCCTCTTATAAAGAAGGCTGTTATGAGCAAGAACGCCATCCAAAAAAAAAAAAAAAACACAAAGTTTGTGAGGTTTCCCCACAACCCCACCAGCACTGAGTTTTATGTTTAATTTTTTAACTTGTGCTTTCATCTGGATGACTTGAACTGGCAGCTGTCTGGTGACTTGCGGGTGTCTCTGCACTTTGCCTGGCTTGGAAGGGTTCAGGAGCAGGGTTGGGGGGGGTGGCCAGAGCTGCTCCCCCCTTCCTTGGGGTGGGGGTTCCAAGCCACAACAGGAAGTTGAGTAAGCACTTGCTCCCTGGGAGCCTCTGAGCTGGGCGGGGACTTCCCGGAGTAGCCTCCTTACAGGCAGTTCCTGCTTGGTTTGGGCCCAATGCAGCCGCCAGGCCTCTGGATTCAGACAAGCTCAGCAAAGCCAGGCCGGCAGGACTACAGTCCGCCTTCCTGGGGGATGGTACCAGGTGGGGGGGAATGTCGACCCAGCACCTGCTTGGCTGGTTTTGGAGGGGAAGTGAACTTTCCACTGTGAATCCCAGATGGGACCTGGCTCTCTTCTCCCCCAGCTTGGGGCCTCCCTCAAACCTGGTCAGGAAAAAAAAAAACAACTGAACACCTCCTCCCAGTACTGCAACCCCATCCACGTACCCCTGGAGCTGGCAGCGTGGTCCCTGGAAACTGTCCCCCAAGACTGCATGAAGAGAGAAGGCATGATCCAGCTGTGGAATGGTTCTGCTCATTGGGGAACTTCTGTTCACACATAGAAAGCAAGCTTTGTCCCCCATCCTGCTCCTACTGTGTCACTTCTGCATGCCTCACTCTCCACTCCTACCCTCTGCCCACCCTGCAGATCCAAACTCCTGGCATGGAACCCTGGAGGAAATGACCTGGGCCCCTGTCCTCCCTCCTCCCCACTCCAGCCCTGGGCACAGGCTGTGTGGGAGGTACCCTTGCAGAGTACAAGGAGAACAGCTCCAGGCTGGCATGACTGGGCTGGGAGCCAGCTGGGGAGACCGAGCCTGTGTCCATTTGCCCCCCACCACCCTGTCCTTCCAGAGTATTGGACACAGTGGTGGAAGGGGGCTCCCCAGAATCCCCTCCTCTGGTTCCTCAGTGTCAAGGAGGCCCGAGAGCCATCACCATGTGCCAGTGCCCTAGGAGGCCTGGAAGGCTGGCAGAGCAGCGGGCACAGAAGCTGCTTCCCAGGCCTGGCCATGGGGGACAACCGTCCTGAATCCCAAGGCTGCACTGGCTGTAGCAACAGCTCGGCGCCTTGCACTCCCACTTCCTCTGTGGCTCTGCAAGTGGGGGCTGGGGAGTTGTGGCGGAGCCTTGCACAAGAGGTGCAAATGGGGAACTGCAGTGCGCACCCCTTCACCTCACCTCTGCCCTTTTAAGGTGCGGGCTCAATTTCAAGTCATGCTCCAATATGATTGGCAGATAGATGCTGCCGGAACCTCCTGCTCTCCCCCCCCCTCCCCCCCCGCAGAGCCCCTGTGTGCACCAGGAAACAGGGCTCCCCAAGTCCCATGGGGACGTGTGGGGGCTGCTGCTCCAGCTTCCGCCTGAGGCTGATGACTGGTGCTGGGAATTTGGGATCTGCCCCCACCTTGGCCCCCAGTGCCTTCCGCCTGGGCTGCCTGCAGCTGCAGGGTGGTGGAAAGGCGGTTGGCCTCCACTGGGACTGGGTGTTACCTGGTGGTCTGTTCCCACCCAGGTGGGCCAACTTGGTGTCAGCAGTGTTTCCTTTCCCTGAGTCTTGGCCTCCTGTGTGGGCAGCCCGAATCCCCATCAGCCTGCTGGGCTGGTGGAGCGCTCTGGGCCAGTGATTCCAGAGACCCCATCTCCAGTTGGTTTTGTAGGGGGAGTCTGGGATGGGTGTGGTAGAAGGTGTGTGCTTGGTGGGCGGCTGTTTGAGGATTTGGTGGGATCTTGTTCTGGGCAAGGGGAACTGTGCAGGCATGTGTGTCCCATGCTACCCGCAGGGACTTGGCATCCGCTAGGGGTGGGCAGGCTTTGTGTTGCAACCTTGGCTGCCAATCTAGACTCCAGCAGCTGGTGATGGGGCTGGCTGTACCTCAGCCCTTCCCCCTCACAGGGGTCTCTGTAGAGAAAGGTGGGTCCAGGGATTCCAGCAGCACCCAAGCCAGCTCTTGAGGGTGCCCACTGAGTAGCTACCAGCCTCCTCGGGCATCCATGGCTGCCAGTGCAGTCCCAGCCCCGCTGCAGCTGAGGAGCAGCCTTCCAGGATGTCGTCCTTGGGCACACACACACCTGCCACATTCTGGCGAGAGGGTGGAGGAGCTGGACCCAGGCTTGCCCAGAGCGCCCTGGGCAGGTGGGAGGTGGAAGACAGTGGTGCTTAGAGCTGCTCTAGGAACCTGGGTGGTGGCTCTTAAGACAGCTGTAATAAAGACTGATTATCTCTCAGAGCCAAGCATGCGGGCCCTGGGGGCAGAAACCTAGACAAGATAGAAAATGGGCGGCTCCACCCAGCGGGAGGGAATCGGCTCTCTGGCTGGGGCTGCAGTTCTCAGGCAGTGGTCAGGGAGCGGCAGGTGTGGAGCGGGGAGGGAGCACATCCTGTGGAGGTCCAAGGCGGAGTGTCCACGTGCGCCAGGACCAGCCAGTGGGGAGTGCTGGGCTTCACACTGGGAGGTGCTGTGCCATGGTCACCTGGTAAGGGCCAGGTGTGAGGATGAGGGGAAGGTATCTAGTTCCCCTTCCCAGACAAGGAAGTTCAGAGAGGGCGGCCCACCTGGCGAGCAGTGTCCTGGGTCCCTGTGTCTGGAAACTCAGTGGTGCAGGGGGTGGGGGGTGGACACACTGGAGGAAGTGACGCATGCCCTGGGTCCTTCTGAACAGGAAGAACAGGTGCATATTGGTGGAGCAGAGGGAACATGCAGGTATGAACCATGGCTACAGACTAGGCCTCGAAGGTGCGCTGGACTCGACAGGGCGCACGTGGACACTCCCTGCACTAGCAGGAACAGCACGGTCAGGGAGCCAGAGACTGGCCAAGGACAGCAGTGTGCTGAGTGGCAGGGTATTGGCTAGCCCAGAAGGAGCAGCTGGGCCGGGACTGGGTGAGGGTTAAGGGGCATGGTCAGGCCATGGGATGCATCTCCACACTCACATCGCAGGGCCTCTCTGAAGCACAGGGGCTGGTCGTGGGGTGTTGCCGTTATGCTCAGCTGCCCTCTGTGGCCCACCCTGGGGTCTCCCTAAGACACACACACACATACCACACCACTCTCCCAAGGCCTGCACCTCCTCCCCAACACAACACAACACACCACACCACTCCCAAGGCGTGCACCTCCTCCCCAACACCGACACACACACACACCACACCACTCCCAAGGCGTGCACCTCCTCCCCAACACCGACACACACACACACCACACCACTCCCAAGGCGTGCACCTCCTCCCCAACACCGACACACACACACCACACCACTCCCAAGGCCTGCACCTCCTCCCCGACACCGACACACACACACACCCACACCACTCCCAAGGCGTGTACCTCCTCCCCAGACACACACACCACACCTCCAAGGCGTGCACCTCCTCCCCAGACACACACACCACACCTCCAAGGCGTGCACCTCCTCCCCAGACACACACACACCACACCTCCAAGGCCTGCACCTCCTCCCCAGACACACACACACCACTCCCCATTCTCCCAAGGCCTGTACCTCCTCCCTGACACACACACACCACCCCCCAATCCCTGCACTTCCTCCTAGTGCAGCTGGGCCTGGTGTGGAAGGAGACTGGGTAGGCAGATGCTCTAGGGCTCGCTGCACTGTAAGAGCTTTACCCATTCAAGGCACAGGTGATGGGGGGCCAGGCAAGCGTGCATCCTCACCTCCAGAACACCTCCTGCTCCTTGCTCCCAGCAGCTTGCTGGGAGCACTTCCACCTCACCGGGAGAAACTGAGGCCTGTGGGGTCCCAGCTGCCCTGCCCCACAAACTGTGTGGCCCAGCAGCCTCCAGGAGTGTCTGCCTTCTCTTGGGTACAGGAGCTGAGCTGCCATGGCCTACCACAGCTTCCTGGTGGAGCCCATCAGCTGCCATGCCTGGAACAAGGACCGCACCCGTGAGCTGACATGGGGGGAAACTTGTACCCCTGGGGGGTGGTGCTCCTGGGTATCTCATGGGCCCCACAGCCTGGGTCTACCCTGGGGACAGGAAGTAGATGGGTGGGTGGTCTTGGGAGGAGCTGTGAGGCCAAGGGGAAGGGAATGGGGCTGGAGCCTTAAGGGGTCAGCAGGAGCACGTGGTGCAGAGGGACAGCTGCCAGCCGGAGAGGAGGGATGAGAGGGCCTGGGGTCATGAGGCCAGGGCTGGGTAGTCCAGGTGGGAGCCAGGCAGGTAGGGAAGGGCAGTGCAGTCAGGTGCCCACACCTCCTCGCCCACTGCCCCCAGAGATCGCCATCTGCCCTAACAACCATGAGGTGCACATCTACGAGAAGAGCGGAGCCAAGTGGAACAAGGTGCACGAGCTCAAGGAGCACAACGGGCAGGTGACAGGTGAGTCGGGCTGTGTGTGCACACGGTGTGAGGCAGGGACGACCCTGGTCACACCGGCTGCAGGCCCGGAGGGAGCACTCTGTCTTACAGATCCAGCAGCTCAGCATTGCCCAAAGCTGTTCTGTCCTTGATTTTGTTGAGGACAGCTTGGAGGAGCTGTGAGACCCTGCACTGTCCCCCTTGAGTCATTCTAACGCTGGGACCCAGTACAAATCCCGCACACTGGCTCCAGGCAGCTTCCTTCGGCTCAGGGTGCCCCCTGCCCCTCTTCCCCACAGGCATCGACTGGGCCCCAGAGAGTAACCGCATCGTGACCTGCGGCACAGACCGCAACGCCTATGTGTGGACGCTGAAGGGGCGTACGTGGAAGCCCACGCTAGTGATCCTGCGTATCAACCGGGCTGCCCGCTGCGTGCGCTGGGCCCCCAACGAGAACAAGTTTGCCGTGGGCAGCGGGTCCCGGGTCATCTCCATCTGCTACTTCGAGCAGGAGAATGACTGGTACGTGGGCCACAGGGCACCCATGAGTGGGGGGGGCTGCCTGTCACCGCACCCATTTTACAGATGGGCTGAGGAAGGCCCCATCCAGAGCTCCCACCCCATGCTGTTGAAAGGCAGAGGCCAGGGATCTAGGTCTGGGTCCCCGCACCCCGTGGCCAGCACAGTTTAACTGTGTGACCTGGTGAGGCAGAGTCCCTACCTCCGGGGAACCCACTCCAGGGCCCTGGGGAGGCTGAGGGCTAGAGTGCCTACCTGCCCATCTATGTCTGTGCCCATCCAGGTGGGTGTGCAAACACATCAAGAAGCCCATCCGCTCCACCGTCCTCAGCCTGGACTGGCACCCCAACAACGTGCTTCTGGCTGCCGGCTCCTGCGACTTCAAGTGCCGGTGAGCTAGGGCCCTTGCACCAGCATGAAGCAGGGACTGGACAGCAGGGGGCAAGTCCTCTCCCAGGCCCTTGGGAGAGCATCAGTCCCATGGGTGGAACATCAGCAGGCTGTGGTCCTTCACCTGTTCACACTAGCAAGGCCCTTCCAGGCCCTTGGTGGCTCCCTCCCCTCTCGTTTCCTGGCTTGTTGGAAGAATGGGTGGGTGTACTTACTCATGCTGTGGTATGGAAGAACCCTGCTCATAATCGTGGGGCCTGTTCTGCCAGTTTCCAGCTGCTTCTCCCTGCTGGGCCCCAGGCACAGAGTGATGCCTTTCTGGGTAGGTAGACACTGGCTTTGTGCATCCGGCCATGTCAGGTGGCTGGGGTCGCAAGGTTTCTGTGACGGAGTGGAGGATGGAGTAGCAGGAGAGGGTAGAACCAAGGCAGGTGGAGCCAGGAGGAGGGATGCCTGGGATGAACTAGGGGACAGGACATCCCCCAGTAATAGTCATGGATGGGTCAGGTCAAATTTAGGTTCCTTAGGGCTATAGGGGCTCACAGGGCTTTCTAAGTGGGAGATCACTTGCTCCCCCTTCCCCATGGTACAGAGGGGGCACCCTGAAGCCCAGAAGTAGCAGGTCTGGAGACAGACTACACAGCCCACTGCCCCGACTGCTGGTGAGGCTGCCTCACTGGCCAGCTCTGGAAAGTGGTCCTTTACTGACCTTTCCCGGCAGGATCTTCTCAGCCTACATCAAGGAGGTGGAAGAGCGACCTGCGCCCACCCCGTGGGGCTCCAAGATGCCCTTTGGGGAGCTGATGTTTGAGTCCAGCAGTAGCTGTGGCTGGGTGCATGGTGTCTGCTTCTCAGCCAGCGGCAGCCGTGTGGCATGGGTCAGCCACGACAGCACAGTGTGCCTGGCTGATGCTGACAAGAAGATGGCGTGAGTGGATACTACCCAGGGTGGGGGGCTGTGGGCCCAACCAGGGTGCAGGGCAGGACACCGAATCTCTCTCCCCCTCAGCGTGGCCACACTGGCCTCCGAGACACTGCCGCTGCTGGCTGTCACCTTCATCACAGACAACAGTCTGGTGGCTGCGGTAAGGAGGCCCCGTGGGCAGCGGCTGGGTACAGCCCTGGTCGGTCCCTCCTACATGAGTGGGACACGGCTCTCCTTGCCCACTCTGTCCAGGGTGGGTTACAGAGGCCAGGCAGAGGTCAAGGAGTGCAGCTCTAGGCTCCCCTTCTGTGTCCTTGGACCTCACCTGCTGAGAGCGCAGGGGGCACCTGAGGCAGGAGCATCCAGCTATGGGGAGGCCTGCCTGCCAACCCCATTGGACAGGACAGGACAGGGCACTCCAATGGCTCCTCCACCTGCTACAGGGCCATGACTGCTTCCCGGTGCTGTTCACCTATGACGGGGCTGCAGGGACACTGAGCTTTGGCGGGCGGCTAGATGTGCCCAAGCAGAGTTCACAGCGTGGCCTCACAGCCCGTGAGCGCTTCCAGAACCTTGACAAGAAGGCGAGTTCGGAGGGCACTGCCACTGCAGGTGCCGGCATCGACTCCCTGCACAAGAACAGCGTCAGGTGAGAGCGGGGTGGCTGGCCGGTGAGGGCAGGTGTCCAGAAGGCTCAGCTGTGTGAGTGTAGCTCTGACGCCTCCACAGCGGTGTCAGGCTGGAACAGGGCTGCTTCCGGCTCACTATCAGTGTGGGATCCAACAAATAAAGCATCAGTGCTGGCTGAGCAGTTATCCTTGGGTTTTCTAGGAGGTGGCAGGGCAGCCGTAGCTGGGGGCCAGTGATAACTGGCATGCTTATCCTGGGCAAAGGATCCCTCCACACCTTCCCGAGTACTTATGGTGGGACTGGCAAACGGCCCCTTTAAAACTCCAAAGCCATCAGCCACAGCTGCCCACGCCATTCTTTCAGTTCTTTTGCCCTGTGTCCTGCAGTCCCTTCTGCTTTCCCCGCCCCCTTGTGCCATTGTTTTGATTGCTCTGTGCCACCACTGCTGGTGTTCCCCAACCAGATGTCTAAGCCTATGGTCATGTTGTCCCTGGCTGGACATGCCCCTCCTCACACGCACTGGGCTCCCCAGTGGAAGTGGGAGGTGCTGTGGGACCTGGGAGTGGTGAATCCTTCGTCCTGTCTGCAGCCAGATCTCAGTGCTCAGCGGAGGCAAGGCCAAGTGTTCCCAGTTCTGCACTACAGGCATGGATGGTGGCATGAGCATCTGGGATGTCAAGGTGAGGCTTCCTGCCAGCCCTGCTCAGCCCCTCCCCTCCCCGCCTCCCTGCTGGCTGCCCTCAGTGCCACTCTCCCTCTAGGGATGAGTTAAGCCCGGGTCAGCTGAACCCCACAGAGTAGGACCCCGGGGCTAGGCCATCCCTGGGATGAGTTAAGCCTGGATCAGCTGAACCCCACAGAGTAGGACCGAGGGGCTAGGGCATCCCTGGGGGGTAGCTTAGGCCCAACCTGTCCATTCTGCTTCCTGCAGAGCCTCGAGTCAGCCTTGAAGGACCTGAAGATCAAGTGACCTACAAGGCATGCTGCCCGCGTCCCTCTGCTGGGAACGGGGATAGTGAGCATGTTAGCAGGCTAGGGGTCGCTTTACTGGGTATTGCTACGGTCCCTGCGTGGGCACCTGTAGGCTGTTCCCTCAGAAGGGGGGGTTAGGGTGGGATGCCTTTGTTGCCTACTCAAGTGTGTGCCTTGTCAAAGATGCTTTTGTTTATTGTCAAGCAATGCCCCCAAAGCACTATGCTGGTCATGAACTGCTTTAAGACATGGAGGTAGTAAAATAAAATAATTAAAGTATAATGTGGATATGTTTGCCTGTTGGAAAGGAAAGGCTGGTTTTTGCCAGGCACCAGTCATTTATTTTGCCTGCTTACTAACAAAATTGACTCAAGCCCAACCACAATGGGTCCATCACTCCTGCAACATAACCCTAGGCCCGCCTGGAAATGTCTTTGAGTAACTTAGCAGTTAGACTTGTTAACCTCTTGGGACCATGTAAAAAGATGTTGGTCAAATGAAGACCCCTCACGGAGGTGTGCCGAGTAGGACCCCTGGGGGATTCAGGAGGGAAGGCCAGAGCTGTTTCCACAGGTGTGAGGCCTGATGAGTCCCTGGCCACTCTCGCCCCAGACCCCCTACTTGGCTCAGGCATCACAAAGACTCCCCAGCCGAAGGCCAGTCCCTGCACCCTGCTAGGGGCTGCCTGATGAAGACCACCCTGCCTCAGCTGCGTGTGTGTCCTGCACCTTGCCAGCACACTGCACCACGCCTTGCTGGGTGAAAACAGAGCCAAGAGACAGACTGTAGAACAAGGACTATGATAATGTCAAGTTTAATCTGCCAAATATACAAGTTGACTTTGTGGAGCATGTCTTGCCTGGGTGCTGCACAGTAAACAGAGGTTCCTTGAAATGATTCATGGGTAGGGTTAAGAGTGGGCATGGACCCTGGCCAGATGGGTGGGAGTGGAGCAGAGAAAGGCTGAGCGGAGGGGCCTGAGTTGGAGGGGACTGGCCAGGGATAAGCCATGGTCTTCAGGGACCTATGGTCCCAGACTTCTGGACAAACAGCCCCTCTGAGTGAGCACCCAGGCAGCACAGACCAGGGCCGGCTGTCAGGTCTGTCAGCAGCTGCCTCTGGCACAACCGCCCACTAACGTGCATCTACCAGACAAATGGAAGCTCTTCTTACCCCGCCTCCCTGGCACCCCTCCCCCCAACAAGGGTTCTGATTTCTAAAAACAGCAAAAACATTCAAATGGTTACATATGAGATGCTGTCCTGCATCTTTTTGCCTCAAAACAGCAGCTGCCCCTCCCCCCGCCCCCACCGATTTCTGTGCCAAGATGAAGAGGCGGCCCCAGGCTGTAAGGGGCTGCTGTAGTAGTGCCAGGCACAGGGCAGGCGAGACGGAGCGGTCCGGTGGCACGGCCTATCTGCCCAGCATGTCCTCCCACAGGCTGCGCTTACTTGTTCAGGGACAGCGACTGCATTCGTTTTCCTGACAAGGTCGCGTCATCTTTTGCTGAGGGGTCAGAAGAGCAGGAGTTAGAACAGAGCACTCGGGAACCATCCCTTCAAAAGGCTTCATAGTATGGCAGTTAGCTTGGGGGAAAGAGAAGGAAAAGACCCAGGAAGGGGCTAGGCTGGCTGATGTTAAGGTGGCTGTCACTCCCCGTGGAAAGTTGCACCTGTACAAAAGCCCAGGGCACACAGCCCAGTGAGCAGATGGCTCTTTCTCCACAGGCCTCGCCAACCTCACCCTAAAGCTTGGGGTGTGGGAAGCACAGCGGACCAAGCAGCCAGGACAGTGAGCTGGTGTGGGTCACAATGCTGCCAAGCAGAGCATCTCCTTACTGTCTCCTGGTGAGAAGGGCAGCGGGGGCCCTCCTGGACCCCCAGGAGGAAGGCTCATGTGTTTCACTACAGCCACCTTGGCCTACAGGAACCCTCACTACCTCTGACCTGGAAAGAGCATGACACTTAGGCTACCCCTTCAGGCCCCCTCCCAGGTGACCCAGCGCAGGTCACCTGAGTCTCTCACGCCTCAAGGCCGCCTAGTGCCGGAGTGTAGTGAGCACAGGCCCACTGAGGACAGCGCTCCGAGGTTCCAGCCACCCCTGAGCGCACGAGGCCATCGGCCCTCCTGGCACCCCTTTCCTCCTGATGCACAAGGTGGCCTCCGAAGGACGCACTGGTCAGGCAGCTGCTACTCCTTATTCCTGCCCATCCCACAGGCCGGGACAGAAGCGCTGGGCTTGGTGGCCTGCCCAGAAACAGTGCAAGGCTTACCTTTCCTCTCTTCCTCTTTCTTTCTTGCTGCCTCTTCCCGCTGCTTCCGGATAATTGCCAGTCGGGCAAGGTCAGCCTTGGCTTGCTCTGTCTTCCCAGCCAAATGCATTTTCATGTAACGCTCTTTTGCTTTCTGCTTTTCAATTTCTTCTCTGTTTGGATAAAATGAGGTCAAAAGGCATGTCTTCCCCATACTGTCAGCCAAGCTGGATGTGGAGTCAGAATAAAGGCCAAGCACTTGGGCCTAGGGCCGAGGGAGAAGAGGGCACACTGGCCGAGGCAGGGCCCTGGCTTCACATGTCCCACTGGACGGCCATTCACCAAACATGCAGAAGGAACAGGCCCAGATGGAAGCCATGACCTTCAGAAGGAGGAAGTGAAAATGCGCCAGGTGGCCATGGTGAGAAGGGGACCAACCAAGAGCACTGTGCGTCCCAGAGAAGACGCAGAGGTTAGGCGCAGGAAACCTTTCAGTAAGTGGATCACAAAGGGTCTGGCACCATGGGCAGCATAGAGCTCCTGCCTCTAACACCAGCACCCCACATCCCAATGCCAGTTTGAGTCTCAGCTAATCTGCTAGGCTACCATGCTGGGCCCAACAGGGTATGTTCTTAAGACAGCTCAGATGTGCAAGCAGTTGCCTCCCAAGGAGGTAAGTACCTATCAGCTGGGGCTAGAAGCAGAAGTTAGATTCCCACAGAATGAAAGTATTAACAAATCACCCACTTGGCAGAGATGGGTGAGGGTTTTTAGAAGGAGGAGAGAGGGATTAGGCCTTGCCTCTGCAGCCCACGGGGCTAAAAAGATTCAGAAACAAGACAGGTGGGCATGGCTCAACCCGCTGCACGAGTGAAGAGAGTACGGCAGCACGGCAGTTCCCGCCCAGCAGGCTGCCTAGAGGCCTGCAGGGCCCCTGTGTGAAGGCCAAGTGCCAGGCAGGTGCCAGCCTTTACAGTTATCTCTGCAACCCAAAAGGATGGGCGCTGACCCAGGAGGAACAGGAAGAGTAACAGAGAGTTGTCCAGCTGCCACACAGATGGGACCAGGTCCCCTGTGCTCTGGGAAGGCCAGCCGCGGCCCAGGCTGCTAGGTTTCTGGGGAGGGGATTCCGAGCAGTCAGTCTTTGCAGCCTCCCATGATGCCCCAGCTCACAGCCCACCTCTGGGGTTTTCACAAACACATCCTCAGCTGTCCTGGGGTCTGCAAAGGATGGCTGACAAAATTCCTTGAAGCTGTCAGGAAACAAACCAGACCCTCTTCTCCAGCAGCATTCGGTTTCCTGTAAGCCCTGAGGTCACCTGGTATTCACCCAAACTCAAGGCGCCACTGGCCATATGCTAAGCATTTCAGTACTTAATCTTGACCCCCCACCCCCGGTGGGTCATAGCTCCCGCATAGTCCAGACATGAGGGTCGATAAACTGGGCAAAGTAGCTCCAATGGCTGGCTAATGTGTGGGTTGGTTATGGAAGGGGGCAAACTGGGCACGTCCAAGCAAACCTTAGCTCACAAGCAAAAATAGAAATCAGGATGGAGCACAGGTCATGCTGAGCTAGGCTCTTACACTAACTGGTCTGCATGAGCTAGGGATGCTAGGCCACAGAGTCTAAGGCAAAGGGCAAGACAGGTGAGGGGTTGAGTCAGAGCAACCACTGGCATGCATGCAAGCTATGGCTGGGAACAGGCATGGTTGGGGAGCTAAAGGGACACCCTAGCTGGGCTGAGATACCCACTGAGGAGTGCGGAGGCTGGAGTAGGGGCTGCGTTCTGATCTGGATACGGCTGCAGTCTCACTTGGCACAAGTATGGACTGGGACTGGATGTACCAAGCCAGGCTAGACTTCCAACACCATCTGGTGCTCTGGAGGACCAGGGTAGATATGGGATGGACTAGGCTAGGTCTCTGTCTGTCCCTACTGAGCCATGTGTGAGCTGTGTTTGGGTATGGATGAGCCTTGGCTGGGTTGAAACATCCAACAGTAAGAACCAGATTGGATTAAAGGCCAGTCAGGAAAGGCCACTGTTCCTGCTACGACAGGAGGTGAACTGAGTAAGGCTGGCTCATGGACCCCCTGGTATGTGCAAAATCTGGCACTGGGAGAGGTTCTGATGGAGGAGCCTGGGCAACTCCTCTGGCAGGACATAGTCCCTGCAGCCAAGTGCAAGAAGCAAGATAGAGAACAGCCCAGAACAGGCCATGGAAAGTTTCCCAGTGGCATACATTTGGCATGGGTCGGGGGCAGACCAGGCTGAACCAATTCACATCATCCACTGGTGAATCTGAGCACCAAAAGTGTATGTCAGGACAGGTTTGGTCATGACACAAACCAGTGCACATTACGGAATGCCAAGGTGAGGTGACCTGTACCAGATGTGGCTGCAGCTTCCGAACAGCACACATGAGAACCAGGGAGACGGGGCGGAGCTGAGGGGGAATGTGGGCTCCCCTGCTGGACAATCACTCCCACTGGAGAGTGTGGGTTGGAATGGGGCAGATCAGGCCAGGCAGGGCTACAACACCTGTGGGCCTCATGTAAGCTGGATCAGGGAAAAGCCAGTTTGGGCTGCCTGTTCCGACTGGTGCAAACAAAAATCAGAGTGGCTGAGGGTAGGTAGGTAGGGCTTTGCTGCAGCACCAGCTGGCAGAAGCTGGCATTGGGGGCTTGTAGGAGGACATTGTGACCCTAGAAGGTCAGTGAGCACAGGATTACAGTTGATTGGATAATATTTGCATGAGAACAACCGAATGGCTGCCTTTTGTATACCTGATTGGATATCATTTGTATAAGAACAATTGAGTGGACAGTATGTGTGTGAGAACACTTGGTGGAAAATACAAGACAAAAGGAGTTCCAGACAAAAGCTTAGAAACTGTTGATGGGTTTTGTTGATAAGCTCAATACTTCCTCCCTTATCCCATATGACCCTCAGTGTATAAAGTCTGATGCCACTAATAAACTTCAGCTTTGACCATCAGTCAGGGTCCACACGTGTTATTATCGGCTCCGGCTCCGTGCACCAAGTCCATCACTGTGGGACAGACAGGCTAATTGTGTCAAGTTAAACTACAGAACCACCTGGAGAGTGCATATTCTGGGAGTGGGAATGGCCTAGAAGGGAAATAGTGGGCTCCTCCCTCTTGGGTTACCACTCCCACCGGAGAGCATGAAAACCAGGACAGGGGCTGGGATGGCTAGACAGAAAGGCACCTGCCAGCATGTGTATGGGCTGGATAGTGGAGCTGGTTAGGTGGACCTAGGCTTCAGTGCACATTGACATGAATGAGAGCTGAATGGGATGTGGGACAGACTGGACTAGTCTGCTGCACATACAGGCAAGCACGGGAACCAGGGCAGAGGGAGGGCCTAGTGGGGGTTATTGTGGGTTGCTCCGACTAGGCTGCAGCTCCCACTGGTTTATGTGAGGGCTGAGTGTGTGCTGGGCAGAATCAGGCTGGACTGCAACACCCATTGGTTCATATGGAAGACATGGCTGGAAACAGAACCAACCCAGCAATTGCAACCACCAGCTGATTGGGGCAATGGACTGTGCTGGGCCCTGTACTTGTAAGTACACACAAGAATTAGGTCTGGGAACACCTCAAACAAAGTTTCTTTTGGGGATCTCTCCAATCAAACTGCCGGACCCAGAACCCTAACCATGAAAAGAAGTGCAGGTTTCATGGTCTGCCATGGAGTGCAAGCGCCAGACCCGAGCCTCCTTAGAGGCTCAGACGGAGCAGTGGACAGCATAACCAGATGCACATGGAGGATATGGCAGTCTATCAGAACCTACAGAAGATATCTAGCACCACAACAGATGACAGAATCAATCAATCAACTACCACAGCAAATGGAGGCTCTAAGATAGACTATGTCAATCAGTGGATTCTGCACCGACCTGATCGTGCTTGGAATGGCAAGATTGGCAGCAATTCATAATTGTTGAACTATCAAAACCACTTGAGCCAGACCCTGGGAGCATGCCCCACATCAGGGACCTGGGATGGGTGGGAGACTAGGTGGAGCTTCTCCCTTTATCTCCCCCTTTACCCCAGATACAGGGAAAAAAAATGTGAAAATAATAGAATTACCCACTTTCCTATAGCCATTGAACCTTTGTACCTTAATTATGTAAAGATTGTCCAAAAAAGAAAAAAGAAAAAAAATCTTGACCGCCCTCCCCCAACCACCAAGGTGTCTCCAACGCCACCATCACCCAGGACTTACAGAGGCTGTGGCAGCTGGCGGAGCAGTGCAGAACCCCCCTGCACTAGGCTGGCAGAGTCCCCCTCAGTCCCTTCTCAATCCCATGGCCACACTCCATGGAAGAATGCAAGCTTGCAATGGTCAGGGCAGGCCAGGTAAGGTAAGGTAATGGGCAATTATTTCAAGTGTAACGCTTTGGTGTTGAGCTGCTATTCCACCTTCCCTGACACTACCTATTTACTGATGAAAACGCTGTGGGGGCAAATATGTGTGTTCAGGAAACTACTGTGAAGCCTTTGAGGAATAAGATGGAACAGGAATGAACAAGACAGGGCAGGATTCAGTCCAGTGGGTAAAATGCCAGCTAGTATGCCGCATCCCACATCAGAGCATCTGGGTTGGAATCCAGCTCTCCCACCTGTAGCTTCCAGCTAATGGGGATCCTGAGAAGCAGTGATGGCTCAAGTTTGGGTTCCTGTCACTAATGTAGGAGATCTGACCCCTACTGTGGGCATTTATGGAGTAAACCAACATACAGACACCTGTACACTATGTATCTCTTCTGAATGGAAAAACAACAAAAACCAAAAACACCACAGCTAAAGCCCTTACCAAGCCATGAGGAACAGGGTGCCCCAGTACCCACAGGTCAACCCCCAGACACAAGGCACTGCCAGCAGAACTTACCGTTCTCTCCTGGAAAGTTCTTTTGGCCCATCCAGATCCAGTTGTGTGACCTTTTTGGTTGTTTGTGCCACTCGGTTGGGGTTCTCAATGTCGATGAGCCCTTCCACGCCTTTGCGCTTTTGCTAGACAGAGTGAGAAGATGGTTGTTCGAGTCTGGGTCCTGCAGAACCCCTGAAGGCCACCCCAACATCTCCCAACAGCCCATCTGGACGAAGACAGACTCAGTCTGCGTGACACCCAGTCCTCGTCCCAGGCAGGGGACAGGGTTCAGGAGTAGCATCACCAGTATGGGAAGGAGAGACAGGAGTGTGTGTGACCGCAGCTCCAGCAGCACCCAGCCCCAGAGGGGACAACCTGGCAGGCGAAAAGAACCCCAGCTCAACTCCCAAGCGCTCAACAGAGCTCCACCCTCACTTGAAGGTCGCCTCCAGGGGCAGTTTTTCATGGAACCGGATGTCTGACCATCCTAGGATGCAGTGAGCCAGACACATATGTTCTTGTGAGCAATTCCAGCTCCAACCTGTCAGTGGGGCAGCAACTGGAACCTCACAATGAGTGATCAGCGAAAGTCTGAGAGCCTGGAGCCTGCACCTCCTGCTTCCTTTGTGCAAGTCCTGAACACACTCTTTCTACACAGCACGTCTGGTCAGCTGCAAATCCTACAAATTCTAGCTTTCCTCTTTAGAGGACCAGGGAACCAGCTTCCAATGTCTGTCGAGCTGCCCACTCCAGAGCTCCACATACCTGTACCCTACGTGGCTACAGTTTTGTCTCTGCTCAGATGCCTGACCCTGGAAACTTCAAGAAGACAGAGCTGAGATTTCCCCCCTCCCAGCCTGCTCCTCCCCTCAACCCTACACACAACTCTGACTTCTTGTTCCCTCAGCAACTCCAAGGTGTATCTCGACTCCTCATCTCCACTGCCATCGCCAACAGGGCAGTATAAGCTACAGCTTCTTAGCTAGATACGGGCTGTTATTCCCTCACTCCCACCTCAAAACCCCTACCACTCACTCACGACGGACAGCAATACCATCTCCTAAAAGCAGATCCGTGTTCACCCAGCTGGCTCCAACTTGCTTCATATCTCGCCAGTAAGTCACCTCACCACAACAGAGCCAAATACTTTACAACTATAACATGCACAGTGCCGCTCCACTTTGCTGTCTTATCTCCTCTCCAGAACGTAAGCCGTGAAGGGCAAGGCCTGCCTGTCCCACCACTGCTGACGAACCCTGGTCCCGCCCCCGTCAGACTCGGTACCTGGTAGTCATCATCTTCATCCTCACTTTCGTCAGAGTCTAGTGATTTCTTTTCCTTTTTGGGGTCACCTGCAGCCCCATCTCCACCTTCCTCTTGCTCCTCTTCTTCCTGTTTCAGAGACAGACAACCTGCATAACCAAAAGAACAAGACCAACCCCCAAGACTGTGACATTGTCCCCACCCACAGTCTGTGGGCCTTGAGACACTGAGCCTTTACAAGACCAGAACCAAGTACCATGCAGGTGCCTTCTGCTCTCCGGGCCCAGGGTGAGGGACCAAGGCTCAGCCAGCCAGGGCCATCTGGGTGAGAGGCCCATTACCCAGGGCCAGCAAGACTCAGCTGCTGGGGGAAGACCATGATGCTACTTGGCCCTCGCACCTACAATGCATGCCACCTACAGCACACAGTGCCAAATCCCACTGCCTTCCCTGGACAAATCCACTGCTCCCCGCATCCCTGCTTTCCACTCTCTCAGTCCAGCCACCCAACCTGCCCCCACACTGCCCTACTACGCCAGGTTGCCAAATCACAGCTCAGCCAACTTTTCTTCTACTTTTCCCATTCAGGACCCAGTGCAATAGCCTAGTGGCTAAAGCCCTCGCCTTACACGCGCCGGATTCCCATATGGGCGCTAGTTCATGTCCCAGCTGCTCTACTTCCCATCTAGCTCCCTGCATGTGGTCTGGGAAAGCAGCTGAGGATGGCCAAAGAGCCTTGGGTCCCTGCCCCCGCATGGGAGACCTGGCAGCTCTTGGTCTCTGGCTTCGGTCGGGCCGAGCCCTGTCTGCTGTAGCCACTTGGGAAGTCAACAGCTAATGGAAGATTCTCTGTCTCCCCCTCTTGCTGTAACTCTGCCTTTCAAATAAATAAAATAGATCTTTTTTTTTTTTTTAAAGGGGAGGAGGGCAGCATGGAGGCCTAGTGGCTGAATCCTCGCCTTGCATCCTCTGGGATTCCACATCCCTTCCAGCTCCCTGCTTGTGGCCTGGGAAAGTGAGAAAGCAGTGAAAAATGGCCCAAGGCCTTGGGACCCTGCACCTTGGAAGAGGCTCCTGGCTTTGGATCGGCTCAGCTCTGGCTACTGCAGCCACTTGGGGAGTAAACCAGTAGATGGGTCTTTCTGTCTCTCCTTCTCTCTGTATATCTGCCTTTCCAATAAAAAACATATAAATCTTTGGGGGGAAAAAAAATCCTGACACAAATCTCACATCCTCTCCTCTTTAGCATTTGCTCAAATAATCCAAGCTGCCAAGCCCTCCCAGACCAGTAAGTCAGAGGTGGCCTCTCACTTCCCAGCGCTCCTAGGGTCCTTATAGCTGTGCACTGGTCTGGTCCTGACCACGGTCCCCCGGGCTCATATCCCAGGCACGTCTTACAATATGGTATGGTGCACTGCCACCAAGGGTGAAGGAAACATGTTGGTCCCCAGCAGTGGCTGCACAAAGCACCCCAGAAACACAGCAGGCACTTGCAAGTCAGCCCACACTGATGGGAAGGGATGGACGTGTCGCTGTCACCAGTAAACTGAGTCACAGAGGTGACGTTACACAAAACCCCAGGGTAATGAACAGGACTGTGAGGTGTAGGGAGGCAGGCCAGGAGCTGTGCTGGCTGGCAAGCAGTCCGTGTGGCTACAGCAGGCTTTGGGGGCTGCTGGGAGCTCAAGCTGCAGAGGAGCAGAACCTGGGAAGGTAGGCAGGCACACGTGAGGACCAAACCTAGCGACCCACCAGGGCAGCTGCTGCCGAGCGGGCCCAGTTCATTCTGACGCCTCTGACCACCGCTGTCTGTGAGGGGCCCACATCTGCAGCTCCCAGCTTTCGCCGCCCTCACCCCCATCCTGACTGACCCCGGTCCCCTGCGGCGGCCTGGGCAGGCACATACTCACCCGAGCCTTCTGCTTCTCAGCCTGCAGCTGGGCGTCGATCTCCTCTGGGCTCGTGTACTGCCTCACCCGGCCTTTGTGGCCCCCCTTCTTCCCTGCAATGGGTAGCACTTTAGGGTTGAAAGAGGCGAGCAGCTGCCCTGACCACCCCGAACTCCAGAAGCTCGTGTCCTGCCTGGGGGCTCTGGATTTCTAGCGACCCCTCACCAAGCACCACCCAAGCCTGTGCCTCCTCCACCCTCTCGTGTCCAGGACACAAGGAGCAGCTTGTGAGCAACCAACACCACACCACGCTTGTGCTAGACACAACTTCCCACAAGCAAGACCCGAGGGGAAGGCACGGGGAGGGAGTGTCACAGAGGAACTGGCCACATTCTGTGGTCCCTTCAAACTCAAAGAGGGTTTGGATGAAAGCAGAAAGATTTGTAACACACACACCACCCCCTCTGGTCACTACGGAGCCTTTTTACCTGCAATGTTCTGTCCCGGCCATGGACTCACTGGATCCTCAGAACAAGCCCACAGTGCAGGAGTCACTGCCGGTCCCACTTGAGAGACAAGGAGACTTCTCATCAAGCACAGTGCCCCACCACTCCCTGGCTTTGTGACTGGGACAGATTTCCAGCCCCACGGAATCAAGTAAAGATGCTGGAACAGCACCCTGGCACTGGACAAGCCTAACAAAAATGCTTACAGGGCCCGGCGTGGTAGCCTAGTGGTTAAAGTCCTCGCCTTGCATATGCTGGGATCCCATATGGGCACCGGTTCTAATCCCTGCAGCTCCACTTCCCCTCCAGCTCCCTGCTTGTGGTCTGGGAAAGCAGTCAAGGACGGCCCAAAGCGCTGGGACCCTGCACCCATGTGGGAGACCCGGAAGAGGCTCTGGGGTCCTGGCTTTGGATTGGCGCAGTTCCGGCCATTGTAGCCACTTGGGAAGTGAGTCAACGGATGAAGATCTTCCTCTGTCTCTCCTCTCTGCATATCTGACTTTACAATAAAAACAAATAAGTTTTTAAAAAGCTTTACAAAGACTTGTCATTTTCTCAAATAAGGGACACATAAGGGATACATCACAGACCCCAGAACCAGGATAAAATAGTTCATATTCCTCTCAAGTCTATGGCAGAGAGAAAAATGCCCAAAGCCCACGAGGAAAAACAAAGAAACAAAAAAGCCAACCTTCTGTGCTTGGAGTCACAAAAATGACTGGCAACAAATGAACGTGAAAAGGCACTGTGCTACAGCCTAAGCCACAGAAACGCCACCAGTCACCGGAAGGCAGCTGGTCTCACAGCAAGGTGAGGGGCAGGGGATGCTGCTGGGACGACAAAGGCCCAGCCTCCAGGCCCCCTGGCAGCTCTTCGGGATGCTGGGGCCATCTTGTTTCCTGGGCGTCCCTGGCGACTCACTGCTCTGCGCTCCAGAGACGGGAGCAGAGCCCCTGCCTCCTCTGATTTCCTGGACGGCAGCTGCAGTGCTGTAATTGGCCTGCCGCAGTCCACGCCATCCTTTTCTAATGACTGCTTGGGCTCCCACGGGGATCTGTGCTCATCAAAGCCCTTCTCCGACGGGCCAAGCCAACAAAAAGCAACAAAACAACCACTACAGCCTCTCCTGCCCTCTTAATGGTCCAGGCAACAAAAACCACTCCACACTGGTTGGGCCCGGCTCTCACCCCACACCCTTGAGTTCAGCTGGGTCTACAACAATGCTCACCAGAGGTAGATTAGAAAAGAAATAAATACATTTGCTTCACAACACAATGGACACAAGAGTAGAAATTTCACACTCTGCATACCATCCTGTTTTCTTGAGCTTATCAAATAAGCGGGACCAAGAGGGGATCTAGATGGCCCGTCTGCCCCCAAAAGCTTTCTTTACACGAGTCAACAAAGCCAAGATTGTTAGTGGCAAATCCACATTGATCATTTTCCATTCGCAAGCCCCGGCCTCGGCGCAAAGCACCCAGAAGGCAGATCCTGGGACTAAGAACCCTTAGAAAAGAGGAGGGGACAAAGCCAACCGGCATGGATTCCACGCTTAAGTTAGTCAAAGCCTTCCAGCTACCGATGCTCGGGCTCTGAGGGGTCCGTGCACTCCCGCCCACTCAACACCTGTTCTCCGCCAGGGAGCCAGGCGTCCCCCAGGGGCCCCCGAAAACCTCGCCCAGCTAGCCACAGTCCTTCCCCAGGGCCCAGAAGCAGCCCCCGGGCACCGGGCAGCGCGCTCCCATCTGGGTTAGGAGGTGAGGCAAGCCGGAGAAGCAGCAGAGAGCGCGCGTCCAGCCCGATCCTAACAAAGAGCGGACCTCGCTCCACGGCCGAGGCAGGCGGGACGCGGTGACTCAGTCACCCCCGCGACCAGCCTGCACAGGCGGGACGACACCCCAAGCCACCCCGATCGCCTGAGCCGGGTTTTCTCCTCCTCAGAGCCCGGTGGGAGCGGCTGCGGGCCACCTCGGTCCTTTGGGCTGCCCCCTCCCGGACAATCGGGCGGCGAGGCCCAGCACGCCCGGCTCGTTCCAGCCGGCGCTCGCCGGACGGCACCCCCGCACGCCCGGGCCCACGCCGCTGTCCGAAAACGCCCGCGGGCTGAAGGGGAAGCCGGAGCCGGACGCGGGCCGCCCTCCTCGAGGCCCGAGGGCCACGCGCGCCCGCCCCTCACCTCCTTTAGGCATCGCGGCTTCAGCGGCGGCGGCGGCGGCGGCGGCGCCTCGAACTGACACCGGAACCGGAAACTGCTTCGGCTCGACCTTCTTCCGCCCGGTCGAGTCGCCACTCGGCGCGCGCCGCCACCGCCGCCGCCGCCGCCGCCGCTCCGAGAGCCGGGACCTTGCGGAGGCCTGAGCGCGAAGCCGGGCTGTCCACGGCACTGCCTGAAATCCAGTCTCCCGTGCGTGCGACCGGGCAGCAGCGTGCCGAGTGTCTTCATTGCTCGGTGACGGCGTGGCCTTGCTTGATAACCACTCCACTAGGAGTGAAGGCGAAAGGCAGTGACAGCTCCGGAATCCTATTCAGGCAGCACTGCGGACGCATAAAATGACGCAATCCCCGCGCTAGACTGGGCGGGGCGTGCGAGGACCCTATCCCGAGGACGTCTCCAGAGGAGCGGAAGTCGTCAACAGAGGAGCGGCGGCTCGCGGCGCAGTGGCTTCAGGTGTGTGTTTCTGCCTGGTTCTCCACGGCGGTACCTTAGCAACGGCGGAGCGGGGGACGGGGACCAGGCATCAGAATGGTTCGTGGCTCCCAGGGCTGTCCGGGTGGCCGGACTGGGACGGGTTCGGGTCTGGATTCTGGCTAGAGTCACTTCCCGGAGGGAGGCAGCGCCTTGTTGGTTCGGTCGTGGGGGGGACTGGAAATTGGGCTTTGGTGTTTGGCTTCCTTTCCTGCTATTTTCTCTCCCGCCCTAAATGCTTCTGCTTTTCCTAAGCCCGAGCTCTCTGTTTTGTCATTTTTTTTTTTCTCCTACCAACCCGGCTGTAACGTCTTGCTTGCATTCGCCTCCCCACGGCTCCCCGACCTGCCTCACATTCCGCCCTCCACCCCTCTCTCCGCGGGGCCCTGGGATTGTCCTGGGACACAGCAAAGGGATGCTTCGGGGAGCCTGGATCAGCCCGTTGGGCTTCGTCCTGGGGGTGTCAGGTTCCGTCACCCCCAGCCGCCAGCGGTGCGACCCTGGCCACCTCACAGTGCATCGTCCCCTGTCTGAGGTTGCTTGGGAGAGATGAGGAGAGGATGCTGTCTGTGGATTTTGGACGAGAGGGAGGGAGCGAGTGTGGGAGAACTGAGTCCGGGTAAGCGGCCACCTGCTTGCCTACTCGTTCCTGGCGCCATTCAGATCGAACGGGCGTTTTTAGGGGGCGTGTCTGTATGTGTCTCATCCACTTGCCTTCTTCAGGTTATAGCCGAGACAGAGAAGCGAGGAGGGGACCAGGTGTAACTGCAGAGACCGGACACGGTTCCTCTTAGCACCTGCCAGAAGCCGCCCTGCAGGTACTTTGGTTTTGGTCACCTTTGCCGTTCTGAACACTTTAATTAAACCTCAAGTCCCTTCATACTCATAACTGCCTCTTGTTCATTTGTCTCTGCTATAAAACAAAACAGTTCTAATGTCAGAGTCTGGCTTCTTTTCTTCCCAAGGTAATTTTTTGTGTCCCCATTTTTTGTCATGTTCCCAAATCCAGTGCAGGGCCACAGCTTGTGGTGGATGACAGTTAATAGTTACAGCAAACATCTGGTAGCAGCTGTCTTTCCCCACCTGTGCTTCAAGTCTTCCCAGTGACACCATAAGTGAGTTGCTATGATCCCCCTTTCTCACACATCGGCAAACACATTGAGGGAGGTTAGGCACTTTCTTTTCCCCCATGATACAGTTCCTTAGGCTCCGGGCTTCCCACTGCCCCTGCGACGCCGAAGCCCATTTGTTGGTCTCCCTTCCCACAGATCGTTGCATCCTCTTGAGAGAAGACATGCCTAAAGTGAAAAGAAGCCGGAAAGCTCCTCCGGATGGCTGGGAGCTGATCGAGCCAACCCTGGATGAGTTAGATCAGAAGATGAGAGAAGGTGAGTGAGGCTGCCGCTGTCTGGGCCGTGGGTCGGAGTGCAGGCGAGGGGCCGCGCGTGTGCACAGCCCCTGTGGGCCGCTGGCGCCAGGCTGCTCCCACTCGCTTCTGTGCTGCCGGTGCCGGAAAACCCTGATTCCAACAGACTAATGAGAAAGTCCTCGCAAAGGTGGGTCTGCCCACTTGAAAGGTTTTAGGGAATACAGACCAAAAGGCTGCATCTGCTATCTTTAGTTGTCTAATACTTTAGTGTGTTTATCTATACCAAGTGTGTGCATTTGGAAATGCTGTATTTTTCCTTTCACATTTTATGAAAAATTTCATTTAAAAAATTTTGAGATTTATTGATTATTGGGCCCGGCACGATGGTGTAGTGGTTAAGGTCCTCGCCTTGAATGCGCCCGGGATCCCATATGGGCGCCAGTTCTAATCCCGGCAGCCCCGCTTCCTATCCAGCTCCCTGCCTGTGGCCCAGGAAAGCAGCTGAGAACGGCCCAAAGCCTTGTGACCCCTGCACCTGCTTCGGAGGCCCGGAAGAGGCTCCTGGCTTCGGATTGGCTCAGCTCCAGCCGTTGCAGCCATTTGGGGAGTGAATCATCGGACGGAAGATCTTCCTCTCTGTCTCTCTGTATATCTGTTGATTCACTCCCAAACAGCCGCCATGGCCAGTGCTGGGCTGATCTGAAGCCAGGAGCTTCTTCCTTGTTTCTCACGCGGGTGCAGAGCCCCAAGGCTTTGGACTGCCCTGGACTGCTTGCCCAGGCCACAAGCAGGGAGCTGGATGGGAAGCGGGTCCGCTGGGACTAGAACTTGCACCATTTGGGATCCTGGCTTGTGTAAGATGAGGACTTTAGCCACTATGCTACCACTCCGGGCCCTTTTAGCGTGTGTGTGTGTGTGTGTGTGTGTGTGTGTGTGTGTTTTTCAAAGATCTTACTTGAAAGATGGGAACAGAAATGTTCCATCTGTTGGCTCACTTTCCAATGTTCCCAACAGCCAGGGCTGGTCCAGGCTGCAGATAGTAGCCAAGGCCTCCATCTCTCCTGGAGATGGTCGGGGCCCAAGCACTTGGGTCATTTCCAGTGCCTTCTCAGGCACATTAGCAGGAAGCCATATCAGAAACCAGCACTCAGGTATGTTGCAAGTGGCAGCTTAACCGGTCGTGCCGTACCAGCCCAAGCAGTGACTTTTGAAAGGAGGCCCTTATTTTGTATTTAAACATAACAGGTGTTTCCCTCCAACAAGAAGTGCTCTTTCTCTTAGGTTTATTTAGCTGTTTAATCTTTCAGCATTTCTTTGCATTCCAGTTTTGGATAAGTAGATGTGAGACCCAGCTGATCCCGCTCTTCCTGGCACCGTGAGGAAAACAGCCTTCAGAGTTGTGACAGGCAGCACTGGATGCTCGGCTGTTGGGAAGAGTGCTCTGGGTGTGGCTGACAGGTGAGGGGAGCAGCCGAGCCTGGTGCCTGTCTGGCTAAGTGGAGACGCGGGCGTGGCAGTGTGCCGAATTGAGAGAAGGGTGGCAGGGTTTGCTGTAGCACTTGTGGTCCAAGAAGGGAAGCAGCTGCACAGTGGCTGAAGGACGGCCGTTCTGCACCCGTTAGATGTGGTAGTGACCGTGTTGCGGCTGCCCCGTCTCACCCCCCAGCAGGGCCTCCCCCAAGGTGGTCGCAGTATGCTGCTGCTGAGTCGTCAGTTGATTTAAAAAAATCCCCCGTCATGGAATGCTATAAAGTTGAAACACTACACATTTTCCTGACTGTTCCTTGCCTTTCATCCATGCACTGAGACTGGGGGGAGGTGGGAGACCCAAGTCTGACTGGGCACTTAGCACGGGGGCGTTCTGCCAGGTCCTACACACACGGGAGCAGAGGTTTGTCTCCTGTGACCTGGCGCGCTCAGAACCTCCTCGGCAGCCCAGTCCGTTTTGTCTTTTCCTCATCCCCGAAGGACTTGGGCTGGTAAATGAAATTGGGGAACCTTACAGATGAAGATGCCCATCTGTGGAAGCAGAATCACCTTGGTGAAGCAGAAATACTTCTGGAATGGGGCTGGTGTTGTGGCACAGTAGGTTAAACCACCACTTTGCAACACTGGCATTCCATGTGAGCACTGGTTCCAATCACAGCTGCTCCATTTCTGACCAACTCCCTGCTTGTGCACGTGGGAATAAAGCAGATGGTTCGAGTGCTGGATCCTTGCCACCTACATAGGTGAGGTGGATGGAGCCCGGGCTTCTGGATTTGGCCTAACTCACCCCTGGCCATTGCAGCCATTTGGAGAATGAACCAGCAGATAGAAAATCTCTGTAGGTCTCTGCCTCTGACTTCAATGCGGTGGGGGTGGGGGGTTGTATTTGGAATGATAGACCAGTATATTAAAAGAGCTTTTCATTGATTCTTTTAAAAACCTGCTTTCTCTCCCGGCAGCTTGGTGGCTGCTGGGGGCATCTGAGCCAGGTTGGACACAATGCTTGGGGCCCTAGCCCCAGCCACCGCTGCCAGGCAGTGGTCGAATCCAGGGCTTGCCTGGGCCAGAGTTTTCTCCCTGCACAATGTGTACACTGAGGAGATCTCTGCAGCTCAGATCCCTGGCTCTGCCCACCACCACCATCTTTGAGTGGGCAGGTGAGTTTAACCTCCGGGCTTGGATGGATGGACCTCCCAGCAGCATCCTGGTGGCTGGGGGCATCTGAGCCAGGCCAGAATCGATGCTTGGTACCCTAGCCCCAGCCACCGCTGCTAAGCAGTGAGCAAAACTTCACCCGCTAGCTGCCCGGCAGTGAGGTCTGGGGTCTTGAGGTGGAATTACTGCCTAGGGACATCCATTGATAAGACCACTGTAAATGTAGGTGAGGAATGAATCCTGAGGGACTCCCAATGACAGGGTCACTATACTTGCAGGTGAGGGGACTGAGACCTGGTAGTTTAGAAAGGAAAAGCCAGAAGATCTGTATGGGTCAGACTGATGCATCAGCCCACGTGGGAGTTCTGAGTTGGCCTTGTTAGCATGGAACATTGCTGACCACCACACACCAATTCTATGTGAAAGCTAGGGCTGGGGGTCTGTCTAGCAGGGGTAGATCCCAGTACCTGAATGTCAGAACAGGGGGCAGGTCACATTAGGCAGAGTCATGTCACTAACCAAGCACACATGAGAACCAGGTCCAGGGGTAGATTATGTGGGGGAATGTGTGAGCCCAACCCTGTGGAAATTAAGTCCCATTGGTTAGCTTAAGAGTTGGGGTGGTGATGGGCTGAACTAGGTGTGACCATCTGCCACCGAGAACAATCTAGGCAGATCCAGGCTGCAGGACCTGCATGTGCATCCTAAAATATGGTGTGGGGTGGACCAAGCCACAACATCAGCTCATCCAAGGCCAGGTGAAGCGGCAGGCTATGCCGGGCAAGGGCCTAACACCCGTTGATACGCATGATATCTGGGTCTGAGAGTGGGCAGAGTGGGGGAATTTGGGAAACTGCCCTAGTGGGTCATAGTTTCTGTTGATAAGCACACGGTCCAGACCTGGGGGTCAGGTAAGCTGTACAAGGTAGCTCCATCCGTTGGCAAGTGTGTGGGTTGGTTCTGGAAGTGGATAGGCCAGGCAAGGCCAAGCAAACCTTAGCTCACCGGCAAGTGCAGAAACCAGCTTGGAGCACAGGTAGTACTGGGCTAGGTTGTCATACCTACCAGTTTGCATGAGCCAGGGATAGGAGCAGACTGAGCAGGACCAGGTTCCATCACCTACCAGCAAAAGTTGGGACTGGGGGCAGGCCGAATCAGGCCAGGCTACAGCATCCAAAGACAACAGCCAAGACAGGGGAGGGGCTATGACAAGCTGGGTCAGAGCAACCACTGCACGTGCACGATCTATGACTAGGCACAGGCCTGGTTGGGAAGCAAAGGGGACGCCCTGGCTGGGTTGTGGTTCCCACTGGTGAGTGCACAGGCCAGAGTGCGGACTGCTGTCTAGACATGGCTACAGTGTCCCTCAGCACAAGTGTGGACTGGGTCTTAGGTGTGCCAGACTGGGCCAGACTCCAGCATCCACTGGTGATTGTGAGAACCAGGGTAGGTGTAGGACAAGCTAGGCTAGGTCTCTGCCCCTGCTGAGCCGTGTGTGAGCTAGTGTGGACCAGGGTTGGCTGGGCTGTAACACCCAACAGTAAAAGCTGGAATGAGTGAAGGCCAGTCAGGAAAGGCTACTGTTCCTGCTAGGACAGGAGGTGGACTAAGTAGGGCTGGGCCATGAACCCACTGGTGGACGTGATCTGGCATTGAGAGAGGTTCTGATGGAGGAGCTTGGGGAATTCCTCTGTTGGGACAGTCCCTGCAGGTGGGCATAAGAATCACGATAGGGAGCAGTCTAGACCAAGTTAGGTAATGGTGTACCCACCATTTGTCTCAGCATACATTTGGCTCAGGTCCGGGGAAACCAGACTGGGCAATTCATATCACTCTCTGGTGAATCCGAGTGTCAGAATGGAGTGTGGGTCAGGCCGGGCTGGATCACAACACAACCCAGTTCACATGAGGGCCAGGACTGGGTGCCAGCTGGGCTAGGCTAGGCAAGACTATAGCCCCACCAGTGTGAGCTGGGGGGCACAGTGGGCCAGGCCTAGCAAGGCTACAACACCTACTGGCAAATGTCGAGGTGAGGCGGACCAAGCTAAACTGCCACATCACCCAACCAGCCCATGTGAGACCAATGGGGGAATGAGCAAAACTGATAGGGGGGCTTCAAGGGGTTCCCCTGCTGGACCACCACTCCCACTGGAGATTGTGAATTGGGATGAAGGCATACCAGGCCGGGCAGGGCTACAACACCTGTTGGCCTCGTGTGAGCTGGATTAGGGAAATGCCAGGATGGGTTGACTGTTCCTTCTGGTGCATGCTTAAGTCAGTGTGGATGTGGGTTGGTTGGGCTTTGCCAGAGCATCACCTGGTAGATGCTTGCATGAGGAGCAAATTTTAAGTTAGACTGCAGAACACAAGATCTGGGAGTAGAAATGGGTCCAACAGCAGGGAAACAATGGGCACCTCCCTCTTGGGTTGCCAGTCCAGCTGGTGAGCATAAGAACCAGGACTGGGGCAGGCATGGCTAGACAGAGTGACAGCCGCTGGCATGTGTATGGGCTGTATAGTGGGGCTGGTTGGGTTGAACTAGCTTCTGCTGTACATACTGGCATGCATAGGAACCAAGATAGGGAGTGGGCCTGGTGGAGGTTATTTTGCATTGCTGTAACTAGGTGGCCACTCTCACTGGTGTACTTGAAGGCCAAGTATGTGGTGGGCAGAATCAGGCTGGGCTGCAACAACCATTGGTTTGTGTAGAAGACAGGGCTGAAAACAGAACTGACCCAGTAGTTGCAACCACCAGTGTGTGTATAAGCTGATTGGAGTGACAGACTGTGCCAGACCCTCTATTGGCAGGCACACACAAGAATCAGGTCTGGTGGGCCCAGTGCAATGGCCTAGTGGCTAAAGTCCTCACCTTGAATGCACCGGAATCCCATATGGGCGATGGTTCTAATCCTGGCAGCTCCACTTCCCATCCAGCACGCTGCTTGTGGCCTGGGAAAGCAGTCAAGGATGGCCCAAAGCCTTGGGACCTGCACCTACTTGGGAGACCTGGAACAAGTTCCTGGATCCTGGCTTTGGATCAGCACAGCACTGGCTGTCGCAATCACTTGGGAAGTGAACCATCAGATGGAATATCTTCCTCTCTGTCTCTCCTTCCTCTCTGTATATCTGACTAAAAGAAGAAAAAAAAAAAAGAATTAGGTCTGGGTTCATCTCAGAAGTTTCTTTGGGGATCCCCCCAACTGAATTGCTAGATTCAGAACCCCAGCGATGGAGAGAATTGCAGGTCCCATGGTCTGAACGTGGAGTGCTTGTGTCAGAGTTGGGCCGCCTCAGTGGCACAGATGGAGCAGTAGACAGCGTATGCAGGTGCACAACGACCATGGCAGTACATTGGAGTCTGCAGAAAACCCCTGGTACTGTAACAGTGGGCAGAGGACAGAACAAATTGATCAGCTACCCCAGCCAAGTGTTGGCAGTGAGTCAAATCTGGGCAAATGGAGACTCAAACTAGCGGAGTCTGGAGAGATTTCGTTGTGCTTGGAATGGCGAGATCGGCAGTAATTCAGAATTGTTGAACTATCTAAACCTCATGAGCAGGACCCTCAGAGCATGCCCCACATCAGGGACCCTGGCATGGTGTCAGGTGGCTGTCCTCCAACCCAGGGTACAGAGGTGTTTGGGAGGCTGGGTGTGGCTTCTGTCTTTATCTCCTTCCTTCCCCCAGATACAAGAAAGAAAAAGAATGTGAAAATGGTGACCTCACCCACCTTCCTGTATCACCCTAATCAACTATAAAAAATCATGAAAAAAATTTTTAAAAATTAATGGAAAAGTTTTATAATTTATCTAGTTAAAAGGACATTTTAAATTCAACAACCAATGTCAAATCACTTAGCTTAATTTTTTTTAATGCAACTTTATTCAGGTATAAAATTCCACCCTTTTGAAGCATGTAAAGGTGTTTTGGCATGGAGTCGTCGGGATCCATGTGTCATGGTCTCAGCTCACCCCCTTTCCTGTCTGGGTAACAGCCCACTGCAGGGCTTCATCATATCTGGGCTTTCTCTCCTTGGCATCCAGGACCATCACGTAGGTTTGTGTGAAATGGAGTTGTTGCTGGGTCACAGCTCTTTACATTCCCATCAGCATCGTAACAGAGGTTCCACTGCCTCTACACCCTTGCCGACTGCCAGCTATTGGCCCTCATTCTGAAGTGAGCCATGGTGAACGTACTGTGGTATTTGCCCACTGTTCCGATCTGTGTGTACATAAAGCCCACCCCACGCTGTGCAGACGAATCCCACCTGGCCAGCCTATCACACTCTACTTTCTCTCCGCAGCTGAGACAGAACCCCACGAGGGCAAGAGGAAAGTGGAGTCGCTGTGGCCTATCTTCAGGATCCACCACCAGAAAACCCGCTACATCTTCGACCTCTTTTTCAAGCGGAAAGCCATCAGCAGAGGTAATTGGCCAGATTCCCCTTTGGTGCTCGTACTTAGGTAGCTTTTATAGTTCTTGACATAAAAGGGCTCTTACTCTTGCTCAAGTATCCATGTGTCTTAGCACTGGTGTAGGAGGGACAAGGCTGTCACACCGTGGTCTGATGACTTTGCCCCATCTATTGACAGAACTCTACGAATACTGTATTAAAGAAGGCTACGCAGACAAAAACCTTATTGCAAAATGGAAGAAACAAGGCTATGAGAATTTATGCTGCCTGCGGTGCATCCAGACACGGGACACCAATTTTGGAACAAATTGCATTTGCCGGGTTCCCAAAAGCAAGCTGGAAGTGGTAATGTCTGGTGATTGAGTTTGGTGCTGTTTTCAGCTTTTAGGACTCAATTCTGGGTCCTTTCCTGGTTGACCCAAGGGATTGATTGTATGTTGTTTGTCTGGGCTGGGTGTCCCCTTGCTGTCCTCCTGTGCTGAGGGCTCTATCTGGGCAGGGTTTGGCAGTGGCCATGTGGTATGTCTGGAAGCCAGTCGGAACGCCACCTTCGAGCAAGCAGTTGAACCTCTTTGCTTATCAGGAGACCCATGCCGTAGGTGCTGGGAGAGCTGTAATAGTCAGCAGATGTTCCCATCCTCTCCTTTGGAACTTCCTGTTCCAGAACTAGGATAGGCACTAGGTATAGGGCTTAGCCCTCTAGGGAGCTAAGCGGCAAGGGAGGTTTCTTGGCCCTACCCTCAAAGGAACTATTTGGGCAGCTCTTGGGCAGGCAGCAGATGGTCTGTGGTTAGTCAAGCCAGCACACCCATCTCCCTGACTTGACACAGGTGCTGTATCCACATGGGCCATTGATGTCACAGGAGAGCTTCATGTCTCTCCCTGGTAGTTAGTTCCATGTGCACCATAAGAAGCTCAATACAGGTTACTGTGCTGTGGGAGTAGGTGAGGGTGTTTCTGTGCGAGAAGGCCCCATGGGGTGTTGGAGACTGCCTCAGCTATGGCCCTAAAAGAGGCTGTTTTATGTATGTCTATATTTATTTATTTTGAAGGCAGTTAGAGAGGGAGACAGATCTTCCACTGGCTCGCTCCCCAAGTGGCCCAACAGCTAGGGCTGGGCCAGGCTCCCAAAACTCCATGCATGTCTGTCCCATCTTGGGCTGCCCCAGCCACCCACCCCTGGCACTTTAGCAGGAAGCTGAATCTGATGTGAACACACTGCCCCTTGAGGTGTTGCTGTGCCCCACGTATGTCAGCAGGCGGCAGAGAAAAAGGCTGCTATGTCAGTGCTCAGTGCTCTGGCCAGTGAACACCTGAATGATCAATATGCAGATAGCAGCGGGGGGGGGGGGAGGGGCGGAAATGTGAAACAGCTGGGATTGGAACCAGCGATCAGATGGGACACTGATGTCACAGGTGCTGAGCCCGATGGGCCACGACACCGGCCCTTCTGACAGGCTGGGTTACAGTGTGCTGACTTGCTTAGATGGTCTTGGTCCTCCTAAAGTTCAAAAATGCGAAATAAACCACAGTTCTTGGGCCTTCTGGACAGGCCCAGGCCAGGCATCAGGCCACACCTATCCTGGACAAGACTGTCCTTCTGCCCATGCCCCCTCCAACAAGTTTCCCCAGGACAGAGGAGGCCCGAGGTCCCTGGCACTGCCTCTGCACGCTGCAGGCCTGTATCTGCTCAGTACAGGCCATGCTACACTTGTTTAACAATGAGGAATCTCAGCCACACAGAGTGCTTTCCTGTTAACTCTATATATTGAATTTGCAGACACATATATGCCCATCCCTGTAACTTCAGTGTCAACAGTAGCACTTTGTGAAGAAATCAAATTTGTCCCACCCAGAACTGTCAGGTTTCTGAGCCGTGTCCTGCAGGCGAATCTCTACATAAGGGTTGCTGTGCGAGTGTGCAGTGGGTGGGGATAGGCTGGGCTGGGGTGGCAGGGCACCATCTCAGCCATGCTCTCATGCTCTCTTGCAGGGCCGCATCATTGAGTGCACGCACTGTGGCTGCCGGGGCTGCTCTGGCTGAGCCCCTTGGACTCGCACCCTTCCCTGCCTTGGATTCTACGGCTTCCTGCCTTTGGAAAAACCCACTTGGCTGGGAGCAGCTCTTCTGCCAGAGCAGTGCCCCGTGCCAGGGTGGAGTGTAGCCTCTGCACATGAGGTATTCATCAGCTTTGATTTGTAAAAATAAAACTTTTAAATCTCTTGGATTCTGTGCTCATTCTTTCAGACTAGTAGTCTGGAGACCCCAATGGGAAAGCCAGGCCCTGGAGACCAAAAGTCCCAGGACAGTTCTGGGTCTGCCTTATGGATGCTGTGTGAGCCAGAGCAAGTGCTCTCATTGGGAGCCATCAGGAAGTGACGTGTGAAGGTGGCTTAACCTGCTCTAGGGTGTCCTGTGGACATGGCATCCTGGGCAGGCCCAGCGTGTATCTTCACACCAGTACCTGAGTAGGCTCTCAGTCTGGCCAGGCCTTTGCTTCATGCCAGCAACATCAGCACACTCACTTGTCGTTAGTAGGTAAGCAACGAGGCACTGTGAGCGCTGGTCCAGTCCTGGTCACCTGCCCCCAGAGCTTCCATCCACATCAGCCTCTGTGGCGCTGTCCTGGTGCCCCTTGGGTTTGGTCCGAAACTGCTGCCAGGGGTGAGGGGTTTCCTCTGCTGGCATGCCTTTCAGCCACTGCTTGTAATAAGCCCGGAAGCCATCGATCTTCTCCAGGTAGGTGTTCTTCCCCTTGTACTGCAAGGAGAACAGCACAGCGCTCAGCAGAGCCTGACCGTTAGCCCAGTGGCTGACACCCTGCCTACGGTGCTTGCCTGCAGATAAGCAGACCTGGCAGAAAAGTCATTTCCACCTTTGGCACTGGATACGTAGAGGGATCCTTTCCAGGCAGAGCTACCACGGAGTGGGGTAGGTTCTCCAGGCACCTGACATCTGTCTTCCTGATGTCACCCTAGCACTTCAAACGACAGTCACTCAGCACAGCCTCCCAAGCTGAAGAAGATAAGCCAGGCAGACACTAAAGGAGCTGGCAGGAGCTGTGCAGAAGCTGTGACAGAGTACTGTCAGAGACACTTGGAAGGTTTTAACAATTCTAGCTTGAATGTGCCTAGTATCGTCTGAAAGCAGATAAAGTAAAACCTGACAGTCCAGAGAACCAGCTGAGGTGGGATGAGCAGGATAAATAAACTAGTCTTCAGGCCTGAGTCTTGAGGTTGTTGGACCTCACACGACCTCTAGGGGGTGCTGCATTGTACACTGAAGATAGGTGTAACTTGTCACAAGAACACTGACCCAGCAGTTCAGAGCGCTGGGCTTTGTTCTTGGGCACACAGCTGTCCGGCCAGGCCTTCACAGTGGACCCACGCTCCTGCCGCTTGGTGTGTCCCTGCCACTGTCTCCCCCCGTCATCTGGCTGTGTTCTTCCTCACCATAAACACTTGGGATGCTCAATACAGAAGGTGATGCTATGGATCCAAAAGAGCCAACACCAGAGTGATGGCCTCCAGACAGCAGCAAGGGATGTAGCCACTACCACACCAAGTGTCCTGCCTGCTGCTAAGACCGAGAATGTGCACTTGAGGGGAGAGAGGCAGACGCCGACAGGCAAGTCTAAACTACAGGAGCCTGGGATTCGGTGAGGGGGCCTCACACATGCACATGCACTTATCAGTTACAACATGAGGGACTTGAAAAGCTCGTGAGATGATAGGCCCAGCATGGAGTCTGGCAGCTGAAGTCCTCACCTTGCACACACTGCGATCCTATATGGGTGCTGGTTCTAATCAACAGCCTCACGTCCCATCCAGCTCCCTGCTTGTGGCCTGGGAAAGTAGTCAAGGACGGCCCAAAGCTTTGGGACCCTGCACCCGCGTGGGAGACCTGGAAGAGGCTCTAGGCTCCTGACTTCAAATCAGCTCAGTACCAGCCGTTGCAGTCACTTGGGGTGTGAATTATCGGACAAAATATCTTCCTCACTTGTCTCCTCCTCTGTATATCTGACTTTCTAATAAGTAAATCTTTAAAACAAACAAAAAAGATGCGCATCTTCCATGAACTTAATGAAGCCCCCTCACAGCTTTAGGATTGGAGTGTGCACAGCTGGGGTAGGGAGTCACTAAAGCATCTCTAAATCAACAGCTGCAGTGGAGATCTACAGGACAAAGAGGAAAGTCGGGAGGGGGAGGGAATACCAACAGGAACAGCTGGTGATGTCCAGAAACTGTCTGCAGGCCACGTGGGCCTGAGAGCCAACTCAGGGAAGACTGGCCTGGGATGCAAGATGAACCGGCGGGGGACAGACCTGTGAATGTCCCAGCGGAAGCTGCTGGTCAGTTTAAGGGTATCCTCAAAGGGCTTGGAATGGGGGTGGCACTGGGGATGCGCATACCCGGTCGAAGGTGGGTGGGTACTGAGCAGCAAACTCCAGCTGGCGGATGACCACCTCATTCACGGGCACCGAGTTCTGCCGCATGTCCTTGAGGATGTCGATGAGGTAGCTGTAGTCCAGTCTCTTCAGGGCTGCGTTGATGAGGGTGCTGTAGATGTGGGTGTTGGGTGTCATCTGGCATTTCTGGAATGTCATGGGCACCACCCAGTCAGAAAGGTGATGGAACTGGAAGAACACTCCAGTCCTAAATGGGCAGATGGAAGTCTGCCCATTCCTGCCCTGCCCGGGGCCTGCTCACCTTCATGTCTGCAAGCAGCTGCAGGCCATCCCTGTGCCGGCGGCACCCGATGGCAAGGTTGCAGAATGTCTGCAGGTTCGGGATGACGCCCCTCTTCGCCAGGACTGGCAGCAATGCCTGTGAGGACAGACATGGCATCACAGGGGCCTAAAGAGCCTCCCAGCGCAACCCTTGCACTTGACACTGGAGGTCCTGGCCCACAGATCTCACGGCTCCCTCTGCTGACCTCATCACACCACTGCCCTTAGGTCAGCACTTGAGACCTGGGTTGCCTATGGCCTGTGCTCAGCAGCAGCTCCTTAGAATCCCACGGCTCTGCATGTACGCTGTGCCAGCCAGTCCAACATGCTGTTTGCTCCCCCCAGCACCCTCCCAACTGCAGGCTGTATCAGGGGATTTGGTAGCACTGAGTCCTGAGTAAGGGCCACACTGACCAGAGCGTTGAGGTCCCTATGGAAAGGCTCCACCCAGCACCGTCTTGGGTCCCTCACTTTCACGTCTGCAAGCAGGCAAGCTCACCCAGAAGACTATGGGCCTGTGGTCAGAGCACTCAGGGCAGAGCGCCAGCAAAAAGCCACGGGCCCGTGGCGGGGGTGAGCTGGGCTGTGTTCGGCCTAGCGCTTACGAGCTGCTTGAGATGCCTGCATCTCAAATGGAGTGCCCGGGTTTGGGTCCTGGCTTGGGTCCTGCCAGACGGTGGTGGGCATAGTTCCTGCTAAAGGCTGAGCTCCCAGCCCCCCAGCTTTGGTTTGGCCCAGCTTCAACGATCACCGGCACCGAGTGAACCAGCAGATGGGAGCAGTTTCTCTATCTCTCAAAACAAAAATAAATAAATTAATTAAAACTGAAAAGCTTATGGTGTAAGTTGACAAAATCCTGTTAGGCCCTAATGTCCCTACCTGTTTGTAGGGAGTCACAGAGCAGCAGGGCCGCCTGGGTGGGGGTCAGAGAACTCACTGACAAGATGCAGTGAGAAGGGTGTCTGGCAGAGTCAGCACAATGTGACAGGGACGAAGGTGGCCGCAGCGCCCAGGCGTGCCCAAGCCCCTCACCTTTGCGCCCTCCAGGTCTCCCAGCTTGCTCTTCTTTCTCATCAGTGTGTTGAAGAACGTCACATCGGCCTCCACGTGGTACGTGTCAAGGGCGCTGAGCAGCGAGGATTCTGCGGGGCTCCCAGGCTCTACGACCTCAGCCAGCAGTGTGAAGGTCTTGATGTCGGGCTGGAGCCCGTGTTCTCCCATCTTGCCCAGAAAGCCTTCTAGGCCCCCCATCAAGGCCAGTCTGTGGGCCGGGGTAGTCACAGTCCCAAAGGAGACCACAGCCTGGGGGATGGCCCCAAGACTCAGAAGGTTGATTCCCAACTCCAAGGGAGGTGGCTTTGAGGCCATTGGGGTGAGGGCCACTGCGTGGCTGGGATCAGCCCTGGCTTCCATCTCAGGTCGAGCCTCACCATGTGCTCTGGCCTCCAGAGACCCTGAAGGCTTTTCAAGTGCCTGAGAAGGCTCCAGAAACAGCTGCCTCTCTAGGGCTTCCACTTGCAGCTTGGCCAACATGCTGGCATCTGCCCTGGGCTGGGCTCTCCTCCTCATCTGCCGGCTACCTGCTGGGGGCTGCAGCATGACCTTCCCCTCCCCGGACCTCAGCAGCACCTCAGAGGCCACCTCTGGGTCCCCCAAGCCGCAGTCCCGGGTTGCCCCCAAGAGCAGGTTGTAGTTCTGCAGGTGTGGCTTGAGCCCCAGACTCAGCATCTGCCTCCACACCTGCCAGGAAAGGGACAGTGTCAGCCGGGCGCTCCCGCCTTAGAAACGCTTAAGCAGAGGGAGTCCTGGGAGGCAGACACAAAGGGCGCAGGAAGATTCTGGAACATGTTTAATTCCACATTACACAAGTCTAGCAACTAAGAATTGCCAGGATTCCGGAACTGCCCTTCCCTCCTGTGTAAATCCAAAACTGTCTAGTCTCACCTTCGGCCCTGTCCCCAGGGTCCCTGGCCTGGGTGGGGGGGTCTCTGCCAGACTTCCTGTGAGCTCCTCTAAGGGACAGCTGGAGAGGCTGGGATTCAGAAGAGCCCAGGCTGACCCTGAAGGCTGGGATTCAGCAGTGTTTCCCAAGTGCCCACTGGGAGCCCAGCTGCAGATGAGGAAGCCGGGCAAGAGGGCCACTGCCCACAGGTCAGGGTCTCAAAGGTAAAGGTCTTGTAAGCCACGCACCTTCATGAGAGGTTGGGAGAGCAGCAGAGGCACGCAGCCTGTCCATGGCAGCAGAGAGCAGGAGCAGGGATTTGCGTCTAGGGTAGATGGACTTTTCGTTCCAAGTTCCACAGGTCTTACACTTTGTGGCTGTGGGACCTCTGACAAGTTACTTGTCCTTTAAGAACCTCAGTTTTCTTTCCTGCAGAACGAGGCTATCACTGCCTAGCCAGAGCAGTTTGCCAAATCACCACATGAACAGGCCTAACAAGTGACTCCTAACTAGAATAGATGTGGGCCAGAGTGGACGGAAGCAGACCTTAGTTCGTGAGGGTCAGAGGGGGGCTGCCAGAAGCTGCTTCCCAGAATTCTGCGGGAGTGGTATGAGCACCTGGTCCAAGGCTACCTCAGATCTCAGGAACTCAGACTCAGTGCAAACCACTTGGGCATCTGCTGAAACACAGATGTGGAGACAGGGATCCCACAGAGAACCTGCATTTCCGCAGCTCCCAGTCGAGCCATAGCAGAGGTAGGTGCTCGCAAGCAGCAGTGCACAGAAGGAGCAGGACGGTGGGGGAAGGCACAGACCTGCAGGGCATACCGGAAGCCCGTCTTCTTGTCCTGGATGCAACCCATGAGAAGGAAACTGAAGGTCTCCTCTGTGACCACATGCCCCTTGTGGACCATTTCCTACGAGCAGAAACAAAGTTGCCCTAGTGAGAAACCACAGCAGAGCCCAGGCCAACTGGCTGGTGTCTGCAGCGCTTGGGGGTAGGGGTCTGTTTTTAAAAATTATCTATCTGGGGCCTGGCAGCGTGGCCTAGCAGCTCAAAGTCCTCGCCTTGAATGCCCCGGGATCCCATACGGGTGCCGGTTCTAACCCCAGCAGCTCCACTTCCCATCCAGCTCCCTGCTTGTGGCCTGGGAAAGCAGTCGAGGATGGCCCAAAGCTTTGGGACCCTGCACCCACGTGGGAGACCCGGAAGAAGTTCTTGGTTTCTGGCTTCAGATCAGCTCAGTACCAGCCGTTGTGGTCACTTGGGGAGTGAATCATCTCACAGAAGATCTTCCTCTCTGTCTCTCCTTCCTCTTTGTATATCTGATTTTCCAATAAAAAATAAATCTTTAAAAAAATATATCTATTTAAAAGAGTCACAGAGAAGAAAAGACAGAGATTTGCCAACTACTGGCTCACTTCCCAGAAGGCCATGCCAGCCAGTGCTGGGGCAGACCGGAACCCCAGGAGACAGGAGCTTCCTCTAGGTCTCCCACATGGGTGGCAGTGACCCAAGTTCTTGGCTCATCTTTTGTCACTTTTCCCAGGTCATCAGCAGGAAATGAGTCAGAAGTGGAGCAACCAGTATACAAACCAGAGCCCACATGGGGATGCCAGTGTCACAGCTTTACCTACTGAACCATGCAGCCGGCCCCCAGTCTCTAATTTGGAGGAATTGGTACCCAAATGTGGCTCTGGGTTGGAACCAGCTCCAGAGCAGAGTAGCCCTACTGTTCCCCACTGGGTCCCTCTTCCTGGCCCTGCACTCAGTGGGCTTATTCAGTGCCTCTGCAAGGACACCCCAGGAGTCACTGTTTGCCTCTGGGCTCTCATGTAGCCGACTTCAAGCTTCCATCATTGGCCAGCTTGGAGCATAGGGTCAAGCACTCACCTCCCAGGGCTCAGCTGCCCCATCAGTGGAGTGGGATCCCAGGGAGTTGGGACATGCCTGCTTCCCAGGCATCCTTCATTGGTCATATCTGGCATCTATCTCATTCTCACACTTGGACCTGCCTGAGATCTCCCTGCTCACCGTCTTCTGCTCTGAGAGCTGGGGGTGAGACCCCTTCCTTGTCGGGTGGTGGGGAGCAGATGATGGGAGACACTGGCAAAGTCTTCAGAAATGTTTATTATGCAAAAACTATGAGGACCAGTGTTATGGAGTAGGGGTTTAAGCTGCCACCTGTGACACCAGCATCACATATGGATGCTGGTTCAAGTCTCGGCTGCTCCACTTCTGATCCAGCTCCCTGTTAATTCGCCTGGGAAAGCAGCAGATGATGGATCAAGTAGGTGGGCCCCAGGAGACCAGGATGGAGTTGCAGGTTCCTGGCTTTGGCCTGGCCCAGTGCTGGCTGTTTGGACCATTTGGGCAGTGAGCCAACAGAGAGACTAGTTCTCTCTCTAACGCTCCCTTTCAAATGAATAAAGAAAATCTCATTTAAAAGTAGGACAAGCCCATGTTTGGATTTAAAATCTTTTTTGAGCCCAAGATAAAAGTATCTCCTAATTCCATTTAGCCACAAGCATTGTGAAGTCCTCTGTAAAAGCCCTACTGTACCCTGGCACCCAGAGCTTTCCGGAGTGGACTTACCCAGTGCCCACTCCACACTCACTGTGTTCCTTAAGACCCTCGCACTGAGCAGCCGACCCCTCAGCTCCCTGATCCAGGGATTTCACCCCCACTGGTCCTTCTAGGCCGGGGTCCTTCCTGTGAGCCCTGACTCATCCCTAACACTCAGACTGTGAACACCATCTCCAGGAAGTCCTCCCTCCCCAGTGCTCCCCAGGCCAGCCCCATGGAAGGAACACGCCAACATACCACTACTGAGCACCTGTCAGGCCAGGCCTCCAAGGGCAAGCTGTCCCCACCTTGAACACATCCAGGCACATCCTGAGGTCTGCACATTTGGCAGCCACCTTCAGCAGGGCGTGGTATGTTTTCAGGTTGAGCTGGAAGTTTCTGGCCTGGAGCTGCTGCCGGAGTTTCAGGGCGCTCTGTAGGGCAGAGTCCTTCCAGGGGGATTCAGCACAGACATTGAACAAGGCCGTGTATGTGGCATCCGACGGCGCTAGGTCCCGCTTCTTCATCTGTTGAAACAAGAGTAACTTAGAGGTAGCACTGACGTCAGCACGATGCTCGGCCGAGCAGCTACCTCCAGGGCACCGCAAGCCTGGTCTTCAAGTCCCTGAATGCCAAAGGGATTCTGAAAGCCAAGCCTGCACGCCGAGATACACCGAAAAGAAGTCATTGTCCCTGAGTGCCCATCAGCCCACTGTGGGTGGGAGCTTCTTGCAGCTGAGTCCTCAGCTCAGAAGATACCTTGGGTTGTGAGAAGGAGCCAGAGTGGATAGAGGGGTAGATAAAGGGCTTTGCTGGGGAAGCTACTAAGATCTGAACAGAGTTTGGGATTCAGGTAAGAGTAGTGCTCAGCTGCTAGCCACTGGGTTTTGATCAAAGTATCATGGTCACCTAAGATACTAATGTGGCAGAAGCTGGTGAGGAGTCTCCAAGAGCTTTCTATGCTATCTGTACAATTTTTCTACAAATGTAAATGTATTGCAAAGTTCAAAAGAAAGAGAGAGAGAGAGAGAGAGAGAGAGAGAGAGAGAAAAGAAAGAAAGAAAAGTAACAACAAAATCCCTACAAAACAACAAGTAAAGAACTCACTGCTCCCCAAAAAAGTGATGACTACCAACAGGGAACAGAGTGGTCTGGCTTTGCAGACAGGAACCCTGTGGGAAGGCATGCAGTGATCCCCTACATTCAGAAAGGACTGAGCTCTCAACAGTCCCCTACCTACCCCTCACTTGGAGGACTGAACTCTTCGATTTTCGGTTTGGTCTCCCATTCTCCTAGGCCAAGAGATTGTCCCTGAAGGTGATGTTCCCTTATGTCTTGTAGCTACCATTTCCCCTCTCACCTCCAGCTAGAGATCAAACACCGGGGAGCAGGGTGCCAAGTGACAAGCGGACTAGAGTGAAGGGCACCCCCAGCTCCTAAGAAGGCTGAAGGAGAAAACTAATGTTCTTCCACCAGTCAACCCCTCCCAGGGCAAGGCTTTCCCGGCTTAGGATGGAAACAGCTTCCTGGCTCTGAGGATGACAAAACTAACACACCCCCGTAGGACTTACAAGGGGACTCAAAGCCCTTTCCTCAAAGGCCGAGCTTTGGAGCAGTGTCCCTCTGTGGGCACATACAGGGCACGCACGGAGAAAGTAACGGGAACCAGCTAGACATGGTGATGGGAAAGGATGGGGCACGGTAGGCATGGGGGTCCTGATAGGTGTTGAAGGGCTTGCTGCATCATCTCACTTGGCCCTGAAAATCACCTCCAGTGTACAGATGGTGATTCTGAGGCCAAAGGTTTAACTCGTCCATTGTGTCCCATCCTGGTAGGCAGCATGTCTGGATCTGCAGTCACTCTTACTGGCCTCCCAGCCCAGGCTGTGCAGAGCCTTGGCCCACCAGGTCACACTCACGTCATTGTAGAGTGCAAAGGCTTTCTTGAGGTAGCCGGCCCGGCCACAGCCCCCAATCAGCACCGTGTAGTTGCACTCCAGTGGCTGGAGACGCTCCTCCTTCAGCATCTGCCTCTCAAACAGGTCCAGGGCCTCTGCCAGCTAGACAAAACAGAGTGACAGGGTGGGAGGGGGCGGTCAGAGCAGCCTCAGTGACCCTCAATGGAGGAAGGGAGTCGAGGAGGCTGCAGGACACCACGAGACTGTGCAAGAAAGCACCCCAGGGAGCTTCCTCTAACTACACACCCCCGTGGGCTCAAAGCTGTCTCGGTTCCATTCCCATCCCCTCACCCTCAGTTCTCTCCTCTACTCCTTGATGATTTTCATGGGTCCATTCAAACAATAATTACTGAATGAGCCCAACAAGGTCTACACACTGAGGACATAGCGGCCAGCAAGAGGAAACCCCTCACAGAGCGCACATTTTGGTGTCCAAAGACAAACATCAAACGCACTGATGCGATCACACAACAGTGGCTGTGCGTCGAGCCAGTAACCACACTGCAGTGCCATTTCTAGTCCCAGTTACCCCACTTCTGATTTGGCTTCCAGTGAGTGCAACTGGAAAGGCAGCAGAAAACAGCCAGTGACTTAGACCCCTGCTACCCGTGCGAGACACCAGGGCAGAGTTCCTGGCTCCTGGCTTCAGTTTGGCCCAGCTTTGCCTTTTGCAGGCACCTGGGGAGTGAACCAGCAGATGGAACACTTCTTCCTGTAGCTCTTTCAAATAAGTACATCTACACACACACACAAGACAGGGTGAACATGCAGAGGTCCACATGCCATTTGGGACTGTCACATCTTGACTTCTCGCCTGGCCCAGCTCTTGCTTCCACTTTCCTGCTGCAGCAGACCCTGCCGGAGTCCAGCTCCAGCTGAGTTCGGAACTCGCGAAGGGTGCATGGATGAGGCGCAAAGAAAGAGACGGACCACTAGTAACTCTTCATCATCATTATGGACCACGCACAAAAGCTGTCCGCTTTATTTATACAAAATCAGTCAAACTCTGGCTCAGGCTTTTTACGTCACGCTCAAGCGGGGATTTCTAAAGATAACTCTGCCATTTGTTTCACCTAAGGCTAGGTTGCTGTTCATCTGGCATCTGGCGCCTGGCTAGGAAAAGGTTTTCAACAGATGATGCATATCGGTCAGTAGCACATTCCTACAATTGGTCTTGAGATAGTCAAGGGAGGAAGGGGCCTAAAAGATCAAAGAAGAAGGAAAGAATAGATTCCCACTACACCTGAAAGCAGAACTCCCTTGATTAGCATAGGATCAAAAGGGGGAGTTAACACTCTTGATTAACATATTGCCACAGGACGCAGCCCTAACAGCGATAGTAGCTCTTTGGCTAAAAAACGGCACTAGCAACATTAGCTTCTAAGTTCCTATTGACGTTTAACAGTAACTCCGCAGAGGCAGGCAATGCCTGAATAGATTACAGAATTCTCAGTGGGGTTGTCTGGTGTCCATGCAAAGGGAGGCAGAGCCGCATTCAGGTGTTGTAGAGACATCCGCCAGGCCTTGCCACACAGCGGGGAGTTCCTTGCAACCTTGCCTGCAATGGAGCCACGCTCTTCACACCTTCCTGTCTTCCACCCCCATCACACGGACTCCAGCAAGACCCTAGGAATCAGTGGTGACAATTCAGAAGTAACTGGGTTCCTGCCACCCATGTGAGAGGCCTGGACTGAGTTCGAGGCCTGGACTGAGTTCGAGGCTCCTGGCTGCAGCCTGGCCCAGCTGTTGCAGGCGATTGGAGGGAACTGGCAGACACAAACTATCTGTCTCCCGCTGCTTTTCAAGCAGAAAGAAAAATGCGAGGAATGCACTTTTTAGATATGATCAGACTGGGCCTCATTCAGAAACTGACTTATGAACAAAGACCTAAGGAAGAGAAAGGAGCAGCCACGTGGCTGAGTGCACAGCCAGGGTCCTGAGTCAGGACCGTGCCTGGAGTAGGTATCAGCTGAAGTGCTAAACTGTAGCCGCACACTAACCAGACAGCACAAACCGGGGGATGAGGGTACACGGGTGACAGGTGACAGGGTGGTAGAAACCACTTGCAGGCTCCATAAGCATGGTGAGAATTTAGGCTTCCCTTTGTTTAAATCTTTTTTAAAGATTTATTTATTTGGGTCTGGCATGATGGCCTAGAGGCTAAAGTCATCGTCTTGAACACACCAGGATCCCATATGGTGCCAGTTCTAATCCCGGCGGCCCTGCTTCCCATCCAGCTCCCTGCTTGTGGTCAGGGAAAGCAGTTGAGGACGGCCCAAAGCCTTGGGACTCTGCATCCATGTGGAAGACCTGGAAGAGGCTCTGGGATCCTGGCTTCAAATCAGCTCAGTACCAGCCATTGCGGTCACTTGGGGATTGAATCATTGAACAGAAGATCTTCCTCTCTGTCTCTCCTCCTCTTTGTATATCTGACTTTCTAATAAAAACAATTGAATCTTTAAAAATATATATTTATTTACTTTATTGGAAAGTCAGAAGAGACATGGAAGATCTTCCGTCTGCTTATTCACGGCCACAATGGTCAGAGCTGTGCCAATCTGAAGCCAGGAGCTAGCAGCCTCTTCCAGGTTTCCCATCTTGGTGCAGAGTCCCAAGGCTTTGGGCCATCCTCAACTGCTTTCCCAGGCCACAAGCAGGGAGCTGGATGGGAAGCGGGACTGCTGGGATATGAACCCGCACCAATATGGGATCCCAGTGCATGCAAGATGAGGACTTTAGCCACTAGGCTACAGCCCACTTGATTTAATTCTTAACTTTTCTTTTTAAAGATTTATTCTTTTTTTAATTTTAAAGGCAGAAAGAGAGAGATCAATCTTTCAACTGTTGGTTCAATCTCCAAAGATCCCCAACTGCCAGAGCTGAGCTGATCCTAAGCAAGAAACCAGTAGCTTCTTCTTGGTCTCCGATGTAGGTGCAGGGGTCCAAGGACTTTAGCCTTCCTCTGCTGTTTTCCCAGGCCATAAGCTAGGAGTTGAATCCCAAACTGGTGCCCATACGGGAGGCCAGGGCTGCAGAAGGAGGCTTGGCCTAACTATGCCATCGCTCCTGCTACTAATTCTTAACTTTTCTTTATGGAAAACTTCAAATGTACACCAAAGCAGAGTAAGTAACATTGACTAGTATGACTGTTACTCCTTACCCAATCTTACTTCATCCATAGCTCATACTCTCCCTCAATACTCTTTTTTATTGATTTTCATTTCATTAAAATGCAAAGAGATAGTGACAGAAGGATATTCTGTCTGCTGGGTCACCCCTCAAAGTCCCAGGACAAGGGCTGGACCAAGCTGGAAACAGGAAGACCAGGAACTTAAATTAACTCTCCCACACAGGTGACAGAGACCTAAGCACTTAAGCCATCATCTACTGCCTGCCAAGCTGTGCACTAGTAGAAAGATAGACTGGGGATTGGTGTAATGGCGCAGCACATTAATCCACCTGCCGGTGCCGAATACTACATGGATTCATGTGCTGGCTGCTCCATCTTCCATCCAGCTCCCTCCTTGTGGCCTGGGAAAGCAGTCGAGGACGGCCCACAGCCTTGGGACCCTGCACCAGGATGGGAAACCTGGAAGAGGCTCCCATCTCCTGGCTTCAGACTGACACAACTTCGACCACTGTGGCCGCTCAGGGAGTGAATAAGCAGACGGAAGATCTTCCTCCCTGTCACTTCTCCTCTCTGATCTGCCTTTCCAATAAATAAATAAATAAATATTAAAAAAAAAAAGTAGGTGGTAGATGAGAAGCCTCAAGCCAGGCACTCTGATATGGGATGTGGGTGTCCCATACACCTTCCTCTGCCTCAGTTTTTAAAGCAAGTCCCTGACATACAATCATTTCACCTAAAAGATCCTTAATGTAGGAGGACAGTGTGACCCTAGAGGGTGTGCAAGCACAGGATTATAGCTGATTGGATAATATTTGCATGAGAACAACCGAATGGCTACCTTTTGTATACCTGATTGGATATCATTTGTATAAGAACAGTTGAGTGGACAGTATGTGTGTGAGAACACTTGGTGGAAAATACAAGACAAAAGGAGTTTCAGACAAAAGCTTAGAAACTGTTGATGGGTTTTGTTGATGAACTCAATACTTCCTCCCTTATCCCATATGACCCTCAGTGTATAAAGCCTGATGCCACTAATAAACTTCGGCTTTGATCATCAGTCAGGGTCCACGCCTGCTATTATCAGCTCCACCTGCTATTATCAGCTCCGTGCACCAAGTCCATCGCTGTGGGACAGAGACACATAATTCCTAAAGATTTTAAAACAGAAACTGGGCCCTGTGCGATAGCATAGCAGTTAAGGTTCTCGCCTTAAATGAGCCAGGATCCCATATGGTCGCTGGTTCTAATCCCAGCGGCCCTGCTTCCCATCCAGCTCCCTGCTGGGAAAGCAGTCGAGGACAGCCCAAAGCTTTGGGACCCTGCACCCGCGTGGCTTCGGATCAGCGCAGCTCCAACTGTTGCAGCCGCTTGGGGAGTGAATCATCGCACAGAAGATCTTCGTCTCTGTCTCTCTTGCTCTCTGAATATCTGACTTTCCAATAAAAATAAAATAAATCTAAGAAAGAAAAAACAAACCATTAGCTTTTGCCATTATCAATATCTAAAAAAATGACCATTAAAAATCACTAAACAGACCTGACGTGATAGTCTAGTGGTTAAATCCTTGTCTTGCAGGCACTGGGATACCATATGGGTACCAGTTCGTATCCCAGTTCCTCCACTTCCCATCCAGGCCCCTGCTTGTGGCCTGGGAAAGCAGTGGAGAATAGACCAAAGTGTTGGGACCCTGCACCCATGTGGGAGACCCAGAATAAGCTCCTGGCTCCTGAATTTGGATCAGTTCAGCTCTGGCTGTTGTGGACACTTGGGGAATGAACCAGTGGATGGAAGATCTTTCTATATCTCCTTCTGATTACATATCTGCCTTTCCAATAAAAAAGTAAATCTTTTAAAAAAAATCACTGAAAGCAGTGCACATTTTTGACAAGCCCAATGTGACCTGCAATCTGACACCTATGTGCCGTGACGCGGGCAGCAAGCAGCCCAGTGCCGAGTGTCCTCACAGCTGAGGGGGCGAGGAGAAAGACGGAATGGAAATTCAAGGGCAGGGCTGTGAGAGCTTGATGCTGGTGGCAGAGTTGATAGCAGAAGCCGAAAACCTTGGAATAACCTGAAGGCCTCTGGCCCTGGCCAACAAAGTTAACAGGACTGCCATCTCATTGAGATGAAGAAATGTGGGTAAAACCAAGCTGGAACAGAACTTTCCGGCCTGGCTTTGTCGGCCTTGGATGCAACGATAAGTGCTGACGGAGATGACAAGATCAGATGCATAGGCAGGAGACAACTCTCGCGGGACCAGCAGTGGGGAGAGGTGAGGGCAGGACACTGGAGCCACTGTGAGTAAAGAATGAAGGTACGTGACATCTGAAGACATCCTTGACAAGACAGCAAGCCGCTCCACTCACCTTGCCTTCGTTGATGAGGCCTTTGCACCGGAAGAAGTACCAATGTGGGGTGTTTCTCCGGCCTCGCCATGGTTTGGGCTCTAGTTCCTCATCTTCCTCAGCACTCTGTTCCTGGAGCCGGAGGTCATACAGCTGGGTTGTTGATTTGCGGAACATTCTTCGGGAGGAGTACTTGTCAGAAAGGGTACCAAAGCCTTCCTCCTCCTCTTCCTCCTGAGAGACTGTGGGGCTGGGCTGGCTCAGTTCAGAGCAGCCACTGCTCTTGGTCTGCGGGGTGCCCTGGTCCAGAGGCAGCTGAGAGAGGGAGCTGCTGGAGGCGGCTGACACCTGCCGAGTGAGCCACACAGAATGCCCCGGGACTCCTGCCCAACGGGCTCTGACCAGGCCTAGGTGCTGCAGAACCGACAGTCCCATGGGACGGGAGCCGAAGAGCTGGGCGAGTCTCATGAGGTCCATCTCGGACTTTCCTGTCCTGCCAGGACCTGGAACATGTCAGCAAAAACAAGGACATCAATGAGGGCTCCCAGCCCCAACAGGCAGAAAGAAGAGAAGGGGTTCCAAGCATGGGCTCCAGGAATGCAAAAAGCTGGGGTTCAGACTTCAGCTTCCTTAAACAGCATGCACCTATCTGTCCTACTGTTCTGGTTTCAGTGTTACCTGTAAGCTGAGGTTAACAATGACAGCATCCACACACGCCGGGACAACAATGGAACGAGGGGTGGTCTCCTGTGTACGGCAGGGAGCACAGCACCAAAACAGGGACCACTCAGTAAAGCTATTATCCTCAGTGCACACCTTAAACTCTTTCACATGTTTGGCAGGCCAGCAGGCCACCACTTGGGACACCCCATCCCATGTGAACCCCTGATTCACATCTACACCTGCTTCTGAGGTGACAACTCAAGTATGTGGGTCCCTGCCACCATGTTCCCGACTTTGGCTTAACCCAACCCTGGAAGTTGCCGGCATTTCGAAAGAGACCCAGAGGACGGAAGGCCTCCACCTCTGACTCGGAGGCCTTCCGAACAAACAAAATAAAGCAAAACGAGCATAACCATATAACAGCTTGAAAATATCTTAAGGTCTGGTTACAAAAGGACATGATAACTGGAAAGTACGTAGGGGTGGTGGCAAATTGGAGGGGCCAGTGACTGAGGGAGAGCAAGCAAAGGGACGTGCTGTGTTCCCACAGCCATGGGGCCATCCCCAAAACTGGGCAGCCGGGGAGGGGCTGCCTTTGAAGCTAGGGCCTGTATTAAACATCCCTGACTTAGCAACCATCCTCCGCATGGACAAGGCTTCCCATGGTAACACGCACGGTGTCTACACGCATTCATCAAAATCCACTGAATTTCCAGAAGGATGGGTGGGAGGGATGAAATATCATCATATTCTTAGAATTGTATCTAAAAATGATATCGAATCCGTTAAGAAAAAAGCCTAATAGGGGCCCAGCGCAGTGGCACAGTGGTTAAGGTCCTCGCCTTGCACGCCCGGGATCCCATATGGGCGCCGGTTCTATCCCGGCAGCCCCGCTTCCTTTCCAGCTCCCTGCCTGTGGCCTGGGAAAGCAGCAGAGGACGGCCCAACGATTTGGGACCCTGCACCCGCGTGGGAGACCTGGAAGAGGCTCCTGGCTTCGGATCGGCATAGCATCAGCTTGGGCAGTGAATCATCGGATGCAAGATCTTCCTCTCTGTCTCTGCTCTCTGTATATCCGCCTTTCCAATAAATAAATAATAAAAATAAATCTTTAAAAAAAAGAATATTTATAAAAAAAGCCTAATAATTAAAAATCTTTACAAACATATAATTTTTAAAAAGAATTACCAAGACAACACTAATAACATACACATAAGCATTTTAAGCTAAGTTAGAAGTATCTGTTCTTTTGCAGATGCATTCCATAACAGAATCCCAGCACACGTGAGTGGAATTCGTGGTCGCTGCAGAACTGCCCAACTGCCATTTACCCACACCCCCACGTGCCGTTTCCGCTCTGTCAGTTCGATTTCATAAGGAAAACAAAGGGGGCGACCTCGTTCCCTCCCAGATCTCTTCATCCACCAGGGTAACCCCAACTCTCCGACCCGTCACACCCTCAGACGTTCGCCGGGAACCCTGGTCAACCCGACCCGTCTTGGCCTGGCCGTCAGCGCCTCGGTTTCCCCGGACGCGCCCGGCCGCCTCCTGTGAGGACCCCACACAGCTTCCTGGAACCCGCCGCCCACGCGCGCCCCACCGACCCAGGTTCGCGTCGCCGCCTCTCGCGGACAGGGCGTCCCTCGGAGTCACTCTCGGTGCGACACACGCCTCAGCCGCGGCCTCGCGCATGCGCGGTCGGCGTCACGGATGCTCACAGATCTCCCCCAAGGCGCGCTGCGTTCGGCCGGCGGCTGGCCGGGCCTGGCGGCGCGGCCGTCCTCAGCGCCCGATTGGCTGCGTGGCGGCGCGGGCCCGGCGCTCCCGGCATCCTTCGCGCGGTGGCGGCGGCCAGGCGGCGGCGGCGGCCGGGCTGAGGAGGAGGACGGTGCGCTGCGGGTGGAGAGGTGTGAGGGCGACCGTGAGACCTGACGGGAAAGCCGGGCCGGGAGGGCCGCCGCCGCCGCCATGCAGGAAATCATCGCCAGCGTGGACCATATCAAGTTCGACTTGGAGATCGCAGTGGAGCAGCAGCTCGGGGCGCAGCCGCTGCCCTTCCCCGGCATGGACAGTGAGCGCGGGGGCCGGGGCGGGTGGGAGCCGCTCCGGTGCGGGACTCCTGAGGCGTCCCCGGGGCCCAGAGCTGCCTTTCCCCTGCCCCGGGACCCCGCTGGCCTCGCTCGGACGCAGGGGCGCCCTTCCTGAGGCCGGGGTCACTCTGGGATCCGCCTCGGGAGCGCTGGGCTGTGAGGCTGCCGCCGTGGGTCCTCGGTGAAGACGGCTTGCCCGTCTCTCGGCCTCAGGACCCTCCTACCCTGGGAAGGCCCTCGGATGTCCCCGAGGGTCATCTCCCTTTCCGTACACCGAGCCCCCTCTTCTTGTTTGGGCAAATGTGGGTTCGCGGAGGAGGCCTTGCTCCCAGGGGAGGACCACGTCTCCTCTGTAGGAGCATCCCCCCACCCCGCTCGCCAACCTCATCCAGACTGCCAAAACCCCATTCTCCTAGGAGTTCAAGTTCTGGACTTACCGTCCACTTTTTTTTTTTTTTTTCTGATCCCCAATTTTGCGCCTTTAAATCACACCCAGGCACCTGGTACCCCGGGTCTGAGCTCCCATTAACCTTCATCCTTTCGCGCGGTAGTTAGCTCCTGGCTGCCCCACCTGCCGGCACAGGTGGGACATCTTTAAAGGAGATCGGTTTTCTTTTCTCCTCCTGCTTCAGATCTGGAACTAAAGCTCGAGGGGGCGGGGAAGGGGCCGCTAGACGTCACGGAGGGTAGTACACGGACTAAGCAGGGGAGAGGACTTGCAGAAGACCACCCCCATGCTGTTGTCAGCAAAGCCTCCACCTGGTCCCAGCTGCCGTCTCGTGCACGCGTGACCTGAGTCGATTTGCTAGGCTTGGCGTGTCTGTGCCAGCAAATGCTTATTATGCCCAAGGGACACGGGTTACACATGGCTGTGTCACTGCTGCCTGCCTCTTAGAATCAGCTGATGAAAATCAGAGAGGCCCTCACGACCCCTCATGCTTTCACTTCCAGGTTCTCACCCTCGGCCTTTTTCTTGTCCCGATAGCTCTAGTTGGAAGCCACGGATCCACCTGTAAGGGGTAGCTATTTCCCTCCCACTGGACAGTCCGGGTCCAGGAGCCTGAGAGAGCTGGTGCAGCGGCCAGGGCCCGGCACACCTGTTCCCAGGAGGGCAGGGCTGTGGCGCTCGCTGTATGTCCGCAGTCCTGCTCGGTGTGTTGAAGGCCAGTGAGGACAGAGCTTTCCCGTCTCATGTTGGGAAGAGCTCAGTTCTGCCCCAAAACACGCTCGTTATCCCACCGGAAACTCACTCCCCAGCATGGCGGATTTCTGACCTGGAGAAATGAAACAGTCCTAACTCTGAAAAGTACAAAATGGCAAAAGTACTCTGAAATGGAAAATCTTTTTAAATGTTTGTTTTCATCTCGAAAGACGTAGTGAGAGGGAGCTCTTACATCTGCTGGTTTGCTCTACAAATGCTTGCAACAGCTGAGTCTGGACAGGCTGAGCCCATGTATTATTATTATTTTTATTAAGATTGATTTATCGGGGCCTGGCACAGTGGCACAGTGGTTAAGGTCCTCGCCTTGCATGCCCGGGATTCCATATGGGCGCCGGTTCTATCCCGGCAGCCCCGCTTCCCTTCCAGCTCCCTGCCTGTGGCCTGGGAAAGCAGTCGAGGACAGCCCAAAGCTTTGGGACCCTGCACCCGCGTGGGAGACCTGGAAGAGGCTCCTGGCTTCGGATCAGCATAGTATCGGCCCGTTGTGCTCACTTGGGGAGTGAATCATCGGATGGAAGATCTTCCTCTCCGTCTCTCCTCTCTGTATATCCGCCTTTCCAATAAAAAAAATAAATCTTTAAAAAAAAAAAAAAAAGATTGATTTGTCTGTGGGCCCGCATGATAGCCTAGCATCTGCGTGGGAGACCCAGAGGAAGCTCCTGGCTTCAGATCAGCTCAGCTCTGGCAGTTGCTACCGCTTGAGGAGTTAACCAGCGGACAGAAGATCTTTCTGTCTGTATGGCTGGATTTCCAATTAAAAAATCAAAGTAATACTTTTCTTGAAAGTCAAAGTAGAGGGCCCAGTGCAGTAGCCTAGTGGTTAAATCCTCACCTTATATGCACTGCTTTGTATCCTGGCTGTTATGCTTGCCTTCTAGCTCCATACTTGTAGCCTGGGAAAGCAGTCGAGGACAGCCCAAAACTTTGGGGTCCTGCACCTGCATGGGAGACCCAGAGGAGGCTCCTGGCTCCTGGCTTCTGATAGGCTCATTTCTGGCTATTGCAGCCACTAGGGGAGTGAACCAGCAGATGGAAGATCTTTCTCTCCTTCTTTGTAAAATCTGATTTTCCAATAAAAATAAATAAATCTTAAAAAAAAAAAAAAAACAGAAAAATCAAAGTAGAGAGAGAGAAAGATCTTCCATCCCTTGATTCAATCCCCAAATGGCTGAGCCAATATGAAGCCAGGCACGTCTCCCCAGCCTTCCCTGCAGGATCCCAACAACTTGGGCCATCTCTTGCTACTTTCCCAGACCACGAACAGGGAGCTAGATGAGAAGTGGAGCAGCCAGAACTGCAGCTGAATGACCCATATGGGATGCTAGTGTCACATGTGCTATGCCACAGGCCACGTAATTTTTTAACTTTTGGCGATGTTTACATAGTTGATCAGGGTGAGGAAGGTGAAGGGTTAGGGTAAAGAGGGTGAGACCATTGTTTCCACGCTTTGGTTTTCTTCCCATCTTAGGGGGAAAAGGGGAGATGAGGGGAGAAGTCACACCCAGCCTCCTAACCAGACCAGAACCCGGGAATGGGGAGTGGTCACCTGATAACCCAGGGTCCAGTGTGAAGCAAGTTTTGGGGGTTCTGCTTATGTGATTTTGGATCGTTCTGAAGTGCTGTCAATATTGCAGATCTACTGATGAGGAAATTCTCCCATTGTCTGCTGGCTGACGTGGTCGACATTAGAGTCTGTCTAGATATTTGCTGTAATTGGTTGGGATAGTTGTCCAATTTGTTCCACCCTCCTTCCTCTGCTATGGTACCAGATGTCCTTTGCAGGTCCCCTGTGGGCTGCAGCATCCTCCATGCACATCTGGGCCTGCCATCCATTGCTTCATCTTTCCCATGGACAAGGACACCCCAGGCTGCTTGACTTGAGCACTAATGGTGCTCCCACTACTGTGCTCATTGACCTGGCACCTGCTGCACAGGTGGGCCAGAGGACCCAGGCCAGGCAACCCGGGCCTCTGCTGAACTCCTGCCCCCAAGGCTTAAGGACTTGGTACCCACCACACAGGCAAGGCCATGCATGTATTTTTGTGAACTTAATTTTTTTTTTTTTTTGAAAGTCAGATATACAGAGAGGAGGAAAGACAAAGGAAGATCTTCCATCTGTTGATTCACTTCCCAAGCAGCCACTGCAGCTGGAGCTGTGTCAGTCTGAAGCCAGGAACCCAGAACCCTTCTGGTTCTCTCACACGGGTGCAGGGTCCAAGGCTTTGGGCCGTCCTCAACTGCTTTCCAAGGCCACAAGCAGGGAGCTGGATAGGAAGTGGGGCTGTCTGGATATAAACCAGCATCCAAATGGGATCCCAGCATGTGCAGGGCTAGAACCCTAGCTGTTAGGCTATTGCACTGGGCCCAAGACCATGTATTTTTAAGTGCAAGGTTTTCAGACTTTTTGAGTGACACCCTTAGGTTCTACAACCTTAGCCCTGTCCTGGCTCTCAGTTTGCCTGATTTTGAGAAGCCAAAGAATTCTAGGCAGGTTAGGGAGGGAAAGCAGTTAAATGGGCTTCAGTGAAGCCATTGTTGGGTTTGCAGCCAGCTGAGATGCCTCCTGGTAGAGAAGACTTCATGAATCCAAGGCAAATTTGGTCTGGTGGCCTTGGCCAATGGATTCCTAGACTAACCAGTGTCCCCGTGTCCATCTTTCCTCACAGTCTACCTCTGTGTTCTTGCTCCCCATGCTGTGTCTGTGGGAGCAAAGGGCGTGCTCCTTGGTAATGAGGCAAACCTGGCACAGCCAGAGCCTTCCCGCTCCGTGTTCTCACCTGGACCCTGCTCTCTGGCTGCCCAAAGGCAGCCTGCATTTCTCTGGACCCTGCCCCTCCTCCTAGGCCCCTTTTGCTAGTACATCAGTCATGCCTTCCTTCTGAGGTGCCAGGACTCTCCTGGAAGCTCTGAGCTGGGGTGATTAACTTACTTCTGTGGCCCTGTGTCCCATTTTTCCTTCCCCAACCCACTCCTAACTCTGACAGCATCTTGCATACAAGAGACTCAACACCGGTAATGACTTGTGTCACTGCACATCTCACCGGTAAGGCAAGACTAAAGCAAGCAGCTTCCTCATTGCTCCTTTGGGCTTTGCGTTTGTTGTTACTGTTTCCTGAGCCCTTCACGAACCACAAGCTGAATGGGTCCTGATATTGCCAGCTCAGCTTCGTGTAGATTTGATGCTACCTCTTTTTGCTCCTTCCCACAGAGTCGGGGGCTGCTGTCTGCGAATTCTTTCTGAAAGCTGCTTGCGGCAAAGGTAAGATTCCCTCACACCTCCTGAGCTGCCCTCACCGCTGTGTCCCCCGGTGGACTTCCCTGGGAGCATTGCTTTCTGCAGACTAGTAACATCTCCCCCTGAAGCTGTGCTTTTAGCAGACAAGGAACCTGATGAGTCCCTGGCCCAGACCTGGCTCTGTGGCTGCGTGCCAGCCTCACTTTTCCCTGAGGCCAGGAGCTCACCTGTGACATGACAGAGATCCCAGCCTTGAGGTGTTCTAGAATTTTCTTAGGGTCATGGAGTTACTCTGGTATGTTTTTGGTTCCACAGTCTTTATAGGCTCGCTGCCCTCTGGCCTCGTGGCAAAGCACCCTGCGATGATCTGTCTGAGCAGGAAAGGGGTTCTTTTGCACATGAACAGGCTGCAGTGCCAGACGTCCTTGAATTCATAAGAGGACACACCATGTATGGGTCTTGCTGTCTTTTCCCCTACAGGAAGATTTACTGGGGAGACTGAGTTTGAATGGAAGCTTGAATAGGGAGCAGAGTTAGAACACAAGGATGGCTTGAATGTGGAGTGTGGGTTCTGCATTTGCCACTAAAGCAATGTAGGTCCCCACGTGGCCCTCACACTGTGGCCTCAACCCAGTTATTGTGTTCTGAGCAGCCTGCCTCTGTCATCACAGCCATCGTTAACTCGGGGTGCCACAACTATCTGTCCGCTAGTATAGTGGCTACTCGCCACCTGTGTGGCTGTGCAGACTTACGCTGCTTAAAATCAAGTAAAATGGGAAATGCAGGTGCTAGGTCACACTGGGGACTTCTCAATACTCAGTAGCTACCCATGTCTCGTGGCTGCCATATTGAACAGCAGAGATGGGGTGCGTGTCCCTCACTACAGGAGGCTCTGTTGGCCAAAGGTGGTCTCAGAACAGCTCCCATGACTAGTAAAATGTAAAACGTTTATCAGAGTACTGCCTGAAATCACCTTCTCTTCTGCCAAGGTCGCCTCTGCCTCTTCCAGAAAGTGCTCCTTCCAGGTGGCTGGGGGTTGGGGTGCAGTAACTGCGGCTCCCCCAACTCGGGCCCCCATATCTACTCACGCTGTCCATCTCCTGGCAGGGGGCATGTGCCCATTCCGCCACATCAGTGGCGAGAAGACAGTTGTCTGCAAACACTGGCTGCGTGGGCTGTGCAAGAAAGGGGACCAGTGCGAGTTCCTGCACGAGTATGACATGACCAAGATGCCCGAGTGCTACTTCTATTCCAAGTTCGGTGAGGCACGTGGATCCCTGGGAGGCCTGGCAGGGAAGCCAGGCCCTTGAGGCATCACACAGCAGCTCAAGGCCCACTGTATTGTCCACCTGTCCCCATTTCTTCAGCTGCCAGTTGTGAACTTGGGCAATGCCCACCAGCCCAGCAGGCTCTGATATGCCTCTAGTGCTCCTGACTTTGGAGCACTTCACACACTTTGGGATGGGGATGCGAGGCTCACAAGGGTCCCAGTGAGCAAGCAGGTAGTGCTGCCAGCTGAAGACCTGGCCTCTGCTCGGCCACCTGCTCCCTGAAACCACTTCCTTCGGTGCACTCCCTCATCACGCCCCAGGCCCGAGTTGGCCAAGGGCTTTCTCCCTCTGTGATAAAGCATGATTGGGGGTGATGCTGGGAACCACGTGGGCCTTTTCTCCTGGGAGGTGCTAAGCTATGAGTGCTGTCATCACCAGTGCCTAGCACGTGCCACCAAGAGACGCATCCTCCAGCTCGCAAAGTGTTCCCACTTTGGTTCTAAAAAGGTTGAGTCGCTCAGATCCTGCACATCCTGGCTTTTGGATGTTAAGAGCCACTCTGAGTAGAATAATAGTTTTCTGTCTGGATGAATGCAGCTGTGTTTTGCGCCCCTACACTGTCCACTCCTTTGTCTGGGTAAGGGACAAGAACAATGAGGTTTGGTGAGTTTGTGCCCTGGACCAGGCTCTGCCAGTGTCATTGAAACCAGCCTGCCCCATAACAGTATTGACATGTGAGTGAAACTGGTCCAGAGATAACTGGTTTTGTTTTACGATTTGTTTCTTCTTATTTGAAAGATGGAGATCTTCCAACTGCTGGTTCACTTCCCAAATGGCCACATCAGCCAGGGCTAAGTTAGACCAAAGCCAGGACCTGAAGCAAGATGCATGATTCATCCAGATCTCCTGCATTGGAGGCAGGAGCTCAGAGACTTGGACCATTCTGCTGCTTTGCCACGCACATTAATTAGCAGGGAACTGGATGAAGGCGGCACAGTTGGATCTTGAACCAATGCCCATATGTGATGCAGACACTGCAGGTGGTGGCTTTACATGCTATGCCACTGTGACAGCCCCCACAGTCCCTAAGTCACTCTGCGTTGGGCTCAGCGCTCACCAGGCCAAGTCTAGCCTGCCTGGCTCCTCTCACCTTGGGGGCAGCTCTCCTGGTGCTGCCCAAGGTGACCTCATGTCTGGGTTTCCCTGCAGGGGAGTGCAGCAACAAGGAGTGCCCCTTCCTGCACATCGACCCTGAATCCAAGATCAAGGACTGCCCTTGGTATGACCGTGGTTTCTGCAAGCACGGTAGGTGCTAGGGTGGGCTAGGTACCCCCTCAAGGCTGCCAGCTGAGTCACATGGGACGCCACCTCCCCCAACTGTTAGCGCTTGTCTCTGAGCCCTGGCCTGAGGCTACCAAGGCTGCTTCCCGTTGGACCTCCCAGCGATGCAGTGTGTGGCTGTTCTCACCTTTTGGAGGATCCGAGTCCCAGCCCAGGGCCTCTGTGCACAAGACACAAACCCGGCATTTGAAGGCCCGCCCTGGCTGTGTGGGTGGGGCCCTGACTGGGAGAGGGGCTGTGGAAGTAACACAGGCGCTTGGCTCTGTAGGTCCCCTGTGCAGGCACCGGCACACACGGAGAGTCATCTGTGTGAATTACCTCGTGGGATTCTGCCCGGAGGGACCCTCATGTAAATTCATGCAGTGAGTAGCCAGCCCCGCCGTCACCACCCCTCGCTGCCAGCCCTGCTGCTGCCCTTGGTGTCTTTCTGGGTCCTGCTGCATATCGGTCACTGAGTTTCCACACCAGGCCAGAGGCAAGGGTGAGAGATGCGGGAGGAACCACCCCTTTGGACACTGCTCCTCCTGAGCCCAGAGGAGACTTGGTTAGAGCTGCACTTGACCTTCCTTGCATCATGGGCCATCTGGTGGTGTGATGAAGGCTGGGCCTTGTGCTCCCCACACACATATACATAGTGCTGACCTTGGCTGCTGCTGCCTGCACTCTGAGCAGCCCTTGCCCAAGGTCTCCCAGCACATCATGGGTAGAGCTAAACCCGAGACTGTCAGTTCTCCTGCCCATCCCGCGGCCCCCTTGAGGCATTGCTGAATGTAGCTCCCCCTGTGTTCCTATGCCCATGTGCCCAGGCAGGGGCTGCGTGTCCAAGCGTTGCCTGACCTTTGTCCTCTGTTCTCCTCTTGCTCTCTTGCCCTCTGGCTTCCTGGTGACCAGCCCTCGATTTGAACTGCCCATGGGAACCACCGAGCAGCCTCCACTGCCGCAGCAGACCCAGCCTCCGAGCAAGGTACCGTGCCCCAACCCTGCAGAGTGCCTTGGTGCCCACCCGCCTCAGTGTGTGGTCTGCCACAGACCTGGAGAGGAGGGGAGCCTCCCAGTTGCCACAGAAAGCTTGGGGAGCAGGGCAGCTTCCTGGCCCCCGAGAGAGGGGTATTGCTAAAGCAGACTTCTCCCATGGCCAGCCTCACCCTTGCCATCCAGTGAGCCTAGGACCTCAGACTGCGGGGCCAACAGCGGGGGTTATCAATGGGGGCAAGAAGTGCACCACTGGCACCGTGAACTCAGAAGGTGCTATGGCTGCTCACCGTGCCTACCTCAGGAGCAGACGTGGGCTATGTCTCTGGCCGGAGCCAAGCCTTTGCAAATGAGGAAACAGGCTCCTGGGACGGTGTGCAGAGGGGACACTTACCTGAGGGAAGGCCGCTGGACAGGGGCAGAGGTGGGAAGGTAGTCAGCGCCCCATTGCTGCTGTGTGAGAACCTGCACACTGGCGATGGAGGGCACCCACACAACAGGACTAGGGGATGAGCTGGTTCCGATTTGCCAGACAGATCCACCAACACGCAGTTAGTCTGTCCCTGCAAGCCTGAGAAAGAAGTGCCACAGACTGATGGGGATCTGCAGCAGTTACTCCCTGCCACACCCTCCCCCCTCCCCACAAGAACCAAGCATACCTTGGGTTTGGGTGCAGTTCTGGGTGTCCCAGGAACAGCCTCTGGGAGGCTCACCCAGCCACGTTGCCTGCTAATCCTGAAGCCTCGGGTCGTACCTGTTGGGACTCAGCCAGCTGTCAGAGCCCTGTGTGAGCCTGCTGGGTTCCAGAGGCTGAGTGGCAGGTGTAAGTGAACTTGCCCTGCACTGAGCCCCACCTGAGGCGTGGGCATGACACCACATTACAGTCTGATGCAGCTGTGACAACCTTGGGGGAGGGTTCCTAGGCCCAAGCCTGCATTTTAAAAGGCCAGAGCTGGAAACTCACCTGGCCGGAGCATGGCCTGCCTGTCCAGTGCCCTCATCCCAAGAGCCCCCACCCCCTTTCTTACATGACCCCCAGAGGAGGGCCCTGTCACAGCCAGTAGACCACAGGGCAGTGTGTCAGGCCTCAACTGTTTCTCTGTAACTTGCTCGCCGTGTAGGCCGCTAAACATCTGGCTGAACCAAGCGTTCATCCTGACCTGAAGCTAGAACCTCAGAAACAAAAGTAAGGCCTGATCATGCCCTCGCCCCACTGCCCGAGACCTCCTCTCGTCTCTCTGATGTTTTCTTTTCTCCTTTTATTTTCCGTTTTTGTGTGTCTGCATGGAGTTTTTCGGGCAGTGGCTCCTGCCATCATCACCAGCTGCTGCTTTTCTGGCCGCTCTCCCGAGTGGGCCATCATACTGGCCGCGCGGGAGCAATCCCGCCCTCTTTTTTTTTTTCTGTCCCCATCGGTAGTCTGCGTGCACGTGGTTTCCGCAGTAAAACCGTGTTGTGTAACTCTTTCCAGCAAAGTAACAATCCGCCATTACAAAGGTCGTCCTCCTTGATCCAGTTAACGAGTCAGAACTCTTCTCCCAACCAGCAGAGAGCCCCGCAGGTCATCGGGGTCATGCAGAGTCAAAACAGCAGTGCAGGAAACCGGGGACCCCGGCCGCTGGAGCAGGTCACCTGTTACAAGGTGAGTCCCGGGACTGGGGTACGGTGGGGGCGCTCTTCACCACGTTGGGGACCATGCTCTCATCCCCAAGATGTGTGGTTCATTTGAAAGACTGAAAACCTCTTTGTTTTTGCCAACCAAAAGAGTAAAGTTAGGCCACTGTAGTGGCTAGAGGCCACCTGCTTCTACCAGCATACCCAAGTCAAGGTGTTGAGGGTTTAAACGTGCTGTCCTTGTAAGCAGTTGAGGGGAATCTGGGAACAAATGAAAGCCACAGTTCAGGCAAGAGCGGTCCTTTGGCAACCTCAGAAGCATCTTCACCTCCTGCGTGGGCACACCCAAGGGAATAGGACCAAGCTTTGGACCCACATTGGGTCAGGGAACTGGGTTAGAACACTCCTCCTTCTGTCTCCCACCTCCAGTACATTAAATGGGATGTTAAAGGGAAAGAGTGAACTTAAAGAACCTACTAGAAAACTTGTTCTTATTCCTGGCTCTGGGTGGGAAGAGGGCAAATCCCTGCAAAGTCTGCAGTTCCTGTCTGGCCTGTAAGTCTGGGCCCATCTGCACATCTCCAGTGAGGGCTCCAAAGTTCCAGATCGGTTTTGTAAATCATTCGGGGCTGGCAGAAGTGGAGGGTCTTAGAGTGATACAGGCTCAGTCCTGACCATACCCAGTTCCCCCAGCTGCAGGTCCACAGGATCAGTTCCTGAGTCAGTCAGGAAACGCAGGAGAACGGGCCCCCCTGAGTGAGACCGAGATTCTGAATCTGGGATTACTAGACGTAAAATACAAACTTTAGCATGTGCTTTCTGTAAAAATGTTGCAACTATTTAAAAGCGTTGATACAAGATCATCTACCGTATACAAGGCACAAAGTGAGCACTGTCCCTCATTGACATATTTTCTAAACATTCAGTATGTTCTGATGTCACTTGTTGGACTCAGTGCTCCTCATAACTCCGAAACCACAAAGGAGAACCCAACTGGGACCCCAGGCTGTGTTTTGGAGAACTGCTGTTCACTCAAGTGCAGGTGTTCTGCGATCTTAGTTTAGATAGAGCCCCGTATGCACAGCATTCTGTAGGCTTTTTCTTCATAGTACCTGCTGGCTGTCTGCACAGCTAATCTTCCGGCGACTGTAACAACACTCCCAACTCACTTTACCAGTTCTGCTGTTGACGTTTAGTGTTTTGCTGTTAATAACAGTGCTGAATCTGGGCTCTTATCCAATGAGGCTGTCGGGGTCCAGGTCTGCAAGTGGCAGGTCTGAGTCAGAGGGCTACACTTCGAGCCTTCCTAGAAACTGCCTCCAGGAAGGAAGGGCTGGGTCGTGGGACACTCCTGAGGCTGTCAGACTGCATAGAGCCCAGCTCCGCTGAGCAGTCGGACTGTCTATGAATTCAGGGCCAGGAGGCTGGTCCTTGAACCAGGAAGAGTACAGTGAGGGAGTGAGACAGCCTCCGTGGCACTGTGAGGTACAGCAGTGGAGGAGCTGTCGTCAGTGCCCCACTGCACATAGCTATCACCTCACCACCTCCCCCCACAGAAACTGCCAGTCCGTGAATGTACCCAGGAGCCTGGGTCCTCGGGATCGGCCGCGCTGTGAGCAGGGTCTGTATAGTCCCTCCCCCTGGTCATCACATTGGCTCAAGGCACCTAGGCCACTCATTCATAGCCATGCCTACAGTGTGGAAAGCAATGGAGAATGCCAGACAAGGGGAATGGAAGAGCCCAGTGTGCTGGGTAACAAGGCGCCCGCTCTGCAGCCAGAGCAGGAAGAGTAAAAGGATGTAGGAAGCTGGTGGTGTCCATGGAATTCCCAAATGAAGAGAAGCTAGAGAAGGGCCAGAATAAGCAGGCAGGCTTAAATCAGGGCTGGTGCCACATCTGTTAAACCAGAAATTCCCCCAGAGTCGCTTAGACATATGTGCGAGAACCTGGAGGTAAGAATGCAGGTATAGTCACTTCTGCTCACAGCAACAGCACCCCATGTTGGGGAGGGCATCTGCTGGCTTCCTCCACTTGGTACCTCTCCTGTCTCCTGCCAGAGAGCCCCAGAGGTAAGTGACTGGCCTGCCATGCCAACTCTTCATGTCCAGCGTTCAGCGTAGGTGAGGCTGGGTGCTGTCCTCTTGGGTAGCCTTGTTCTCCTCATCTGCTCAGATGCAGCTGCAGTTTCTGTGCCACTGGACTGTGCTTACCTGCCTGTCCCTTGTACTGAAAAGCCAAGATCTTTGGAGCCCTGTCCCCAGTTGTGTTTGGTGGGTGCTGTCTTAGCTGAAAAGTACATTCAAAGTTGATATGTTGTTTTGTCTCCTTCCCCTCCTGCTGTTCCCAGTGTGGTGAAAAAGGACACTACGCCAACAGATGCACCAAAGGGCACTTGGCCTTTCTCAGTGGACAGTGACAGCAGCTGGACCCAGCTCAGAGCAGCCCAAGGGGCCCCATGGTTGGGAGCATGCATTCCACTGTTGGTGCAGTGGCGGTGTGACCCTGGCTAGAGCTGGCAGGCAGGCATTGCGGATCATCGTGCCGAGAGGCCACGCTGTTCATTCCCTATCATTTTGCTGTAATTAATTTTTTTTAAAGGGACACGTGCTTCAGTTGGGTCCCCTAAAGTCGCCATCATGTTTGTCTAGACCTCCTTTCTGGGGTTCCCTGACACCTGCAGAGTTGCCAAGGCTTGAGTACCACAGCGTTACAGGCAAGGTGGCCTTTCCCTCAGTGCCTCCTGAAACACCAGTTCCTGGTGACTTTGGGGACTGATGGGTAGCCAGGCCACACCTGCTTCCCTGGTGTCCTGCTGAACCCTGAAGCTGTGCCTATCAACGTGATTTAGATGAGGGAGTCCTCCACCGCAGGCCCAGTGCCCTCGCGGCCTCAGCCTGGCCCTGCTACAACATGCAAGTGCTCAAGGAACATGGGCTCTCAAGTGAGGCGCTAAAGGGCTGTTTCTGGTGGGGCACCTTTAGCTGGAGCTGTGGACTGCTCTTCACATAGCTGACCTAGCCCATCTGCACCTACCTCCTGCCCATCCAGTGGCTGCTGCCGCCCAGACACCTGCGGCACGCAGAGGAGACGCCCTGTCCCCAAGCCTGAAATGTGAAACCATCACCAGTAGCCTGCTGGGCAAGTGGGCCTATCCGAGTTCAATTACAGGAACAATTTTTATGATGTTGATTAAAGCTTGTTTTTTAAACTGTCTCATTACTTCAGGGGTACCATGCCAAGAAGTCTTAACGCCAGCTTTGCTAGCTGGCTGCTACACGCTCTGGTGGCAGCATTTTCTTGTCCCTGTCAACAAGTATGAATTTCGTAAAGGGAATTGATGCTGCCAGGAAAGGCCTTTGTCCTGGTCAGAGCTTAGACTCTGGAGCACAGAACCTGCTTTATTCCACCATGGCCAGGAGCAGACGTATAGATGTTTTTTGAAACCAGAGTGCCCTAATGACCTTGAACTCCAACATGGTATGAGTGGCTTGCTGAGGCTTCATGAGTCAAGCAAGGCCCTGAGACTGTGTGCTGACCCCCACCCCTCATTGCAGTCGGAATCTCTGGGGCCCACAGTGACAGCCACACCAGGCACACACACCCATCATCTTTATTGGGCGTTGGATCTGTTATGGTATGGAAGGATTCAAGTGACAATGGCGTTCCTCAGACAGGAGGTGGGCCAGGAAGGCCAGGTCAGGAATGCAGGGTGCGTCCTCCACTCTGGCCTCTTCAGTGGTACTTGCGCCGCCGTTCGTGTTCTGAAGTCGGGAAGCAAAATGGTGAGTCTCTTAAAATGTATTTCAGTGAAAGCAAAAAACAGCAGTGAAAAAAAAAAAATCACACAAATCCCGGGAATTCGTTTTAGGAGATCCAGACCCCACCTGCCAGAATAGGGATACTAATGTGCCTTTAGGGCCTACCTGTTCAACGGCTGGCACAGTCAACTGGAAGGGGGTGGACACTCCAGTAACAGCCCAGGAAAGCCAGCCAGCAAATGATCCCCTCGACCCGTGTCTCTGTGCTGGACATTTAGCGCTCAAGCCAAAGCACAGCCCGCAGTACCTTGCGGAATGCTTCCTTGCTCCAGCTTCATCCTGTTTTCCCAGCCTCCTCTACCACAATCTTCTCACTTTGAACAATGTCCCACATACTGTATTCTGGTAAGTCCCTTCAGTTCTTTTTAGGTGGAGTGCGGATAAGGAACATTGTAAAGGTCCCCTCAGCTGCCAGAAGATGGCAGCTGGCCCAGCCCACCCTCTCACGGGACCCCCCCAAGGCAAGACGGCATGAGGCACTCACTGAGTTCCTTGTACGAAAGGCAGTAGCTGAAGAGCACGTAGCCTGCCAGCACCATGTTCACGCCCGCGATGCTCCCCTTCTTCACGTTGATGTACTTGTTGTAGTACCGGTAGTAGCCTGTAAACAGGGAGGCGCTCACTGCTCCGCTGCACTAGCAGCCTTTCATATGCACAGGAGGCTGGTTGGAACTCGGGGAGGCCCGGGACTTTGCTGGCTTGCTGGGTGATGGTGAGACACACAGATGGCCCTGCGGGTCGCTAGTGCTCATCACCCAATTCCAAACCCATACCCTGGCCCAGCCCAGCCCGATTCTGCTCTGTCCTCTGACCGTGCCCTTGTGCTGTTAGCTTTGCTTGCCAGCTACCTACCTCCAGCCCTTTCCCTAATTCTGACCCAGAGTCTAACCCATTCCAAAAAGGCCATTTGATCATGGCCAACTGGGTCAGCCAGGGCCCTGGGGAGGAGGAAGGCATCCACACACCCCTCTCTTCACTGGGTGTCTCACTTCATGCAGAAGCCCACTGAGGGGGGAATAGTCTTTGCCCTGTCAGCTCACAGGTGATGTTAAAGAAGGTAATGCTGGCAGATGTGGAGTTCCAGCGGACTCTGGGCATGAACAGGCCCGCTCACCTCCCTGATATAAAAGGGGTGGGTGGGCAGAGCTTTCTGAGGGTGGCCCTTAGGCCAGAAGTAACAAGGTGCACCAAAGAGTCAGGACTGCCGGAACCCTCAGGGATGACTGAGTCTTTATTCTGGAAAGACGCGACCCGCGAGCCAAATGCAGATGCTTGTCCTACACGTTGGAGCATGAACTGAGGCATTATGGTTCGAACGCTGCCCTTAAAGAAGCTTAGGTGTAAGGACACTCACTGGCATTTCTTTAACATGGAGGCAGTGGTGCCAATTCCAAGCAATAGAGGCCGTTTTCTGGCTGTTTGGGTGGGGCCGACCACCGAGGCAAAGGGCTAGCAGTGCCTCCCAGTCCCCTACGGGATGTACTGACACAAGCCCAAGTTAACTCACAGCAGCAGTCTGCTTTTGTTCACACACATGCAGAAGGCTCTGACCTCTTTGAAACGCTCCGCCGATGCCTTTAGGGGTGAAATCCCGCATCAGGATCCAGCTTGGCAGCTCTGTGAGCTTGACATCCATAAGTTTCTTGTCCTTCAGTGGCACTGAACAAATCAGAATGAGAAACACCCACTGAAAAAAGAGCCTCCTTTTTTTTATCACTATTCAACTCTTCAATAAAGGCACAGCAGGTCGTCACACAGGGGCTGCACCTGGCCAACACGGTTTTAACGCTGAATCAGGCAGACGGCTGCAGTGGCAGCTTTATTAACCAGCAGAGTATCTGAACAGGAGCTTGCAGAGAATAACTTTTGTAAGCTCAGGGCTGCAAGGAAGAAAGCCATGAAGCGGGGGACAGTGCAGATTACCACAAAACTCACACTTCATTGTATCTTCATGAGCAGGTGGACAACTTGGCCAACGTCAGGCACATGCAGCCTAGAGACAGGACCCCCCCTTCCCTTGATGCCATTCAGAAGGCAGGCCTACTCAAGCCCTGGGAATCTGTGGCTGGGCAAAAATGGGAGGGGCTGTGCCCTCAGGTGTCTCACTGTTGGGAGTGCATTTGTCCACGGGGGCAGAACACCAGCATCTGGGTTCACGTGGTGCTAACCTCCCCAGATTCGCCAGCCAAGCAAGTATCCTACAAGGCCAGAGGGGTTAACAGTTCACAGAGGTAGGAGTGAGAGCAAATGCAGTTCCAAGTCAAAATGACTTCATAAAAACCTTTTCAGGTGATTCACTGGGCCCCAGACCTTTGTGCCAGTAGACTCCTGTGACGAAGGACAGGAAGGTCCATGGAAGAGGCCATATCTGTTCTTGTCCCTGGGCCCTAAAGGAAATCAGGGAAGATTGACGAGGAAGTGTCTGGAAGGAAGGACTGGTATCCTGTCTTCACTGCCAAGATCAATTTCTTCTTAAAGATTTATTTTTATTACAAAGGCAGTTACAGAAATAGGATAGATAGACAAATTTTCCATCTGCTGGTTTACCCCAGATGGCCATAATGGGCAGAACGGGGCCAGTCTGATCTCAGGAGCTGCTTCTAGGTCATGCACATGGGTGCAGAATCCCAAGCACTTGAACCATCCTCTGCTGCTTTCCCAGGCGCATTGGCAGGGAGCTGGGTTGGAAGTGACACAGCTGGGACATGAATCTGTGCCCATACTAGATGCTGGTGCTGCAGGTGGAGGCTTAAACTACTACACCACAATGCCAGCCCTGGCAAGCTCTCTCAAGTGCATAAATGGACATGGGAAAAAAACAACAACACAAAAAGCTGGTGCTTTTCCAGAGGACACAAGTGACAGGTGAGGCTTCAGCCCCTGATCTGCATGCATGGTTTTAGGGACACTGTTTTGGTGGCCTGCATCCAACAGACCTTCCATCTAGCCCCATCAGTAAATACAGTGAACCTCACACACACCAGGCAGCACGCTGTGCACTGTGCACACAGCACTTAGTAAAGCGGTGTCTTAACTGCTGTGCCAAACGCCCAGCACAAATTTGTGTATTACATCAGAGTATTTCAGGTTGGTTGTTCCAAAAAAAAAAACGTCATTTCTGGAACACTGGGGCTGCATTTTCATATTCCCAGAAACTATATAAACATTTATAAACATTCTGTACACACATGACCATGCTCATGGCCTAGCAAGTTGCTTGACACATCACAAGAAAAAAGCTAACCAGCTGAAATTTATTTTCATACCCATTTCTATCTCTGTCCTCTGAAGAGTGTTTCCTTAAACTAAACTACAAGAATCTACAGCAAAGAAAAACAAAACTGGTAGCTTTATGTGGAGAACCACTCCAGCCCAGAGGTGCACTCATCTGGGGAATTTCTTATAGTGGAAGATGGCCTTGGGCCCCTGGAGCCAAACAGGAGTTGCTCCCCAACACGCCGCTAAAGCTCTGGAACATTCACAGGTTTTGAGAGGACAGATGATTCTCCGACTTTAAGAAGCTTACAGTTGTGGCGTAGCCAGTAAAGCTGCCACCAGTGACACTGGCATCCAGTATGAGAGCAGCTTAGAGTTCAGGCTGCTCCACCTCTGGTCCAGGTCTCTGCTAATGGCCTGGGAAAGCAGCAAAGGAAGACAAAAGCACTTGGGGCCCTGCCACCTGGCATCAGCCAGAGCCCCAGCACTGGCCCATTTGGGCAGTGAATCAGTGGATGAAAGATCTTTCTCTGTATGTATTTCTAGAAGGAGAAACAGAGAGACAGACCTTGCACATGCCGATTCACTGTCCCCCCTCACCCCAAAGAAGGCTGCAACTGCTGGAGCTGAGGCGCTCTGAAGCCAGGAGCTTCTCCCAGGTCTCCCACGCGGGTGCAGGGTCCCGAGGCTTTGAGCCGTCCTCCACCACTTTCCCAGGCCACAAGCAGGCAGCTGGCCAGGAAGAGGAACAGCTGGGACACAAACTGCTGCCCATATGGGATCCTGGCACAAGGACTTAAGCTTCTACGCTACTGTGCCGGGCCCCTACTACCCATTTTTTATGGAGCTTCGTGAAAATGTCAAGTGCCTCCAGATGCTGAAGCCAACCACTGACCTGGACCGAGTACAGACTGTAGGCTTTGTATTAAAAATTTATTTCTTTTTATTTGAAAGGCAGATTTACAGAGAAAGAGAACAGAGACCACCCACTGATTCATTCTCGTAATGACCACAACAGCCAGAGCTGGGCTAATCCAAAGCCAGGAGCCAGGAATTTCCTCCTGGTTTCCCATGTGAGTGCAAGGGCCCAAGAATTTTTCACCACACTGTCAGGCACATTAGCAGGAAACTGGATCAGAAAGGCAGCAGCCGGGACCCAAACCAGCATCTATTTGGAATGAAGGAACCACAAATTTAGCACACAAAACTGACACCATGGCACCAGCTCCCATAGTCTTTTCTTGTTTGTCCGTTTTTCCCATAGTCTTCTTTCTTTTTTTTTTTTTTTTAAGATTTTTGGACCCAGCGCCGTGGCCTAGCGGCTAAAGCCCTCGTCTTGAACGCGCCAGGAGCCCATATTGGCGCCGGTTCTAATCCCAGTAGGCCGAAGGCTTTGGGACCCTGCACGCACGTGGGAGACCTGAAGGAGGTTCCTGGTTCCCGGCTTCGGATCGGCGCAGCACCAGCTGTTGCAAATGCAAAGCCAGATGTACAGAGAGGAGGAGAGACAGAGAGGAAGATCTTCCATCCGATGATTCATTCCCCAAGTGACCGCAACGGCCGGTGCTTCCGAAGCCAGGTCTCCCACATGGCTGCAGGGTCCCAAGGCTTTGGTTCGTCCTCGACTGCTTTCCCAGGCCACAAGCAGGGAGCTGGATGGGAAGCGGGGCTACCGGGATTAGAACTGGTGCCCATATGGGATCCCGACACATTCAAGGCAAGGACTTTTAGCCACTAGGCCACCGTGCCCGGGCCCCCATAGTTTTTCAAAAGCAACATAAGAACCACTCAGACTGCAGGGCCATACAGAAACAGGGCAGGGTGTGTGGCCCCGCTGGCAACAGTCTGCATACCCCGATCCTATCTAAATTCCTCTCACTTTCTTTGGTAATGAACTAGCTGCTTTTCGTGCTGTGGTCCTTAGTACTTAAAAGAAATGAACTGTGGTTTCATCAGAGGGATGCTGAGTGGGTCAGACTCCAGTGGGACTTGAATAAAGGTTCCAGAGCAAAAGCTTGGATGACAAGTTCACATCCACTGAGTGCTCAGCTGTGGAGCAGGCAACTTTCCAACTATCTCTTGGGTACTAAACTGTTTAATTTTAATACATAAGGCTCTTTACAATCTTCCTCCCTCTTAAACATGGCACAACGCCACCCTGTTCTCTTTCCCATACTGTTTCCTTTAACAACACAATCCTAGTGGATGAGAAAAACACTCGTGCCCACGATACCGATGGACACATAACTTCACTGTCACCGTTTTCAATTCCTTCTGTGTGACTCCAGCCTGAGATGAAGAAAGTAGAAACTGGGGGCCTAACACAGTGGTATAGCATGCTGATTCTCCACCTGCAGTGCCTGCATCCCATACGGGCACCAGTTCGTGTCCTGGCAGCCCCACTTCCCATCCAGCTCCCTGCCTGTGGCCTGGGAAAGCAGTGGAGGACGGCCCAAAGCCTTGGGACCCTGCACCCACATGGGAGACCCAGAGGAAGCTCCCCAACTCCTGACTTTAAATTGGAATCAGCTCCAGCACTTTCATGGTCATTAGGGGAATGAACCAGCAGATGGAAGATTGTCCTCTCTCTCTCGCCTTAAATCTGTAAACCTGCCTTCCCAATAAAAAATAAACATATTTTCAAAATGGGGCTGACATTCCTGGAACTGACTGCCTAACAAGGCTGCTGTGAGGATCTAGTGCCAGGATCCCGTATGGGCACTGGTTCTAATCCCAGCTGCTCCGCTTCCCATCCAGCTCCCTGGGAAAGCAGTAGAGGACGGCCCAAAGCCTTGGGAACCTGCACCTGTATGGGAGACCCGGAAAAACCTCCTGGCTCTTGGCTTCAGATTGGCTCAGCTTTGGTCACTGTGGTCATTTGGGGAGTGAATCAATGGATGGAAAATCTTCCTCTCTGTCTCTCCTCTCTGTACATCTGAATTTGCAATAAAAATAAATAAATCTTAAAAAAAGAAAAGACTGTTTTCCTATGCAAACAAACAAAATCAGCGTGCACACAGTGTCACCGAAATGTTTGCTGGCCCTAAATTTACACCGTCATTCACCAAGCGCCTCAAGTTCGAATCCCAGTTCAGCCCTTTTGGGCTGTGACCTTGACCAGGGCACCTCCCCTCCAGAAGCCTGTTTAACAAGCACGCCCCGAACCTTCCGCGATCTCAGACACCGTACGAGACGTCAGCTCCTCTGGAGGCTTAGCCGGAGCTCCAGCTTGGGTAGGGACGCATGCTGCGCGTAGGGTCAAGTGCAAAGCGCCTGAAGGGCAGCGGGGAGGAGAGCAGCCGCTCCTCGGCGCGGAGAGGGGCAGTGGCCCACAGGGGTGCACGGCCAGCTCCAGGGGCGCGACCCGCCGCAGCCCACCGAGCCGGGCTCCTGCGTGGCCGCTGGCCAAGCCGAGGTCACACGGCGATGAACCCTGAAGCCAGGCGCTCGGCGCGCATCAGCCGGCGCCGTGAAGGCACAGCGAAGGGCAGGGCGCAGAGCCGCACCGCGTCCCCTCAGTGGGCGGCTCTGCGCCCTGAATTCCCGACTCTAGCTCCAGTATTCGGAATCCACACCATCCTGCCACAGCCACCCACTCACCGACTGACGCCATCTTGGAGTCCTGGTGTCCCCTGAGCCGGCGGCGCGAGGGCTCCTGGGTAGAGAGGACGCGCCGCAGGCGACGCGGAGCGCGGAGGCTCACGGGAAGCAGGTCAAGTGGCGTGCCGCCACGTTCGGAAGGTCTCGCAGTTTGGTCAAGATAAGGGACCCTCCTGCCAATAGAGAGAGAGAGAGCAAAAAGGAAAAAGGACGGCTTGCCTTTTTTATTCTGTACCTTTAAGCTGATTATAAGCAATGAGAGGAGTATGTTAAGAATCTTGCTTCCAGACTCGGGTCTCCCAGTCCGAGTCCTGGCGCCTGCCTGCTAGGTGGGTGCCACATTCGTGAGCCCTGGGCAGTGGGGGATCCAGCGGGGTTCGGCTCACCTGCCCGGGTCCTTGGACTCACTTGCAAGAACGTGTCTTACCTAGTGGAAAAGGTGGAGCACTGGACCCAGACCCTGATATGAAAGGAGCACATGGCAGCTCATTGGATGCCATAGCAGAAACAGAACAAACTGGACAACTATCCCAAACAAATGATGACAGCAACAAATCTCGGTGAGGGCCCAGCGCGGTAGCCTAGGAACTAAAGTCCTCGCCTTGAACGCACTGGGATTTCATGTGGGTGCCGGTTCTGGTCCCAGCAATCCCACTTCCCATCCAGCTCCCTGCGTGTGGCCTGGGAAAGCAGTCAGGATGGCCCAAAGCCTTGGGACCTTGCATCCACATGCGAGACCCAGAAGTTTCTGGCTCCTGGCTTCGGATTGGCTCAGCTCCAGCTGTTGCAGCTGCTTGGGGAGTGAACCATTGGACAAAAGACCTTCCTATGTGAATATCTGCATTCCCAATAAAAAATAAGTAATTCTTAAAAAAGAAAATAAAAACCTCGGTGAATGGAGACTTGAGGCTTACCCCGTCAGCCAGTGGACACTGCAAGGGTGACATCATCCTTGGGTCGGTGAAATCGGCAGCACTTCAGAACTGTCCACACCACTTGGGCAGAACCCTCGGGATATGGACACATCGGGATGAAGTGGCAGTGCCTCATCCCTGGGTACTCGGACGTTTGGAAAGTCATGTGTAGCTTCCCGCTTTTCTCTCCCCTTCCCCCAGAAACAACAAGAAGAGATAGCAAATTTGGAAATATTGAGTTCACCCAATTTTCCTTAAACCTTGATTCTTCCCACCCTGATCAACCATGGAATCATGATAAAAATAAAGTGAGATAAATCTTCTGGCCATGGCCATTGGTCAGCCCCGACTCTCAGGTGTTCATTGGGCCAGGAGAAACTGGCATGCAGGTGCGGGAATCAAAGAGCCGAGGAGACCCGGCTGTCTGCGGGCACTGGGGGGAAGGCTGCGAGGGCTTTTCCTGTGCCCGTCACCTAGATGACTCACTCTGGCGCATTTGCTTAGCCCATTTCCCCATTTCTTCTGGGAAAAAAAAGTGGGATTTATGAAGTCTAACTCAGCGAGAGTGTGTGGGTTATATTAGACTTGGAATTGCCATGTAGTAAACATGCCATGTACATGTCATGTGCTACATGACAAATTTTTAAAAAAGATTTATTTATTTTTATTGGAAAGTCAGATATACAGAGAGGAGGAGAGACAGAGAGGAAGATTTTCCATCCGATGATTCACTCCCCAAGTGACCACAACGGCTGGTACTGTGCTGATCCTAAGCCAGGAGCCAGGAGCTTCCACCAGATCCCCACACGGGTGCAGGGTCCCAAGGCTTTGGGCCATCCCCGACGGCTTTCCCAGGCCACAAGCAGGGAGCTGGATGGGAAGTGGGACTACTGGGATTAGAACCTGTGCCTATATGGGATCCCAGCATGTTCAAGGTGAGGGCTTAACCTGCTAGGCCACCGCGCTGAGACCAACAAATGTTTTCAAACATTTGAAAAGCAGAGAGAGAGGGGCTGCAACGGCCTGGGTTGTGCCAGGCTGAGCCTGGAACTCCATCTGTATCTCCCACACGTCTGCACATGGACAGCATGGGTTCAAGCAAGTACTTGGTCATTTTCAACACACTTTCCTAGGTGTGTCATCGGAGGAGCTGTAGGGGAAGTGACACAGCCGAGACTCAAACCAGCGCCCATGGAGGATGTTGGCGTCTCAGGTAGTGGCTTGGCTCACTGTGACACAGAGCCAATCTCCATCCCTTAATGCTTTTTTTTTTTTTTTTAAGATTCATTTATTTTGATTAGAAAGGCAAATTTTTCCAAAGAGGAAAAAGAGACACAGAAAGATCTTCCTGCACCAAGTGGCTGCTACAGCCGAAACTTAGTCAACTGGACAGCAGGTGTCAGGATGTTCTTCTGGGTCTCTCACAGCGGGGGTTTGGGGTGTAGAGTCCCAAGGCTTTGGGCATCTTCAATTGCTTTTTCAGACCACAAGCATGGAACTGGATTGGAGGTGGAACAGCCAGGATGGGACCCGACGCCCATACGGGATCCCGGCAGATGCATGGCAACTTTAGCTACTAGGCCAATGCACCAGGCCCATTCTCAATTCATTTTTAGGATTTATTTATTTTTATTAGAAAGGTAGATAGATAGATACACAAAGAGAAGGAGAAACAGAAAGATCTGATGCCCATCTACAGGTTCACTCCCCAGGTGACCACCACTAGGCTACTGCATCAGGCCCCATCTCTTGATTCTTAAGGCCTTCATGACAGATCTGAAAATCAGTCTTGTGAACAAATAAAGGTCTCTCTGCAGTGAGCATTGCTACTCTATTTGTGTTGTGCCGGAGACCAGCTCCAGCTGACTGAGAGCTTGCAAAGGATGCGTGGATCGGCGAGATGATAGGAAGAGATAAGACACGGACCACTATGACTTGATGCTCATAAGGGACAACTCAGAAAAGTTGCCTTCTTCATTTATACATAAATCATCACAAGCTTTTGCACAACATCCAATTGTTTCGTTTTTCATTACATCATGGTTATGCAAATGCAAGAAGCAATCCTAAAAAAATATTTTTCTATTTGAAAGAAAACATTTTTAACAAACGATTACTCATTGAAACCTGCAATCACCTGGCTGAAGCCAGGAACTCCACGGTTGGCAGCACATGCAGTTACATAGTCACAAGTAGTTCACTTATACTCAACATCAACTTTTACTAAACACAAACTAATATTGATTAAAATATTAAGAATACAGAATTAAAAGATCATAAATGAAAGAATTTTATAAAAGCATATAACATAGAATCTTTGCTAAATCTTATAATCAAATCATGCATTAATTACGGTCACCATCACCTAGTGCTGATTCAATTTTTTGTTCTTTTGTTAAAGGGCAGTGAAAGGGATCAAGGCAGCTCAGCCAATCTACAAACAGAGGGCCTTTACAAGAAACTTCCTTTTATCTTTATAAACTGTTTTCTTTCCCTAAATATAAGTGCTAATATAAGATAAAGATTTTAAGCCATTTTGAGGGGGTTCACATCTATTTCCTTATAAAAGATGCCCCATATACTTTTGCTTTCTGTGGTAAGAAACTAAAATGCGTCACATCATGTGTTTTAACAGTTTGAGGTGCATGAGAAATAAACTCTTTGTACCTCCACGATTGCCATCTGTTCCAAGATATTATCAAGCCATTCCTTAAGGAAAACATTACTTATACTAGGGCAAACTCCAGGACAAAGGTGGGCACATTACAGGATGTTTGGAAACATTGTGATCTCAATTGTACTATTGTATAATTTTAACTGTGTGTCATAGCCTTACATTACTAAAGGTGTTTTATCGTAACATGATTGATCAATTTGAGGTGTCATACCAGTTACAGGAATCACTTCACATTAACAAAACAACAGCAACAACACCCTCAAAAGAATTCTGTGAAACATCAGAGAGGTGGTTGAGTTCCATACAATGGGTGAGGCAGCAATGAGGTGACCAGAGTCATTCTGCTGGGCCTTGCCTCGCAGCCAGAAACTCCTCGCAGCCTTGCTAACTGAGGAGCGGTGCTCATCACACAGCCGTGCCGTCCGACCGACTGCACGGCTCCCCACAGTGTTGGAAGCATTCCTTCCTGCTCCAGCGCCTGTTGCTATGACTGTGATACTCATCTCTTTGCCACTTAAATCTGGGAGTCTTGTGCAGCTAAAGAATTCTGTTGATTTCTTGGCGTTTATACTAATCACACCATCCCGTTCTGCCTAACGCCCTGTACAAACCCCTCCATTTTAAGAATTATTTGGTGAAGCTGGCACAGTAGCCTAGTGGCTAAAGTCCATACCTTGCACGTGCCCTGATCCCATATGGGCGCCTTCTATCCTGGTGGCTCCACTTCCCTTTCAGCTCCCTGCTTGTGGCCTGGGGAAGCAGTCAGGGATGGTCCACAGCCTTGGGACCCTGCACCTGTGTGGGAGACCCAGAGGAGACGCCTGGCTCCTGGCTTCAGATCGGCTCAGCTCTGGCCATTACAGCCACTTGAGGAGTCAATCAGCAGATGGAAGATCTTCCTCTGTCTCTTCTCCCCATATATTTAACTTTTCAGTAAAAAATAAGTAAATCTTTAAAAAAAAAATTAGTTTGCTTATCGAGACCCATAGCCTTTACTCCCAGTCATGTCTCACTGAAGAAACCACTGCCCCTCCTCCAGAGGCTGGCAAGCTAATCTTCGACCTTGCAGCATCAGCTGCAGCATCAGCATCCCATATGGGTATAACTTTGGATTCTTGCTGATCCAGCTCCCTGCTGATACCCTGGAAAAGCAGAGGAGGGTGGCTCAAACGCTTGGGCCCTTGCACCCACTGGGGAGACCTGGAAGATGCTCTTGGCTTCTGAGCCTCAGATTAGCTCAGCGCTGGCCATTGAAGATGTATTTATTGAAGGTCGAGTGTGTGGTGGACAGAATCAGGCTGGACTGCAACACCCATTGATTCACATGGAAGTTAGGGCTGGAAACGGAACTGACCACCAACGTATGCGTAAGCGGATTGGGGCAACGGACTCTGCTGGACCCTGTGCTGGCATGCACACACAGGAATCAGGCCTGGGATCACCTCAAAAAAAGTTTCTTTGAGGATCCCTCCAATTGAATTGCTGACCTCAGAA